CAACCCTGCCCGTGAGCAATCTCCCAACTGATCTCTGTCAATATCGACAGTTATCGCGAAAATTCAAATGTTACAAGAATCAATGTCGACAGTTACTGTGATTCTTAGTCTTACACTGTCTTTTAAGTAAGCCAGTCATTGAGGATTATTTGAACTCTTTCGCTACGGTAGGTATATTTTAATACATATCGCACGTGACAGTCGGTACATGTTTAATGGCGACGCAGTAGACAGGGAAGCATTTGTCAACGTGTATTCTTTTCCATTCGTATCTATACGGCTGCTACATAATTAACGGTAATAACTGTCGAGTGCCTATAGGCGTCGACAGGACTCTGTCGGACATAAATGTCTTCTTTACGGACATTCTTTCAGATATTCTACTGCCAGTGTACAATGAGAAGGCATTCACGTCCACCAGTGTACATACATTGCAAGCACACTTTCAAAGCGTCTATAAGCACCATCAGTAACGAAAGAGTTAAACAGCCATAAAAACTGAAGCAGACGGTAACTATTATTGAAGTTCGTAATTAGCACGCTCATAAAAACAATGCCCAACATTTCATTACCTTTATACCCTTTAGCACGCGCTATATCATATTTAAAAAATGGCGGCATACTTACCTTTAGGCCGTTTGCGGACGTACCGGCAAAACCAGCGTCGGCGCCGACTTTTCTGTCAAAAACAATGGTAACTTTAATTTATTTCCATTATTACCACCGAAAAAGAAAACCAGTGTCAGTAACAGTTCTGCCGGTCATGTGCAAACGGCTTTACCCCTGTTAACAAATACGAGATTACGTAAGTGTGCGTCCAACGCAAGATGGCCGCTGCAGTTTCTTCTCCTTAAATCTTAAGCTCAAGTCTCTTCGTCCAAAGTCTCACTTCAATTCTATTAGTTTCTCCCTAGATCCATGGAAGCAGAGAAATCCCACCGGAAGAAGTGGAATTGAAGGAGTAACCCGTTTTCGAAGATATTCTGCATCACTTTATTAACCCCATGAAACTGTTTAACATCGCTTGGGTGTCGGAGAAGGGACGCGACATGGAATCGGTAAATATCGTCGATGTTAGCACCTATATTTACGTCTCGCAATACCGACTCCACATGGCGCTTCTCCTGTTAAAGGCTCCTTAGGCTCTGGACGACTCGTCGCGGTAACCCAAGGAAATGTACATTATAATCCTCCACGATCTCCTTCTTGTCGGCGACGTGGTCGCCGCGGTGGCGTGTAATAAATACTAGGTACGATGATCGCAAGCTTACTTAAGTAGTTAACGTAAGGACCACCCGCCGCCTCGCTCTGGGCGAGACGAGACATATAAATGGCGCCTCGCGAATTAACGATTATCACAAGTCGTCCGCAATGGCGTCGCCTCTACGGCGGGTGGTTTCGTCTGTTTAGCTCTCCGTATGGAAAAGTCAACGCGTAGCGAATCCGAGCCCCTCTAATGGGGCTGCGGACTCACGTTCTTATAAATAGATATACGTATATGTATATGCACTTTTTTCTCCCGTTTTATGACATTACCATTTTTTTGCTCTAGGGCGTAGACCTGGAGAGGCTTACCTACGTCCAGTCTGGAGACGGGCTAGACCCGTGTTTTGGGAATATTCCGGGAAAAAAGATCCCCGGAGTACCCGGGGTATTGGTCCATTGAGCTCCTCCTGCATCCCGGGGGATCGGGACTTCCCCGGAGGGATGTTACTTGGTTTCTTGTTCTTCTCTTGACTAAGTATGGAGGACCTGGGGTCGTCGCTTATTTGAAGAGCTTTTTAGCGTAATGCCAGATGCGGAAGAAGTACTCGTCCTTCCTCAGCAACCGGCCGCGAGCGTACGAATGGATGTCCGCGTCCATGTTGTTCTCGCGTAGCCAGGAACTCGTGTTTTCCGTGCTGTAGCTTAGGGATGGCGTGTCTCCTCGGTCGGTGGCCTCGGCAAGGGGCTCCACCACCGTTAATTCTAGGCAGACGGAACACAGTGACCGATTAGATTGCGGGGAATTAATTTCCTTTATGTTGTTTTAGGTTGCCCGGAAGAATTGTTATGTGAGAAACAGACGTACCGGAGCTGGGGACGATCTTGAAGGGCTCGTCGGACTCCAGAGGCTCGCTCAGGCCGACCTCGTTCCTCGCAAAGATCCTGACGAGGTAGTCGTGGTTCTCCTGGAGGTCCTTGATGGTCAACTTCTGGATGTCCGCGCGCACTCGGCCGACCTCCATCCACATGGTCTTCCTCATGTCTCGGATCGCTATCTTGTATCCCTCCAAAGGAGCACCTCCATCCGACTCCGGTCTGCCCCATTCCAGCATGATCGTGTTCCCGGCGATCTGCCTGATCTCCAGAGGCGCAGTCGGGGGCGAAGGAACCGCTGCAACGGCAGGAAGGGAATTAGCATCTTACCGAAACATTATACTGACGATTGCGAATGTCTCTTCGAGATTTAAGGACTATCTTAAGGACTAAATTTAAGGGGTTATATGCAGTTGTCATAAGCCAAATTCAAGATTTTTTTTTCATAACCAAAATGCAGTTCTTTTAATTGATAACAGAGAGTGATTTCATAGTATAATTATTGAACTTGATGTATAATTTTTTGATAAGATATATGACGAGCTTACTCGCATGAGTCTTCAGCAATACTGGCTCCGAAGAGGCTGGCGTGCTGAGGCCCATGCAGTTCTCGGCGAAGACCCTGAAGATGAACTCGCTCTCCTTCAGGTTGTCGATGCAGTACTCGTGGGTATTCGCATCCAGGGTGACCACTTTGCTCCACCTTGCCCCTTTACCGACGAGCGCCCTCTTTTCTATCACATACCCTGAAAAATGTGGCATCGACATGATTATCACATGACTTAAAGAACATAATCTAGAGAATTAAGAGAATAGTGCGATTAGAATTCTGCGGAAAAGGTATAGTTACCTGTAAGTTCCGTGCCTCCATTGCTGGAAGGTGGTGACCATGCGATGGTCGCACTTCTGCTGGTCACCGCGGTCACATGGACGTTAAGCGGGCACGATGGTGGTGCTAAATTACAAAGACAATGTTGCAATGTCGAATCGACAAGTATTTCTTTTAAGAGCCCCCAATTTGGGATAGGATTAATAAGTTTAAATCGCGGCATTGAATGCATTAGGCACAGGCTACCAGGTTCGGGTAGGAAGATTTTGGAGCGTGGGTCATGACTAGGATTCACTTACTTTTGCTAATTACGATCTTGGTCGGCGGAAATATGCCGAGCAGCGCGTAGAGCGTGCTTTCGTTAAGCTCGGTGATCTCTGTGCGGCGAAGCAGAAGCAAATGCGAATTCGTTAAGCATAAGCGATTAAGCCATTTTGTATCCTTCTCGAGGTACTTACTGATTCGCTTGCCAGCGACTATCGGCTCCTCCGACAGGAACGGAGGACCCGATCCTGCGATGTTCCTCGCTGTTATCCTGAAATCGTAGGCCACGTCCGTTTTCAGGTCGGAGACGCTGATGTTGGTGGTCTCTCCCTTGGTGGAACCGACCTAAATTTGATATCGAATGTAGAGTATCACTCGATCTGACCGACGAACCGCAATCCTGGGGATAAAGTACCTTCTGCCATGTCTTTTTCGATGTCTCCTTGATCTCGACGAGGTACTCCGAGATAGGCGCGCCTCCGTCTTCCTCGGGAGGCTGCCACTTTATCGTGAATGAGGTCTTGGTCATCCCGGACACCTCTAGAGGCCCTCTCGGTGGTCCTGGTTTTTCTGCAGCGGAATCGCCCAGTTAGTTAATGTTAACTTTAGATTAAACGTACGGAGGTACTTCATCTTTGTAACCGTTTAACGCACCGTAGGAGTGTTTTAGAGTTACGGCATCCGATTCGAGGGGCTCCGAGGAGCCTACAGGATTCTTCGCGACGATCCTGAACATGTACTCGCAGTCCGGCAGCAATTTCTGCACGAGCAAGCTCTGTACACTTTTCTCCACGTCGGAGACCTTTGTCCAGACCTTCTTGCTCGTTTCGCACTTCTCGACGATGTACTTGTCTATCTCGAGGCCACCGTTGTCCATCGGTGGCCTCCATTCCAGAGTTAAATGGTCAGGACCTAGGTCCTTGATGGCCAGTGGTCCTCGAGGCCTACTTGGCTTGCCTGAGGGTGAAATAATCCTTCATTAATTATTCCTCCCAGTCATTTACTGGGAGATTCATTTCGTTCACTTCTTCATCTTATACTCACGCAGGACGACGAGCTCCACGTATGTGGTTGCCTCTCCATAGGTGTTGGTCAACTTCAGAGTGTAATTTCCAGCGTCCTCCTCTTGCACCTTGCGGATGGTCAAGCTCGCAGATTCCTCGGTGATGCTGGGGACTGTTCTCTCCGTTTTGGGAACGATTCTTCCATTCACTGTCCATTCGGCAGTCGGCTTAGGTACTCCTGTATACTTAATCGTCACTGTGGCATCGTCGTCCTTTTTCGCTTTGCACAATTTCGGAGAGTCCGCGCTGATCTCTGGCGGCGCGTCTTCCGCTGGAAAGGGATTGGAAATTAATTTTTTAGTTCTCTATGCAGGATCTTTCAAAAATATTTAACGCGGTTCATACAGCGTTATTCATGTCGGAAATAGAGTCGAAAAGTTCTGTACAATATTTTCCCTATGGTGCGTAGTTTACTTGTAATAATTAATAAATAACCAGCCGAGAGGAACTCGCCGTAAGTTCCTCTGCTAGCGTAGAATAACTTCTAAATATTTCTTTGTAATCTTTGCTAAATATCTCAAGCGACAGATTTTTTAAGATTTATGGAGATATCATTCGAAGATATCTGAAATATTTATCGAAAATCTCAATNAAAGTAAACGATTTGCAAATATTTTAAACGTCTGCTAAATATTTACATAATGTACGATATTCGTTAAATATATAGAAAATATAGGATAAATATTTTCTGCTACTAGGGTTATCTTGTCTTTACTCCGCAAATACAGAAGAGCGCAGCTGATATGGTTTTGCTATTTAGTAATTAATTATTACGGATAAACGCACCGTAGAAAAAAATTGTAGAAGGTTTCTTGACCCTATTTTCGAGAAGGAAGCTCTATCTACTCTCGTTTCGAAGTGCCCATTATTAAATACCTTCTATTTTCAGGTTCGATGACATAGTGACGTTCAGGGCAGAGACGCTGTACTCCGTGGCGTCCTCGATGGTGCAGTTCATGACGATCAGCTTCTTCACGGGACCCTCGTCGATGATGGTGTACTTAGGCCCGTCCTCGATTTCTTCCCCTTTCCTGAGAGTAAGGTAAAATTTCGTAAGACACCTCTTTGGTACCCTGAAGAATAGTTTTAGGATGAAAGGGCATCCTCACCTGAACCACTTAACCGGGACGTCCGGTCTCGAGAGCTCTACGAAGAAGACGGCGTCCTCGTTCAATGGCACCAGCGTGACTTCCGGTAGCCTGGTGATGAAGTCGACGTCAGGTTTTTCGACGGTCAGCCTCGCCGTGGACGTCTGCTGTCCGACCTGGCACGAGTACACTCCAGCATCCTCCAATTCCGAGTGGTAGATGACCAATTTCTGACGTTTTCCGTCAATTGCCAGCTGCACGTGGTCGGAGAAGGACAGTTCCTTGCCGTCCTTGAACCAGCGGACCAGAGCGTCTCCCTTGGTCAGCTCTATGTCGAACATTGCCTTCTCACCCTTGGCGATGGTCACGTCCTTCATCCTCGTGATGATCTCCGGCGGCAGTTCTGATAAGAGATAACAAATGTGAGCGTAACGATTTTCCGAATCCTGTTGAATGAGATATTCAGGAATCAAGAAGATGGAACGAACCCACGACGACGACCTCCGCGGTGCACTCCTCGTCAGGGAGGGCACAGGTGTATTCTCCCTCATCGTGGACCGAGGTACTTCTCACCAGGAGTCGTCTCACGTTGCCGTCCTTTACGAATTCCAATTTCCCGTCCAATGGTTTCAGGGGCTGGCCATCCTTTTGCCAGGTGACGTCGGCGGTTTGCGACGTGATCTCTACTTCGAGGATGGCCACTTCTCGCTCCTTCACCTCGCAGTCGATGAGCTTCCGCACGAATTCCGGCTTGGTGGCTGGATGGAATGAAAAGCAGATTCGTTAGCGATATTTTAGCTATTAACGTTGAAAATAGCTGATGACGACTTACCTCTGACCGTTACCTCGCAGGAGGTGCTCTGTTTTTTCACGGTACATTTGTAAGTGCCCTCGTCATTTGAACTGGACCTCTTGATCAGCAGTCTATGGGTGCGGCCTTCCTGGATGATCTCCCGGTGGTCCATACCGCTGATCTCCTTCGAGTTGTGCCACCAGGTCGTCGAGACCGTGTGCGAGGTCTCGCAGATCAGCTCCAGGGGTTTGTACTCGTCGACCGTTATCTTCTTTTCCAGCTTCTTCGTGAAAGTCACCTTTTCCACGTCCACCGTGACTTTCGCACCGTGAGATGCCTTTCCGACCGGGTTGCTGGCCACGCATTTGTAATCGCCAGCATCCACCTCGGAATCCGCGTTTCTGATCTCCAACAGGATGTTCTCGCCGTCGTAGCTCTCGGTGACGTTGGGGGTCTTCTCCAAAGGTTTGTTATTTCTGTCCAGAGGAAATACAGATATTGTAAAGTACGAATGAAATAGATTTCTAGGATCATCGTAGAAGGATCCTTCACCTTAACCAGGTGACTTCGGGTACGGGGTTGCCGGTGACTTTGGCTGCTAGTCTGAAGGTTCCTTTCTCAGGTACCGTCAACTCTTGGAAGCGCTCGGTGAAGAGAGGTGGCTCGGGTGCGCCGCTTGGTAATTCTAGTGATTAAGGAGACAATTAATTTATGAAAAATGCTCCAACAGTTTTATCTGTTATAGGTGAGAGCACTTGGAAAATTGGAGGAAAGTCAAGTTGCATTAGTTCGCTGCTAGGAAGGGATTAGAACCATTTGAAGGTACATAGTGAATCCTTTGGAAGAGGGAGAACGATTGTTCACCACGTGAAAAGGGTGCTGCATTAGTTTGCTGCCATGAAGGGATTAGAACAATTTGAAGGTACATGGTGAATCTTTTGGAAGAGGGAAATTGTTCACCACGTGAAAAGGGTGCTGCATTAGTTTGCTGCCATGAAGGGATTAGAACCATTTGAAGGTACATGGTGAATCTTTTGGAAGAGGGAAATTGTTCACCACGTGAAAAGGGTGCAGGTCGTACCCTTAAGCGCAAGATGCCCCTTGGCCGGCTCTAAAGTAATTGTAAGCGCGGAGGTGAACTTTGCAAGCGCTGCAAAAGACAGGTGCGAGTATTTCCTGCGTAGGCATGGTTAGATGAATACATAAGCTTTAATTAATTTTAGGATAATTACTCTCTATGGTGAGGCTGGCGGTGGTTTCTGCCTTTCCAAGCTCGTTGGTCGCGACGACCGTGTACTCTCCAGAGTCCGGCAGCTGAGGCCTGACCAGGGTCAAGGTGTTCGTGTCCCCGTCCTTTTTGGCTGTGGTCAGGGGTTTTCCATCTTTGTACCAGGTGACTTCGGGCATGGGATTTCCGACGATCTGAGTGGTGAGGACGACGGTTTCTCCCTCCCTGACGGTTAAAGACCTCAGGGGCTCCAGAATCTCCGGAGGCTCCTTTTCGCCCGTTCTCACCTATCGGCCCCAAGATATTCAGTATTAAAATGATAACTTATTTTCATTCTTCACCGCCTTACCAAAAGGTTCTCGTACACTGATAAAAATGTCCATTTAAATTTACATTATCAATCGTTGATTATTTTGTTGCCACGATAAATTCCAGTAAAATTACATTGTCTCTATAATATCACATTCAGCGTCTGAGTTAAATTATAGAAAATTATAATGTAATATTACATTAAAATCAAGTAAAAATGCACCGATACCGTAAATCTACAATGGTTAGGTGTATTCATACGTTTTCTAATTTGTAATTCCTCCATTTTACTTTTCCATGGCTTTTGTATGTGAAAATTAAGTTATGAACCGGGTAGAAATGTATGTAAATTTCCATCGATTTTTATAAGTGTACCAGTCTTTAAGCGTCTTAAGGTCAAACTCAGTACAGGATATTGTTTCCCATTCTGTATATAAATAATATAAATATCTCACTTGTAACAATGTATACATACAGATGTACAGGATTGAGAAAAAGTTTCCGTATAAAGTTTGATTTTAGAACGTTTGAAGGTTTGTACGGACGTCACCTTGTACAAATCTAAATGGAGGATGGTTCTTTACCTTGAGAGGGATCTCGATAGTGGCTTCACCTTCCCTGTTCTTGGCCACCACCTTGTAACATCCCTCCTGCCTTCTCTCGGTCTTGGTGATCTTCAGGACGCTGCAGTACATGTGCATATCGCTCTCGGTAGCGACGACTACGTTTTCCCTGGTGGTCACTCGAGTTCCCTCTCGGTACCAGACGATTTCAGGTTCCGGGACGGCCACCAATCGGCATTCCAGGATCACGTCCTCACCCTCGTCCACGCACCGGGCTTTGGGCTTGCGCGAGAACGTCGGTGGGATGCCCTCCAGGATGTCAGCCAGCGACGACTCCCTGGGTAACGAGTAGAGGTAAGAAGACTCTATAATACTAAACTTGACTCCTAAGAACCTGAAGAGGCTCTTTCTTTTACCTTGACATGCTCTTCCTTGAAGGACCCGTCATGTCCGACCCATGGTCCGAAAGAGGCGCCTCCACTATCAGTTCCGTCGTCGACGAGGCGAATCCTGCCGCGTTCTTAGCCACGCAGGTGAACGTTCCCGCGTCTTCAGGGAAGACCTCGCGAATAACCAGGGTCGCGACGTTGTCGTCGTCGTAGTACATCTGGAAGTCCGGAGACGGCTTCACGATCGCCGTCTGCCGGAACCAGGTGATCTGGGGTCGGGGAACACCTTCCACCTGGCACTCGAATTGGACCGTGTATCCGTCAGGGGTGTGGATGGGCTGCAGCTTCTCGATGAACCTCGGAGCTGATGACTTCTCCCCAGGCGCAGGTTCTACGTTTTTTGTATATAATATTTTATTATCCCTCCATTTAAGAATTTTCTAATCAGACGTTATTGCAGAATACAACTCACTCTCGAAGACGGGCAGCTTGTCGATCTTCTCGTTGAGCTTGCTCTGCAGGTAAATTGTGTAGTGCGCCTCGTTCAGCAGGTATTGGGCTGGCACCCAACCCTTCTCCTCCGTCAGGTGCTTCTTCACGAACCACCAGTCCGAGTTGGTATGCTCTGGATTCAGGGAAGTTCAAATGTATGGAAATTCATTCCTTTGTAATGTTTTTTTATTTTTTTTAGGAATTTTGGAAATTCATTTTTGCAGGATATCTCACCGATCACGTAGACTTTTTCGCCTTCGACTAGGTCAATTGCTTCGTCCGTTTCGGCGACGTAGGAGCAGATTGCATGCATCGCGTCTCCATCTCTGACGATGTACTCCACCGTTTCATCTGAAGTATGAAGGTAATTGTTAGTTATTGGGTTATTTGTTGAAGCCTTTTTTAATTTTTATTATCAGGGGGACGACGATACCCACCTTCTTCGTAGATGTCCTCTTCCCGGGTGATGCTGAGAGTCGCCTCTTCTGCAATTAGGGAAAGGCGTAATTAGATCCGTCATGCGACCCAGGGTATGGTTAGTTTCTCTAATTTCGGATTAGTCTCTTTTCTGCTTTTCTATGCGTTATACCGTTATGCTTTTTCAGGCACAGCTTGAGCACGTACGAAGCGCATAGCCAGTGTCAGATGTTAGAGCCAGGCACTTCCCGAAATGCCGAGGCACTTCGATGCCGAAGAGCCACCACGAAGGTGGCCCTGTTGCAGGTACTTACTTATTTCCTTCTGAAAGCTAATCGCCGCCAGCAAAGCGCAGCGAAGCGAGCCGCCAATTCTTTTTTTTTTTTTTAGCTAGAATAGTCTCCCCTAGACCTGCAGGTGCAGCTGAAAGCACTAAGTCTAAGAGCTTTAGGCGTCGAAGAGATACGAAGCGTCTAGTGCTGATCAAATGTCCCGCGAACCTTCGTCGTAGGTGGAGACGCGTCTCTTCGACTTCAGCTTCAAAGCCAGCGACTCGTCCGTCTCCTCGTAGGAGTACTTCCTTTCTTGGCCAGGCTTCTTCAGGGTCACTCCGTCCTCCTCGAAGTCCTCCACGGCGTATGGTTGAGGTTTCTCCTTTGGTCTTCTTCGCTTAATCGGGAACATGAAGTCGTCGGTCTCCAGCTCCTCTATGCTGTAGTCGTCCTCTCTGGCCTCTTCGTCGGACTCATCGATGATCTCTTCGATGACCGGCCCACTATCGTCCTCGACCTCGGATATGATCCTGATGGTCTCTTCACCGGTCTCTTCGGAGTACGTCAAGGGCTTCTTCTTTCGCTTCAGTCGCACCTTTCCGGACATAGAGATGTCTTCTTCCTCGTAGGTGTTCAGCGAGATCTTGAATTCCTGCTCGACGTCCTCCTTCGTCTTCGTGGTCCGTGGCCTGAAGGTCACGTTCTCCACCTCGGTCACCTCCTTGATGTCCGTTCGAGGTTTCTTCTTCGGTCGGAGCTTCTTCAGGGTGACGTCCTCGTAGATCTCTTCAATCTGTTTTGGAGGAAGCTTCGGTGGCTTTCGCTTTATGGTGAACTCCTCGACTACCTCCTTCTCCGGGGTGACCTTGACCTCTTCCACCCTGCGCACCGTTAGCTCTTCAGCGACTTCCTCGGTCACTGGTTTTGGTTTCTTCTTTTTCGAGACGACGACTTCGGATGTTTCCGTTTCTTCCTCGACTGGTTTCTTTGGCTTTGGCTTCGTCACAGTTACCTCTACGTCCTCCACCTCCTCGGGGACACTCTGTTTCTTCTTCTTTTGGGCCCTGCTTATCATCACGTCCTCGGTCACGTCTTCTTGTTTCTGTTCCACGATCTTCTTTATCGTCACCTCGTCGGCAGCCTCTTCTGTGACAGGCTTCTTCTTTGGCTTTTTCTTTAGAGTAACTTCTTCGGATACTTCTTCAGGTTTCTTCTCCTCGGGTACAGGAATGGGTTTCTTGATGGTGACCTCATCAGCGCCTTCGTCGGTGACGGACTTCTTCTTCGGTTTCTTCTTCAAAGTGACCTCTTCGCTCACCTCTTCGGGTCTCTTTTCTTCTTCTACCGGAACAGGTTTCTTGATTGTGATTTCGTCCGCTCCCTCGTCGGTGACGGGCTTCTTCTTTGGTTTCTTTTTTAAGGTGACTTCTTCCGACACCTCTTCCGGTTTCATTTCTTCTTCTACAGGAACAGGCTTTTTGATCGTGACCTCATCTGCTGCTTCCTCCGTGATGGATTTCTTCTTAGGCTTCTTCTTTAGGGTAACTTCTTCAGATACCTCCTCAGGTTTCTTCTCCTCGGGCACGGGGACGGGCTTTTTGATGGTGACCTCATCGGCACCTTCGTCGGTAACCGGCTTCTTCTTCGGTTTTTTCTTTAGAGTGACCTCTTCCGACACCTCTTCAGGCTTCTTTTCTTCTTCCACAGGAACAGGTTTTTTTATCGTGACCTCGTCTGCACTCTCATCGGTGACAGGTTTCTTCTTCGGCTTTTTCTTCAGAGTGATCAACTCCTCTACTTCCTCGGGCTTCTTGTCTTCTTCCTCAACGGGAACAGGCTTCTTGATGGTGACCTCGTCAGCAGCCTCGTCAGTAACGGGTTTCTTTTCTGGTGCCTTCTTCAGAGTGACCTCCTCCGTTACCTCTTCTGGCTTCTCCTCAGCTTCGACCGGGACCGGCTTCTTGATCGTGACCTCATCTGCGCCCTCATCTTTAACTGGTTTCTTCTTAGGCTTCTTCTTCAGTGTTACCTCCTCCGATACTTCTTCGGGTTTCTTTTCCTCGGCCTCAGTCGGGATAGGTTTCTTAATGGTGACCTCATCATCACCTTCATCGGTAACGGATTTCCTTTTAGGTTTCTTCTTCAAGGTAACCTCCTCCGTCACTTCTTCGGGCTTCTTTTCTTCCTCTACAGGAACGGGTTTCTTGATCGTGACTTCATCAGCACCCTCATCGGTGACAGGCTTCTTCTTCGGTTTTTTCTTTATCGCCACATTTTCCGTGACCTCTTCTTTCTTGGTCTCTTTAGGCTTCTCCAAGGTGACTTCCTCCTCAACTTCCTCCACCGGTTTCTCTTCCTCAACAGGTACAGGTTTCTCGATCGTTATTTCAGCAGCCACTTCCTCGACCACCGGCTTCTTCTTCGGCTTCTTCTTCAAGGATACCTCCTCCGAAGTATCAACCTGCTTTTCTATTTTCACAACTTCAGCGACCTTTTGGATTGTGACCTCCTCGATGGTCTCCTCTTCGGGTGGTTGTACCTTCGGTTTCTTCTTTTTCTTCAACACCACTTCGTCCACGATTTCCTCCACTTCCTCTTTCTCGATCTCTTTTGTAATGGTTATTTCATCAGGCGCCTCTTCTTTGATGGACTTCTTTCGCGGTTTCTTCTTCAGAGTCACTTCATCAGCGACTTCCTCGGGTTTGACCACTTCTGGCTTCGAGATGGTCACCTCCTCAGTAGGTCCTTCATCGACTGATTTCTTCTTTGGTTTCTTAACGAGAGTCACTTCAGGAGCAGCTTCTTCTGGTGCAGCAGAAACTTCCTCTGGTACTGCAGGAACTTCTTCGGTAACGGCAGGAGCTTCTTCTGGTTTCTTTTCTTTCGGCTTCTTCTTGATCTTTCGCTTTACCGTCTCTTCCACATCTTCTGCAGGTTTTCGAGGCAGAGTCACATCTTCCTCCCGAGGTAACTCCTCGGTGCCCGTGTCTTCCGGTTTGTCTTTCTTCCATTTCTTTAGTGTGATCGTTTCCGGTTCTTCTTCAGGTTTCTCTGCGGTAGGAATCCTGAACTTCACCTCAGGTTGTTCTTCAGGTTCCTCTGGCTTAGGCTCGCCCTTCTTCAGTGGAATCTCCTCGATCTCCTGGTCGGGTTTCTTCTTCTTCTGTCTTTCATAGGGCTTCTTCGGCTCCTCAGGTTTAGGCTTCTCCTCTTCCTCGACCTCTTCAGGAACATACTTCTCGAGCTCGGGTCTGTCAAAGTCGAGAGGCTGGAATTCTACTCCCTCCAGTTTCGGAGTCGGCTTGGTCTCCTTCTTCTCGGGGACTTCCGTCTCTGGCACCTCCTTCTTCGGTTTCTTCTTCGGCTTCTCCTCCTCTTCGACAGGCTTCTCCGGGACCTTCTTCAGCTTCACTGCTTCGGGCTGCACCTCTTCCTTCTCTGGAACCTTGCCTTTGCCCAGTTTGATCTCCTGCGGCGTCTCCTCCTTCTTCGCCGGCTTCTTCGGGGGCCTCTCGTAGATCGACTTGTCCTCGATCTCCTCCAGAGGAACCTTCTTCAGCTCCTCGAACTCCTGATCCAGCTGCTCCAAGTCGACGGAATCCTTCTCCGGTAGTTTCGGAATCTTGTGCTTCACCTTCAGCAACTTCAGCGCCTCCTTCGTGTTCCTCGAGAGCACTCCTGCCTGCACAGGATTCTCTTCCATGTAGGTTATCTTCGGCAACTGCAACTCCGGTGGATAGTCACCTACGAAGGTGATGCGACTGCGGAGGAGTACTTTAGGTATTTTCACACTTGGTTTATCCGTCCTCTGCGTCGGGGTCACCTTCTTCAACTTAATGGAGGCGAATTGCACGACCTCGGTCGGTTCCGTGATCTTCAGCTTCGTGAGTTTGAACTCTTTCCTCTCGATCGTCTGTGGTACCAGCTTCTGCAGTTCCGCAGGCAGCGTCTTCTTCTCCTTCGTCTTCTTTTTCGGCTCCCATTGGATCTTTTCCGGCATGGGCTCCAAAACGGGCCTCTCGTATTCCGGTTCTACCCATCCCTCGAGGTAGTCCTTCTCTACTGACTTCTTCTTCTTCTTCTTCGGGGCCTTCTTCTCCGGAACTTCCTTGGTCTCCTTCGGTGCATCCTCCGGAGCTTCCTCCTGAGGCTTCTCTTCAGCCTTCTCGACAGGAGTCTTGGTGACTTTGACCCGCTCTTCAATTTCTTCGACCGGTACCGCCTTCTTCTTCTCTGGCACTTCCTCTTCAGGGAGTTCTTCGGTGGTCACTGAAGGAACGACTTGGGTCGTTTCGATTGTTTCACTGGTAACAACCTCTGGCTTAGCTTCCTTCTTCTTAGGCCGGACAGGAGTCATCTCTTCAACGGTCTCTTCGGGTTGTTTCTCATCTATGATCGTGACCTTCTTCTTCTTCGGGGCCTTCTTCACAGGGACCTCCGAGACCTCGGCCTTCTCTTTCTCCTTCTCTTCCAGCGGAACGGCCTTGTCCTTCTTCGGCTTCTTTTCTTCAGGAAGTTCTTTAGCAGTGTCCTGGATGATGACGTCGGTGGTCTCGACGCTTTCCTTCGGGATTATGGTCTCTTCAGCCTTCTCTTCGGGTACCTTTTCGGGCGCTATTTCCTCGGTTACTCCTTCGGGTTGCTCCTCTTCAACCGCGGTGCCCTTCTTCTTCTCTTTTGGTGCCTTCTTGACGGAAACCCTCGACACATCTGCCTTCTTTCGCTCTTCTTCCGTCGAGGGACGCGCGACTTCTTCTTCAGGTTTGACCTCTTCGGGGATGTCCTCCGTTGTCGCCGAAGCCGTGATCTCCGTCACTTGTAAGCTTTTCTCCGGTATTACACCTTCCTCCGCTGTCGTCTTGGGCACTTCTTCAGGTGCGATCTCTTCGACAACCTCCTCAGGGCGCTCCTCCTCGGCAGGCTTGGCCGTCTTCTTCTTGGGCACTTTCTTCGGGGCCTTCTTGACCGGAACTTCCGTCGCCACGGCTTCTTTCGGCAACTCTTCCGTGCTAGGTACGGCCTTCGTCTCTTGGGGTTTCCCTTCAACAGTGAGGTCAGAGGTCGTCGTTTCCGCGATAACCTCGCTAGTTCTAATTGCTTCCGTCGTTATTACGGTACCTTCCTGGATCTTCTCTTCTTTGCGTTTCTCGAGGGTAATTTCGCTGGTCTCCTCTTCAGGTTGCTCCTCCTTGGTCACCGCGGGTCTTTTCCTTATGGACACTCGTTTCGTCTCGGCCTTCTCTTTCTCTTCAACTTCGGATACCAGCGCTTTCTCCTCCTTCGGCTTCTTCTTCTCAGGGTACTCCTCTGTCGTGGTCTCCGGGATAACCTCGGTAGTCTCGATCTCCTCCTTGGGAAGAACCTTCTTCGCCGCTTTTTCTTTTTTCGGTTTCTCAGGTGCGAGCTCTTCGACGCGTTCTTCGGGTTGTTCTTCGGTCGAGGAGACGGCCCGCTCTTTCTTGCGAGGAGCTTTCTTCACCGGAACTTCCGAGACCTTGACGGAGGGAGCTTCTTCTTCCTTTCCTGGCAAGGCTTTTTTGTCCTCGGGCTTCTTCTCTTCAAGATCCTCCGTGCTGACCTCGGTGATCACCTCCGTTACTTCGACACCTTCCTGCTCCAAAATCGTCCTCTCTGCTACCACCTTCTTCGGCTTCGCTTCTTCGATGTCCGTCACTTCTTCTCGAGGTTGTTCCTCCGTGGTCTCGGCAGCAGTTTTCTTCTTCTTCTTCTTCGGAGCCTTCTTGGCGTCCACTTCCGTTACTCGGACCGTCTCCTTTTGTTCCTCCTGAAGCAGAGGTACGGCTCGTTCCTCTTCAGGTTTCTCTTCCCCTGGAAGTTCTTCAGCAATCGTTCCCGCAGTAACCACGGTGGTCTCGATGCTCTTGAACGGAAGTACGTCGCCCTTCGCCTTGTCCTTCTTCGGCTTTTCTATGACGATCTCCTCGATCACTTCTTCAGGTACCCCGTCTTCCCTGACCACTGCCTTCTTCTTCTTGATGACCTTCTTCGTCGGAGTTTCCACGATCTCCACGACTTGTTCCTCCTCCATAATCTTCGCCTCCTCGATTGGCTTGTCTACCGTTACCTCGACGATTTCTTCTCCTTTGACGGACTTCCTTCTCTTCTTAATCGTCTTCCGGGTAGGCGTCTCTATGGTCTCGATCACCTCTTCGGGTGCCTGCAGGGTCTCGATCTCCGTTATTGTCACGCTTTCCGTCTCCTCCACGATCGGTTTTGCTCGTTCTTTCTGAGGCTTTTCGATGACGATCTCTTCGATGACTTCTTCAGGTACTCCGTCGTCCCCGACCACTGCCTTTTTCTTCTTGATGACCTTCTTCGTGGGGGTCTCCACGATCTCCACGATCTGCTGTTCCTCCATCACCGTTACCTCTTCTTTAGGTTTTTCTATTATCTCCTGCACGATTTCTGCCGGCAGGTCCTTCGAGGGCTTCCTCTTCTTCGTCACGATCTTCTGCGTGGGCGTTTCCACGGTCTCAATGATTTCTTCCTCTTCGACGACCACCTTCTCCTTCGGCTTCTTCTTTTTCGGCGCCTCCTTGGTCTCTACTTCCGTAATCGTCACGGTCTCCTGTTCTTCTACCAGCGGTTTAGCCTTCTCCTTCTTCGGCTTCTCGATGACGATCTCCTCGATCACCTCTTCAGGGACTCCGTCGTCCCTGACGATCGCCTTCTTCTTCTTAATCACTTTTTTCGTCGGCGTCTCGATGATCTCCACGACCTGCTGCTCCTCCATGATCCTCGTCTCCTCCACTGGCTTTTCAACGACCTCTTCAACAATTTCCACCGTGTCGTCCTTCTTCGACGGCCTCCTCTTCCTCGTTATCTTCTTCGTGGGGGTCTCTATCACCTCTATGATCTCTTCTTTCTTCGGCCCCTCGCGAGTCACCGTTTCCGTCACTTGCACAGTTTCCAGCTCTTCAACCACCGGCTTCGCCTTCTCCTTCTTCGGCTTCTCTATCACGATTTCCTCGATTACGTCTTCCGTGAACCCATTCACTCCTGGCACGGCCTTCTTTTTCTTTATCACCTTCTTTGTCGGCGTCTCCACGATCTCCACGATTTGCTGCTCCTCCATGACTATCACTTCTTCTTCAGGTTTCTCGATCACTTCTCGGACGATCTCGGCAGGTAAATCTTTCGACGGCTTCCTTCTCTTCGTCACGATCTTCTTCGTCGGGGTTTCCACAGTTTCTATGATTTCCTCTTCCTCGACCACCAGAGTCTCCTTCGGCCTCTCTTCAGGTCCTTCCCGAGCCTCGACTTTCGTAATGGTCACTCTCTCTTCCTCCTCCACGAGTGGCTTCGCTTTCTCCTTCTTCGGCTTCTCGGTGACGATCTCTTCAACTACTTCTTCCGTGAACTCTTCCTCCACCTTCTGAGACTTCTTCTTCGGCTTCTTCTTTGCCACCTCCTGAACCACCTCCTGCGGAACACCGAAGAAGAATTAGGTACAATGAAGTCAGAAATCCACTACTTCAAGGGACTCTTCAACAACGGAATTTCTATGATCAACCAGTTGCTATCACAATTTCTACATTTAGAGCCACTCGTTTTATCTCGTAGGGCTGGGATACGTACCTCTTCGACGACTTTCTCCGCGATATCTGGAAAAATTAAAAAGAGAACGGTCAGTATCATCGTTTGGAAAAGATGGCGTCGTGTCTCGCGCGTCTTCAGCTCGGTGACTTTAACGCCTGGGCAGGAGACGCGCGAGATCTAGGTCGGCCATGATGGCCGCGATTTTCCAGGACACAATGCGATGTCCTGTCTTGGTCAAGAACTCGAGGAATTAGTCAAGAACATCTTCGGACTATTCTCGTGCCTACTTTCGTTGGGCTCTTCGGGATCACCCATTCACTCTCACGCGCACGCAATCGGTACACCTAGTAGTACTTTGTAAAGGGTCTTACCTTCGGGGACCTTTCTATCGTCTTTGGGTTTTGTTGATGTTTTGTGTGTGGGTCTTTCGTGTGGTGGCGATGTAGTGTCTTCGGTGAGTGGAGTGATGGGTTTACCTTCCTCTTCCTGGAGGATCACTTCTTCAGTGATCTCCTTACCGGGTCGCTTCTTCAACACGCGCTTGGTCTTCACTCTCTTCGGGGTTCCCTCTTCGGTGGTCACCTCGATCACCGTGACGACTTCTTTGGTCTCTTCGACTACCGTTTCTTCCGGAAGAGGTTGGTCCTCCTCTTCTTTCGAAATAACCGTGGTTATCTCTGGGAGGCCTTCTTCTTGGACGGTGACGGTCTCAGTGATTTCAGGCTTCTCTTCAGGGCGTTGCTTCTTCGTCCGCTTCGTCGTGATCTTCCTCGGCTTCTTCCCTGGAATCTCTTCCTCGCGAACGGTAACTGTCATCTCTACGATCTCTTCGACTTCTTCGTCGCTTGGAATTTCCTCTTTCTTCGGAACAGGTTGCTCTTCGGGTTCTTTCTTGTCGGGTCTTTTCTTCGTCACGCGCTTGACCTTCACCTTCTTCGGGGTCCCTTCTTCGGTGGGCACTTCGGTTATCGTCACCACCTCTTTCGTCTCCTCGATTATTTCCTCATCCGGAAGAGGCTGCTCTTCTTCGTGTTTAATGGTTACTGTGGTTACTTCAGGAAGGCCTTCTTCTTCCACGGTGACTGTCTCCGTGATCTCCGGCTGCTCCTCTTCAGGGCGCCGCTTCTTCGTCCGCTTTGTCGTAATCTTCTTCGGTTTTTTACCGGGAATCTCCTCCTCGCGGACAGTAACAACGGTTTCGACCACTTCTTCAACCTCCGCTTCATCTTCTGGCGCAAAGTCGCTAGGAACTTCTTCCTTCTTTGGCAATGGTTGCTCTTCGACTTCCTTTTCAGGGCGCTTCTTGGTCATTCTTCTGGTCTTGATCTTTCTTGGTCCTTCCTCGGTGACGACTTCCGTCACCGTGACAACTTCTTTGGTCTCTTCAACAACCGTTTCACTGGGTGCCAGAGGTTGTTCCTTGTCTTCCTTGATGACCACCGTCGTCACCGCGGGAAGACCTTCTTCCTCAACTGTGACCACTTCCGTGACTTCCGGTTTCCCCTCTTCAGGGCGCTGCTTTTTCGTCCTTCTTCTCGTGATCTTCTTCGGCCTCTTACCCGGAACCTCTTCCTCCTCAACAGTGACGATAGTCTCGATGATCTCCTCCACCTCTTCGTCCTCCTGCGGCACGATTTCCAAGATCTTTTCAGGTACTTCTTCCTGTACTACGGTTTGCTCGGTGACTTCATCCCTGTCCGGTCGTTTCTTAATCACTCTCTTAGTCTTCACCCTCTTCGGCACGCCCTCCTTGGTCCTCACTTCGGTCACCGTCACAACTTCTTTAGACTCTTCAACAATCGTCTCGGTGGGCAAGACAGGAAGCTCTTCGTCTTCTAACGTGGTGAACGTCGTAACTGGTGGAAGACCTTCCTCTTCGACCACGATTTCCTCTGTGAGTATCGGTTTCTCCTCCTCAGGGCGCTGCTTCTTCGTGCGCTTCTTTGTGATCTTCTTCGGCTTCTTGCCGGGTACCTCTTCCTCTTCAACAGTGACGATCGTGTCGATGATTTCCTCAATTCTTTCATCATCTCGAGGGACGAACTCTAGAGGCTTGGCAGGCTTTGCCGCCTCTTCTTCAGGAGCTCCTGGTTTCTTCCAGGGCTTCAGCTTGATTTCTTCAGGTACCTCTGATGGTTTGTCCTTCTGAGGGATCCGGAACTTCTTTTCAGGCTCTTCTTCGGGTTGTTCCTTCTTAGGGACACCTGGCACGATGGGAATCGACTCCTGATCCTGCACGGGTTTCTTCCCCTTAGACTTCGGCTTCTTCTTCGGGGGCTTTCCTTCCTTTGGTGCCTCATCTTCAGGGTATTCCAGACCTTCCGGTTTCTCCAGGTCGTAATCGTCCTTTTCGATGTCGTAGGGCTCGAAGCCAGGAAGTTCGGGATATTCCTTCTCTTCCTTCGGCTCCTTCGGCTTTTCAGGCTTCTCCTTTTTCGGTGGGGCTTTCTTCGCATCCTCGGGCTCAGAGGGCTTCTTCTGTGGCACCTTCTTCAGGGTTACCTTGTCCTCCTCCGGCTGCTCCTTCTCGGGTACCTCTCCCTTGCCGATTTTCAGCTTCTCGGGTTCCTCTTCGGCTGGTTTTTTAGGCTTCGGTTTCCGCTGGTATGGAGTCAGATCTTCGACCTTCTCCAGAGGAACCTTCTTCAGCTCCTCAAATTCCAGGTCTACTTTCTCAAGGTCAGTCTCCTCCTTACCGATGGGCTTCGTCTTTTTGCGCTTGATCTTCTTTAGCGCTAAGGCGTCTTCCACGTTTCGGGAAAGAATGCCGTTTTGTACGTAGTTTGGCTCGATTTCGGAGAAGACTGGATACTTCATTCCAGGTGGCCAATCATGGTGAGTGATTCGACTGCGAAGAAGAATTTTCGGGAATTTGTCCTTCTTTTCAGGACGTGGTTTTCGAGGGACTGCTTTCTTCAGTTTGATCTGGGCGAAGAGGGGAACTTCCGGCTCGTCGATCCTCGGTTTGATCGGCTTTTGTTCCTTGATCTCGATCTTGACCAAATGTGGTCTCAGTCTTTCCTTGATCAGTTCTTGTTCGCTCTTCTGTCCCTCCTCATCCTCCGGCCTCTTCGGCTTCTGTTTGCGCAGCTTTTTCGGCTTCTTCTTCGGCTCTGGGATCGCCGGAACGTAGTCCTCCACCTCGGGGATCTCCTCAAACTCCTCCACGACCTTTGTCACTGGCTTTTCACCCTCCTCTTCCACGGTCACTTCTTCGGTCACCTTCTTCTCTTTGCCCACTTTCTTGCTGGTCTTCTTTCTCGTCACTTTTCTGGGCTTTCCTTCCTCCGTGACCTCCTCGGTCACCTGGATTTCCTCGCGAGTCTCTTCGACCACTTTAGGCTCCGCCAAGTCGGGTAAGAAGGGTGAAAGATCTTCAAAGTGCTCTTCAGGCACTTCTTCAGCAGGAATGGAAAATGTCTTCGTTACCGGTTCCTTGCCTTCTTCTTCGATAGTCACCTCTTCCTTGATTTCGGGCTTCTCTCCCTTCCGTTTCTTCAGCGTCCTCTTCTTGATGATCTTTCCTTTCTTGTCGGGTGTCTCTTGCTCGGTGACGATGGTGTCCACCGTGACGACGTCCTCTTTCTCTTCAGGGACGAACTTGATTTGGTCATCGACTTCTTTCTCATCTTTCTTAGAGTCCTTTGGTTTCTTCCAAGGTTTCAGCTTGACCTCCTCAGGCTTCTCCTCGGGTTTCTCTCCCCTTCGGTAACCTCGTTTAACTTCATCTTCCTCTTCAGGCTCCTTTTTCTTCGGGATGCCTGGCTCTATCTTAACTTCCTCCACCTCTTGGGTTGGTTTCTTCTTCGGTTTCAGTTTCCTCGGCTTTTTCTCGGCATCCTCGGGTAACTGCTCTTCAGGTTGAGGCTGTTCTTCTACCTGTCTTTCCTCTTCCTCGACCTTGGGTCTTTCTTCGGTCGGGAATTCTGGTCGAGGCAGTTCGAGGTCCTCTTCATCTTTTTCGAGGGTCTTTTTCTTCGGGACCTTCTTGGGAGCTTTAGGGATAGCTGTCTCTTCTTCATCTGGCTTGGGCTTCTTTTCAGGTACTTTTTTCAGGTCGACTTTTTCCTGTGTATCAGGCTTCTCTGGGACCTCACCTTTGCCGAGCTTTATTTTTTTCAAGTCATCCTCTTTTGGCTTCTTCGGCTTTGGCTGGCGTTCGTACACCGACTTGTCCTCGACCTGCTCCAGAGGCACACTCTTCAGGGCCTCGAACTCTTTGTCCAACTTCTCGAGGTCGGTCTCTTCCTTCTCGGAGGGTTTCTCCTCGCGGGGTTTTGTCTTCTTCAGGGCACGAGCTTCCTTTATAGACCTTGACAAGATTCCACGTTGAACCTGAACAGGTTGCAGTTCGCTGACCTGTAACTTCCTCGGGGATGGAGGGTAGTCGAAGAACTTAATGCGACTTTGCAGCAGGACTTTCGGGAATTTGTCCTTCTTTCCGTCTTTCCTCTTGATTATCGGAGCTTTCTTCAGCTTTATCTGCGCGAATTGCGGCTTTTCCGGAGACGGTTTATCCACCTTGAGTTTCGTTGGCTTCACCTCCTTTATCTCTAATTTCTGAAGTTGAGGTTTGAGCTTTTTCTTCGCGGTTGCAAGGTCCGTGACGTCTTCAGGCTTCTCTTCGGGTTTACCTTCAGGTACCGGCTGAACTTCCTTTTCTGAGACGGGTTTCTTCGGCACCTTCTTCTTCGGAGTCTTTTTCTTAGGTAGAGTCTCAACAGTCTCTGCAGGTTCTACAGGAAGTAGTTTGGTGGTCTCTTCGTATAGGATCTCTTCTTCTGGGTGTTCGGTCACGGTAACCACCGGAGATTTTCCTTCCTCTTCGACCTTCTTCTCCTCCGTCACCTGCTGCTTCCCACCCTTCTTGCGAGTCACCTTCTTTTTCGTGGTTCTCTTCACCTGTCCCGTAGGTGTTACTTCTTCGGCGACCGTGACTTCATGGCGAACTTCCTCAGCTTCCTCGGGAACTTCTTCACCTAATATCGGTAATGGTTCTACGGTGTCATCCAGAAGAACTTCTTCAACCGGCTCTGCGATGAAAGTTACCACAGGAGCTTTACCCTCCTCTTCGACAGTCGTCTCTTCTGAGACTTGCTGTTTTCTGCCCCTCCTTTTCACCACCTTCTTCTTCGTGATCTTTCGAGGTCTGCCTTCTTCCGTCTTTTCAAGGGTGACGGTCACCTGCTCCCGAACTTCATCAGTTTCCGTTGGTTGGACTACGTCCACATCCGGAAGGGATTCCGTGGTTTCGTCATAGAGAACCTCCTCTTCAGGTTCCTTGATGACGCTCTTAACGGGCGGCTTTCCTTCCTCCTCGGTCGTCACTTCCAAGGTCACCTGCTGCTTCTTTCCCTTCCTCCTTACGATCTTCCTCTTTGTGGTTTTCAGAGGTTTGCCTTCTTTAGTAATTTCCTCGGTGACCGTGACTTGTTCCCTCACTTCTTCAGCTTCCGTTGGCCTGACCAGAGCAGAGACCGGCAGGGGCTCGGTGGTCTCTTCAAGGAGGATCTCCTCGATCGGTTCGACGATGACCTCGGTCACAGGGGGTTTCCCCTCTTCCTCGATCGTCACCTTCTCGATGACCTGCTGCGTTTTCCCGCGTTTTTTGATGACCTTCCTCTTCGTGGTCTTCCGAGGCTTCCCTTCTTCGGTAACCTCTTCAGTGACCGTAACCTGTTCGCGCACTTCTTCAGCTTCGACCGGCTCGATTGGTCGCGAGAGAGGCAAAGGTTCGGTCGTCTCGTCATAAAGAACCTCCTCTTCAGGTTCTTCGATGACTTCCGTCACGGGAGATTTCCCTTCCTCCTCGACGGTCACCTCTTCGACGACCTGTTGCTTTCTACCCCTCTTCTTGATGATCTTCTTTCTAGTTGTCTTTTTAGGCGCGCCTTCCACGGTTTCTTCTATGGACACTGTCACCTGTTCGCGGACCACGTCGGCCTCTTCAGGTTCCGTGACCGGAAGAGGCTCCGTTGTTTCGTCATAGAGGATTTCCTCGATAGGTTTCACGACGACCTCGGTTTTGGGGGCTTTCCCTTCCTCCTGGATCGTCACCTCTTCCGTAACTTGCTGTTTGCTTCCTCTTCTCTTAATGATCTTCTTCTTCGTGGTCTTGCGAGGCTTGCCTTCTTTAGTCTCCACGATACTGACAGTCACTTGCTCACGGACTTCCTCAACCTCGGAGGGTGAGGCCAAACCTGAGATTGGTAGAAGCTCGGGAAGCTCTTCAACAGGGTTCTCGAAGACCTCTGTGACTGGAGCTTTGCCCTGTTCTTCAACGGTCACCAACTCCGTCACCTGTTGCTGCCTACCCTTCTTCTTGATGATCTTCTTCTTCGTCGTCTTACGAGGCTTGCCTTCGGGCGTCCTCTCCATGATCACCGTCACCTGCTCTCGCACCTCTTCAACTTCCGATGGTTTTGCAAACTCTTCCCGTGGCAAAGGCTTCGGGACGTCGTCCTGAAGAATCTTCTCTTCAGGTATTTCGAAGACTTCGGTCACTGGAGCTTTGCCTTCCTCTTCGACGGTTACGATCTCGGTGACTTGCTGTTGCTTGCCCTTCCTTTTGATGATCTTCTTTTTCGTAGTCTTTCGAGGTTTACCTTCTTCGGTGGTTTCTACGGTGACGGTAACCTGCTCGCGGACCTCTTCAGCTTCTGATGGTTTCTCATACTCCACTATAGGCAAGGTCTCTGTGGTATCGTCAGAAATGATCTCTTCAATCGGTTTTTTCACGACCTTCGTCACAGGGGCCTTGCCTTCTTCTTCAACTGTGACTTCTTCGGTCACCTGTTGCTTCTTTCCCTTCTTCTTAATGATCTTCCTCTTCGTGGTCTTGCGAGGTTTGCCTTCTTCGGTAGTCTCGACGGTGACGGTAACCTGCTCGCGAGTCTCTTCAGCTTCTGTTGGTTTTCCATGTACCACCATGGGCAAACTCTCGGTCGTTTCATCAGAGATGATTTCTTCAACAGGTTGTTTGATAACCTCCGTCACAGGAGCTTTACCCTCTTCTTCAACGGTGACCTCTTCGGTCACCTGTTGCTTCGGGCCCTTCTTCTTGATGATCTTCTTTTTCGTAATCTTTCGAGGCTTTCCTTCTTTTGTTCTTTCAACAGTTATTGTTACTTGTTCGCGCACTTCTTCTGACTCCGTTGGTTTCGCGTATTTTTCCAAAGGCAAGGGCTCCGTTGTTTCATCAAAAATGATTTCTTCAATAGGGTGTTCGATAACGTCTGTGACGGGTGCCTTGCCCTCTTCTTCCACAGACACCTCCTCGGTCACCTGCTGTTTCTTACCCTTCCTCTTAATGATCTTCTTTCTGATTGTCTTACGCGGTTTGCCTTCTTCAGTGGTTTCAACAGTAACGGTAACCTGCTCTCGAGTCTCTTCGGATTCTCCAGGTTTCGCGAATTCAACTTCAGGCAGAGGCTCCGTAGTTTCATCGAAAAAGACCTCCTCTTCAGGTTTCTTGAGGACCTTCGTCACCGGAGCTTTTCCTTCCTCTTCAACCGTAATTTCTTCAGTCACCTGCTGTTTCGGACCTTTCCTCTTAATGATCTTTTTCTTCGTAGTCTTGCGAGGCTTGCCTTCTTCGGTGGTTTCAACAGTGACGGTAACCTGCTCTCGCACCTCTTCAGCTTCTGTCGGTGTGACATACTTTATCGAAGGCAATGTTTCCGTTGTTTCGTCCGAAATAATCTCTTCAACAGGTTGTTTCACGGTTTTCTTCACAGGGGCTTTACCCTCTTCTTCAACGGTGACTTCCTCAATAACTTGCTGTTTCTTCCCCCTTTTCTTAATGATCTTCTTCCTCGTAGTCTTCTTAGGCTTGCCTTCTTCGGTGGTCTCAATGGTAACAGTCACCTGTTCGCGAGTCTCTTCAGCTTCTGTTGGTTTCCCATATTCCACCATGGGCAAGATCTCAGTTGTCTCATCAGAGATGATTTCTTCAACAGGTTGTTCTATGACCTCCGTCACTGGAGCCTTGCCCTCTTCTTCAACAGTGATTTCTTCAGTAACCTGTTGCACCGGACCCTTTCTCTTAATGATCTTCTTTTTAGTGGTCTTTCGAGGTTTCCCTTCTCTTGTTATTTCTTCAATAACTATCACCTGTTCACGGACTTCTTCAGTCTCTTTAGGTTTTCTTCGTTTTATTAGAGGTAAAGGCTCCGCGGTTTCATCGGAAATGATCTCTTCAACAGGTTGTTTGATGGTCTTCGTCACAGGTGCCTTTCCTTCCTCTTCAACAGTGACCTCCTCGGTAACTTGTTGCTTCGAGCCCTTCCGTTTAATGACCCTCTTCTTCGTGGTCTTCCGAGGTTTGCCTTCTTTGGTTGTCTCTTCGGTAACAGTCACCTGTTCACGGATCTCTTCAGCTTCCGTTGGTTTTCCGTACTCCACGATAGGCAAAGTCTCAGTCGTTTCATCAGTGATGATCAATTCTTCAGGTTTCTCAATCACCTTCGTCACAGGTGCTTTACCCTCTTCTTCCACGGTTATTTCTTCGGTGATCTGTTGTTTCTGTCCCCTCTTTCTAATGATTCTCTTCTTTGTGGTCTTCCGAGGCTTGCCTTGTTTTGTCGTTTCAACAGTTACCGTTACTTGTTCACGCACTTCTTCAGTCTCAGATGGTTTGGCAAATTCGACTATGGGCAGAGGTTCCGTGGTCTCATCTTCCATGACTTCTTCTTCAGGCTTTTCAATTATTTTCTTCACGGGGGCTTTGCCCTCTTCTTCAACTACAACCTCCTCCGTCACCTGCTGTTTCTTGCCCTTCCTCTTGATAATCTTCTTTTTCGTGGTCTTCCGAGGTTTACCTTCTTCCGTAGTCTCCTCGGTGACAGTCACCTCTTCACGAATCTCTTCAGACACTTTTGGTTTTACATAGTCCACCGGCTTCAAGGGCATTGTGGTTTCTTCGAAGATGATCTCTTCCTCGGGTTTCTGTATCACCTTAGTTTCAGGAGCCTTACCTTCTTCTTCAACAGTGATCTCTTCAGTTACCTGTTGCTTTGGACCCTTCTTCTTAATGATCTTCTTTTTCGTTATCTTACGACGCTTTCCTTCTTTGGTAACCTCTTCTGCAACAGTCACCTGTTCTCGAACTTCCTCAGCTTCTGTCGGTTTCCCGTATTCCACCATAGGTAAAGGCTCAACAGTTTCATCATAGATGATTTCTTCTTCAGGTTTTTCAATGACTTTTTTCTTGGGAGTCTTCCCTTCCTCTTCAATCGTGATCTCCTCTATTACCTGCTGCTTCTTGCCCTTTCGCTTTACAATCTCTTTCTTCGTGGTCTTACGAGGCTTGCCACGTTTTGTTGTCTCCACAGTCACCGTCACCTGTTCCCGAATCTCTTCAGATTCTGTTGGCTTTGCGAACTTGATTTCAGGCATGAATTCCGCGGTTTCATCCTCGATAAACTCTTCCTCCGGTTTCTCAATTACCTTTTTCACAGGAGCTTTGCCTTCCTCTTCGACAACGATCTCTTCCGTAACCTGTTGTTTCTTGCCCTTCCTCCTAATAATCTTCTTCTTCGTTGTCTTCCGAGGTTTACCCTCTTCTGTGGTTTCAACTGTAACAGTCACCTGTTCTTTCACTTCTTCAGTTTCTATCGGTTTCCCATATTCCAAAGCTGGAATTGGCATCGTTGTTTCATCGAAGACAACATCTTCTTCAGGTTTTTTCACAGTCCTTGTCACGGGGGCTTTGCCTTCTTCTTCAACGGTGACCTCCTCGGTAACCTGTTGTTTCTTTCCTTTCCTTCTAATGATCTTTTTCTTTGTGGTCTTTCTAGGTTTACCTTCTTTGGTGGTTTCAACAGTAACAGTCACCTGTTCGCGAACCTCTTCAGTTTCTTCCGGTGTAGCATACTTTATCGCAGGCAAAGTCTCCGTTGTCTCATCAGTGATGACCTCTTCTTCAGGTTTTTCGATGACATTCGTCACAGGTGCCTTGCCCTCTTCTTCGATGGTCACTTCTTCCGTGACCTGTTGTCTCTGACCTCTTCTTCTAATGATTCTCTTTTTGGTGGTTTTACGAGGTGTTCCTTCTTTCGTTGTTTCAACAGTGATCGTGACCTGTTCCCGAACTTCTTGAGTCTCCTTCGGTTTTCTATGTTTTATCAAAGGTAAGGGTTCCGTTGTCTCGTCAGAAATGATCTCTTCGACAGGTTTCTTGATGACCTTCGTCACGGGAGCTTTACCCTCTTCTTCAACGGTAACCTCCTCGGTAACCTGCTGCTTTATGCCCTTCTTTTTTATGACCCTCTTCTTCGTGGTCTTGCGAGGTTTGCCTTCTTCGGTTGTTTCTTCGGTAACGGTTACCTGTTCGCGAATCTCTTCAGCTTCTGTCGGTTTTCCATACTCCACCATTGGCAAGGTCTCCGTCGTTTCATCAGTGATGACCACTTCTTCAGGTATTTCGATGACCGTCGTAACAGGCGCCTTGTCCTCTTCTTCTACGGTCACTTCTTCGGTGACCTGTTGCTTCTGACCCCTCTTTCTGATGACTTTTTTCTTCGTGGTCTTTCTAGGCTTGCCTTCTTTCGTCGTTTCAACGGTCACCGTCACTTGTTCGCGCACTTCTTCAGATTCTGTTGGTTTCGCGTATTTGATGGTCGGTAGAAGCTCCGTGGTCTCATCTTCGATGATTTCCTCCTCAGGTTTCTCGATGACTTTCTTCACGGGGGTTTTGCCCTCTTCTTCTACAACGACCTCTTCGGTAACCTGTTGTTTCTTGCCCTTTCGTCTGATAATCTTTTTCTTCGTGGTTTTACGAGGTTTACCCTCTTCCGTGGTCTCCATTGTGACAGTAACTTGTTCTCTCACTTCTTCGGTTTCTGTCGGTCGCACATATTCTACAGCAGGAATAGGCTCTGTCATTTCATCGAAGACAACATCCTCTTCAGGTTTTCTGATAGTCCTTGTCACGGGGACCTTGCCTTCTTCTTCAACGGTGACCTCTTCTGTAACCTGTTGCCTCTTCCCCTTCCTTTTAATGATCTTCTTCTTCGTGGTCTTTCTAGGCTTGCCTTCTTCGGTTGTTTCGACGGTTACTGTGACTTGTTCTCGAATTTCTTCCGATTCGGTTGGTCTCTCGTATTCTACCATCGGGAAGGGTGTCGTGGTCTCATCCTCGATGACTTCTTCTTCTGGTTTTTCAAAGATTTTCGTGACAGGGGCTTTACCTTCCTCTTCAACAGTAATCTCCTCGATGACTTGTTGCTTCTTGCCCCTCTTCCTAATGATCTTCTTTTTTATTACCTTCCGAGGTTTACCTTCTTTGGTTATTTCTTCGGTGACTGTCACCTGTTCGCGGACTTCTTCAGATTCTCTGGGCTTCTGGAATTCAACAGCAGGTAAAGGTTCCGTCGTTTCATCCTCGATGATTTCTTCTTCTGGTTTCTTAATTGTCTCAGTCACAGGCGCTTTTCCTTCCTCTTCAACGGTAACCTCTTCGGTAACCTGTTGTTTCTTTCCCTTTCTTTTAATGATCTTCTTCTTCGTAGTCTTTCGAGGCTTACCCTCTTCGGTTGTTTCAACGGTAACCGTGATCTGCTCGCGGGTCTCTTCAGCTTCTTTAGGTTTCGCGAATTCAACAATAGGAAGAGGCTCCGTCGTTTCGTCCTCGATGATTTCTTCTTCAGGTTTCTCTATGGTTCTCACTACGGGAACCTTACCTTCCTCTTCAATTGTAACTTCTTCGGTAACTCGCTGCTTTCCACCTTTCCTCTTAATGATCTTCTTCTTGGTCGTCTTTCGTGGTTTGCCTTCTTCTGTGGTTTCTACCGTAACAGTGACCTCTTCGCGAACTTCTTCCGTTTCTTTCGGTTTTCTACGTTTTATCAAGGGCAAGGTCTCCGTAGTTTCATCAGTAATGACTTCTTCTACGGGCTGTTTGATGATCTTTGTCTCGGGAGCCTTGCCTTCTTCTTCAATTGTCACCTCTTCGGTGACCTGTTGCTTTTGTCCCCTCTTTCTGATGACTTTCTTCTTCGTTGTCTTTCGAGGTTTACCTTCCTCGGTTGTTTCCACGGTAACTGTCACTTGTTCTCTAACTTCTTCCGATTCTTCCGGCTTCGCGAATTCGATTTCAGGTAAGGGCTCCGTGGTCTCATCGAAGGTCACTTCTTCTTCCGGTTTCTCAATGACTTTCTTCTCTGGAGCTTTACCTTCTTCCTCGATAGTGACTTCTTCGGTAACTTGCTGTTTCTTGCCCTTCCTTCTAATGATCTTCTTTTTGGTCGTCTTTCGTGGTTTACCTTCCTTGGTGATTTCGACGAAGACTGTAACCTGCTCACGAATTTTTTCAGATTCGGTTGGTTTTGCAAACTCGACGATTGGCAGCGGTTCGGTGGTTTCTTCAGGTACAAATTCTTCCTCTGGTTTCTCAATAATTTCTGTTACAGGTGCCTTGCCTTCCTCCTCGACGGTGACTTCCTCGACAACTTGTTGCTTTCTGCCTTTTCTCTTAATGATTTTCTTCTTGGTAGTCTTACGAGGTTTACCTTCTTCAGTTTCTTCCACAGTAACTGTCACTTGTTCTCTCACCTCTTCCGATTCCGTTGGTTTCACGAATTCGATTTCAGGTAAGGGCTTTGTTGTTTCTTCAATATCCACTTCCTCTTCCGGTTTCTCAATGACTTTCTTTACCGGTGCTTTACCTTCTTCCTCGATAGTGACCTCTTCGGTAACTTGCTGTTTCTTACCCTTTCTTCTAATGATCTTCTTTTTCGTGGTCTTACGAGGTTTGCCCTCTTTGGTGGTTTCAATAGTGACCGTCACTTGTTCTCTTACTTCTTCAGATTCTCTTGGTTTTGCGAATTCAATTTCCGGCAAGGGCTCCGTGGTCTCGTCAAAAACGATTTCTTCTTCAGGTTTCTCAATGACTTTCCTTACAGGTGTTTTTCCCTCTTCCTCGACAACGACCTCTTCGGTAACCTGTTGTTTCTTGCCCTTTCGTCTAATAATCTTTTTCTTCGTGATTTTACGAGGCTTGCCTTCCTCTGTTGTTTCCACGGTGACCGTCACTTGTTCTCTGACTTCTTCTGATTCTCTTGGTTTTACATATTCAACCTCCGGGAAGGGCTCGGTGGTTTCATCGAAGATTATTTCTTCTTCCGGTTTCTCTATTACCTTCTTCACCGGAACTTTGCCTTCCTCTTCGATGGTAACTTCTTCGGTAACCTGCTGCTTTTTACCGTTCCTCTTAATTATCTTCTTCTTCGTGGTTTTACGAGGTTTGCCTTCATTTGTTGTTTCCACGGTTACTGTCACCTGCTCTCTCACCTCTTCCGATTCCTTCGGTTTTATGTATTCAACCTCAGGTAAGGGTTCGGTGGTTTCATCGAAGATGACTTCTTCTTCCGGTTTTTCAATGATCTTCTTCACCGGCGCTTTACCTTCCTCTTCTATAGTAACCTCTTCGGTAACCTGCTGCTTTTTACCTTTTCTCCTAATTATCTTCTTCTTCGTGGTCTTACGAGGTTTGCCTTCATTTGTTGTTTCCACGGTTACTGTCACCTGCTCTCTCACTTCTTCCGATTCCTTCGGCTTTGCATATTGTACTTCAGGTAACGGCTCAGTAGTTTCATCGAATATCACTTCTTCTTCCGGTTTCTCTATGATCTTCTTCACCGGCGCTTTACCTTCCTCTTCTACAGTAACCTCTTCGGTAACCTGTTGCTTTTTGCCCTTCCTCTTAATGATCTTCTTCTTCGTGGTTTTTCTAGGTTTACCCTCTTCCGTAGTCTCCACCGTAACCGTCACTTCTTCCCGTACCTCCTCCGTCTTCTTTGGTCGAATTCTCATCCGAACCACTTCGTCAATCTCTTCAGGTATTTCCTCTTCCTCCTCCGGCTTCTCCTCTTCGCTCTTTCCTCTAACGATCCTCTTCTTCTTCTCCTTCCGCTTTATCGTGGCATGAGTTTCGATGACGCTTTCCCTTCTTTCATCCACGACTTCAGGTACCTCTTCGACTTCTTCCTCTTCTTCAGGAGCCTCTTCGACCTCCTCGATTATCGACGGCTTTATTTCCTCCACGTCCAACACTCCTGTCACCTCTTCTATCGGCATGAACTGCTTCTTCGGGATCGCGGGCAGGGACGACTTGATGTCTTCTAGTTCTTCTTCGATGACCACGACGTTCTCCTCCTCTCTTGACGAGGGCTTCTTCTTCCTGATGATCGTCTTCTTCGTCTTTACAGCCGCCGTCTCGTCGTCCTTGGACCCTCTTCTGAACTTCGTTGTGTACTCTTCGGTGATCTCCGTGTCGGATTCTACACTCGGTCGCTTTTTAATACCCGGATGTTCGTGTTTATCTGTGTGGTGTGTGAATGTGGTGGTTTCGTGTTGTTGGACTCGTGCTTCTGTGGTTTCTGAAATGTTAGAGAAGAGGTGTGGGTCGTGGGTTGTTGTGTAATACCCGAGAGACAGTTATCAGTTCCTCATCTTACGAATCGCAATTTTCATTGCTTTCATTATCGGTAAGAAATGAATTTAAAAAGATGGCCGCCGTCCTCGTCTCTCGGGCATTGATGTCGTATCGTGTGGTATCATTTAATGACCCTGGTTTCCGTACTTTGTCAATCGGTACGAGGTGATCTGTGTCGTTTCCGTGTAAATCTCGTGTGTGTCCAGCTCACGATAATATCGGGGCTCTTATCACCGTGCAAATCGCCTCCGCCTTGTACCGTATTGATACGGACTCGATGTTAACACATGTCAATCGTGTCGTGTCGTATGGGTAGTGTCTCGTAGTCGAAATATGTATTTCATGATTTCGGAGTACTTACCACAGTCAAGCTGCGATTTAATGTCTCTCGTCCCGATTTCTGACCTTATCTGATAAGTTCGGTCGAGAGCAAATCTTTACAGAATTCTAAGGAATCGGTACCGTCATTCGTTCCATATTTGTCATTCTCTCTTATACTTTCATTCGTATGGTGTGTCATATGGTGTCCCGTGGTCAAAGTGCACGGTGGGCCTTTTACTTTTTCCAGATCCATTTTTTAAATCACTTTCTACTCCGTGCTCCAAATTATTAAAGCTTTTTCTGTTCGAATGCTTAATTGATAGCGAGTCGAGTGATATAAAGCTTTCATAGCTTAGATATTGAGATTCTCGAGGGATTAAAACCAAAGCTAGTCAAACTCCACTTTATACAATCCATTAAATACCACCCGAAAAACCCTGGGTTGTGTTCAATGTCATTTTTCTATTTTTAATTTTTAATTTCAAATTTACAAATCGTTTCTGGGTCATTATTTTTTATACGCCTTTTCATTGACAAAAGATCGCGTCAGGATAAATTCTTTCGGGGGAAACTTTATACCTTTCGATCTGGTATAAACAAAGAATTTAAACAATGAGCTTTCGAGATTTGAAGCACGGTGGTATAAGAATGGATCTGAAACTGATAAAGAAACTCACCATGGATGTCGAGGATTCTGTGGTACTTACCCCACTCTGCGACCTCAATTTCAACCTTACCGGATTTCGACCTTACCGTCTAAGTTCCGTCCTTAATGTGACAAATCTTTCGAGAATCCTATTAATTCGGTACCGCCATTCTCATTCTCTCTCTCGCTTTCACACGGTCTCTATTTCCGTCGGGTCGTCCCGGGTCAAGATCAACGAGGTCGATCGAACCTAAGAACCTGGTACTCACCTACGACTCGCTGGAGGTGGTCGACCTCGACGGTCGCGCTAGCGACCTTAGCGAGAGGGACCGTCGACTCGGGGAGGTCGGATTCGAGTTCGCCGGTAGCACGGAGCTCGGTGACGAGGAGGCCATGTCTGACCTCATCGAGGCGAGTGGCGGTCCTGCCTGTGGGGCCCTCGACCTCGAACTCGCCGATGGTGCCCTCGGGCAGGACCTCGGTCTTGAGAGCGACCTCTCGTCGCACTACGTCAGGTTGGGCCGTTTCCTCTCTGGGCCTTTCCTCCAGGGGTTTCCTGGTCTCTCTCTCGTCGGTTGTCACCTGGGTGACCGTCAGGCTCTCGGTGGTCCTGAAGGAAACGTCGGCCATGGCCGTGGGGGCTTCTCGAGAGGTTAAGGTCAACTTGGCCTCGCTCTCTTGACGGATAGTCTCGGTGCTCTCGAGGCTCTCGAAGAGCAAGTGCTCTGGGGTGATCTTCTTGGTATCAGGGGCGACCGGAAGTGCGAGATCCTCGGTGGTGAGGGAGGTCAAGATCTGCGAGGTCTGCGCCACACGGCGACCGGAAACGCGGGTCTCCGCGGTCTCGGTGAACGGCGCTTCCGGGCTGGGGAGGTCTTTGTGGAGTTCCTGAGGAGTGGCCTCGGATACGGTTAACGAGACCAGCTCTTCGAGACCTGGTTTTCCCTTCTGGGCCTCCGGAACTTTGGGTTCGGTGAACTTTTCGGTGGTCCTCGCAGTGACGACCTCGGTGGTCTCCGCGATCTCTCTTCCGGTGACCTTAGGGAGGGCGCTGCTGCCCGATGGTACCTCATCTTTGGGGAGGAACTCCTCCGTCTCTCCGGAGACTACCTGGGAGATCGTCAGCGAGGTCAGCTCCTCGATGACCGGCTGGCCCTTCCGCTGTTCGGGGCCTTGAGGTCGTTCTAGCTCTTCGAGGTCGGTGTCGGTAACCACTTCCGTTGTCTGGGCGATTTCCCTGCCGATGAGCAGGCTGGGCTGCGCGGACTTCTTCGTGGGCACTTCAGGACTCGGTAGAACGTCTTCGACCTCGTTGGACAGTACCTGAGATATAGTGAGGGAGGACAGTTCCTCTACTTCGGGGCGACCCTTCTGCTCGTCAGGGTGTCTGGGTTTGGAGAAGTCCTCGACGGCGAGGGCGGTGGTGACCTCGGTAGTCTCTGCAACTTCTCTTCCGAGCAGACTCGGCTGCGCCTCCTCCATCTTCGGAACTCTGGGACTCTCCAGGAAGTCCTCCTCCTCGGTGGTCGTCACCTGGGAGACCGTCAAGGCTGACAGCTCGTCCACGCTTGGAATTCCCCTCTTCTCGTCAGGTGCGATGGAGAGATACTCTTCGAGACGGTCCACGGTGACGACCTCAGTTGTCTGGGCGACCTCTCTCCCGAAGAGGCTGGTCGTCACCGAGCCTTCCGAGGGCACCTCCTGGCTCGGCAAGGTCACTCCAGTTTCGCTAGACGTGACCTGCGAGATCGTCAAGGCCGTCATTTCGCTCAGTCCAGGTTTGCCCCGCTGCTCTTCAGGACGTTTCCCTTCTAGAAGTTCTTCAACGCTGATCGAGGTCGTCACTTCCGTGGTTTCCGCAACTTCTCTTCCCAGCAAACTGGGTCTAGCCGCTTCCTCCTTCGGGGCGAGGGCCTTCTTCAGGGTCTCCTCTTCCTCGGTGGCCGTGACCTCCGACACCGTTATGGATGTAAATTCGTCGAGTTTCGGACGGCCCTTCTGCTCTTCAGGACGAATCGCTTCCGACATCTCTCCGAGGTTGTCCGAGGGGTGGATCAGCGTGGTTTCTGCGATCTCTCTACCCTGAAGAGAGGGCTGTGCCGTCTTCTCATTTGGCAGTTCCGGAGCTGGGAGAACCTCCTCCACCTCGCCGGACACAGTCTGCAGAACGGTCACGGAGGAGAGCTCCTCTAATTGCGGTGTTCCCTTCTGCTCTTCAGGGGCTTTCTCTTTGGCGAACTCTTCCACGCTGGACGCCATTGTGATCTCGGTCACTTCCGCGGTTTCGCGACCGAAGAGCGCAGGCTGGGCGACCTTCTCCTTCGGGACTTCAGGGCTTGGAAGGACCTCTTCAGCCTCCGAGGACACGATCTGCGAGATCGTCAACGAAGTGAGCTCGTCCAATTTTGGCTTCCCCTTCTGCTCTTCAGGCTTGATCAGCTCCGACACCTCTCCGACGTTCTCTACGGGATGCACCTGGGTGGTCTCTGCGATCTCCCTACCCTGAAGAGATGGCTGTGCCATCTTCTCACTGGGGGCCTCCGGAGCTGGCATCGCCTCTTCAGCTTCGTTCGACAGGGTCTGCATCACGGTCACCGAGGTAAGTTCTTCCAATCCAGGTACTCCTTTCTGCTCTTCAGGGCCCTTTGGCACGACCAGCTCCTCGACGCTGCTGACCGTCGTCACCTGAGAGGTCTCGGCAATCTCCCTACCCAGAAGACCAGGTTGCGCCGTCTTCCCCTTCGGCATCTCTTCGCTGATCAAGGTCTCTTCTATCTCCGAGGAAACGACCTGAGAAACCGTCAGGGAGGTCAGTTCCTCTAATATGCGTTCTCCCTTCTGCCCAAGTGGAGCCTCTTTCTTCAGGAACTCCTCGACGCTGGCGACCGTGGTCACCTCCGACACTTCGGCTATTTCCCTGCCCAGAAGACTCGGCTGGGCGACCTTACCCTTCGGGACCTCGGGGCTGGGAAGGACGTCTTCGGCCTCGTTCGACACGACCTGTGAGATCGTCAACGAGGTCAGCTCGTCCAACGTAGGCCTGACCTTTTGCTCGTCAGGACCGATTGGCTTCTCCATCTCTCCCAGGCTTGTAGCCGTTGTCACCTGGATGGTCTCGGCGATTTCCCTGCCTAGGATGGCAGGCTGCGCCGTCTTCTCTGTCGGCTTTTCCGGAGCTGGGAGCACGTCTTCGGCTTCATTCGATAAGGTCTGCAGGACACTGATCGAGGTCAGCTCCTCCAGTCCGGGCACTCCCTTCTGTTCTTCTGGGCCTCTTGGTGTGACCATTTCTTCGACGCTGGTTACCGTTGTCACCTGCGTGGTTTCTGCGATTTCCCTGCCGAAGAGGTGCGTCTTCGCCGTTTGTTCACTCGGGACCAACGCTTCCGGTAAGGTCTCTTCGGTTTCTCCGGACACCGTTTGCGTCACTGTCACCGATGTCAGCTCTTCCAGTTTAGGTTGGCCCTTGTGTTCTTCGGGTAATTTTGCTGCTGGTGCCATTTCTTCCACGGTGCTTACAGTTGTCACCTGGGTTGTCTCGGCGATCTCTCGCCCCAGGAGATTCGGTCGCGCGGTCTGTTCTCCAGGAAGCTGCGGAGCTGGTAAGGTCTCCTCCTTCTCGTTCGATAAGGTCTGCACAACGGTTACGGATGACATCTGCTCGAATTTCGACTCCACTTTTTCTTCTTTTGGTTTTTCTTGGATCGACATCTCCGAGACTGTACTCACAGTGGATACCTGATAAACGGAAGAAATAAGGTTAAAATTCAGGTCTTATTATGTTAATAGTTAGGTACAATTGTAACTATATTGCACTGTATCCATATACACGTGCACATTACATACAAGTGTTGACATTGTGTTACCAATTTTAGAACCGAGGTGTTCATAGGCGAAAATTATGGACACCACTTTTAGGATTCTCTCTTTTAATTTCAGCGCCATTGATTTTGACTAATGCTTAATTCCTTATATTTATCAATATTGTTTGCTTTTTTTATATGGAATTAATTAGTATTACTAATAGGCACTTCAATTGTACCATGTTTCTATTGTACCCGACTTCCTTTATCTTATTGTTCAACATTTCCTTACCTGCATCGTCTGCGCAACTTCTCTGCCGAAGAGGCTTGGTTCTGCCATTTTTCCTTTTGGTACCTCTGGGCTGGGTAGAGTCCCCTCGACCTCGCTTTCCGTCACTTGGGAGACCATGATCGAGGTCATCTCGTCGAGGGTCGGTCGAATCTGTCTAGACTCAGGTTTCTCGCCAGCCAGGAACTCTTCAACGTTCGCCACAGCCAGAACTTGGGTGGTCTCGACGGCTTCTCTTCCAGAAACCGAGGGCAAAGCCTGTTGATCCTTTGGCTTGACCTCACTTTTCAGTTCTCCCTCGACCTCCGTCGAAAAGACCTCGGATACTGTCACGGAGCTCATCTCCTCGACCTTCCTGGTTCCAGTTGATTCTAGTACTCTGGGTCCTTCAAGTTCTCCCAAAGTAGTGTCAGTGACAACCTGCAAGGTCTCTGCGACCTCTCTTCCGGTTAAGGTCGGCTGGGCCTTTCTGCTTTTTGGGGTCTCCTCGGTCGGAAGAGTTTCTTCGGCCTCGTTCGAAAGGATCTCGGTGATGGTGACCGAGGTCAGGCCATCGACCTGAGGATGACCTCTCCGTTCCGGTGCATGGAATTTCCCTTCAAACGCCAGTTCGGTCTCTCCCAGAGTTGTTTCCGTTTCGATGACACTTTCCAGGGTGCTCCTCGTGACCGTCGCCTGCGAGGTCGAGGGCTTCTCTTCCAGGACCTCGCCGGTACCGTGGACGACCTCGACCTCGGACTTCTCGACCGACTCGAACACGCTGAAGGCCGCAGAGGCGTTGGCCTCGATGCGCCTTAAGGTCATCTCGAGGTTCTCCTCCTTATCCTCGGTGGTGGTCTCCGAAACCTGGAGGGACCTTACTTCTTGAATGTCGAGGTTAGCTCGTTGGGTTGTTGGAACGAATTTACCCTCGAAGGGTGTCTCAGACTCTTCGACGAGGTTCTCCGTGACGGTGAGACTCTCGAAGGTCTCCTGTCCTGGGATGGCCACTCTAGACTCGGGCTTGACCTCGATCGGCTTGTCTTTCATGTCGACCTGAGATTCCACCATGGTGGTCTCGACGGAGGTGTGCTCGATGACGATGTTTCTCGTAGCCGTTCTCGATTCAAGTAATTTCTGCTCTTCCAAGGTGGATTCCCTTTCGGCCGAGGTGACCTCAACGACGGAAAGACCTCGTCCCTCCTCGAAGGCCGTCACGGCCGAGGTCGGCGTCGCTCTGGGACGATCTTCGAAAGTCGCTTCCTTCTCTGCCGTAGGGACCTCTTCGACAACGACCGGTATCAATTCGTCTTGTTTCGGACGAGCTGTACGTTCTTCGGTTCGGAACTCTTCAACGAGGCCGACGTTCTGGCCGACGAAGACCTCAGCTCGTTGGGCGACCTCTCTGCCGACCCTCGTTAACCCGACGCTGGCGATGCTTTCTGGAGCCTTTGAAGTCGTCATGTCCTCCATTCTGTCGTCGGGCACGACCTGAGCGACGGATATGCTCCTACCCTCGACATAGCTGACGTCGATGCGTCGCTCCTCGACCTCGAATTTCCCGGAGAAGTCCGTGGGCATCTCGTTGGTGATGGCCTCCGTCACGCTGACGCTCTCGAGGGTATCGCGGATTTCGTGGGCTTCGGTCCCCTTAAAAGTGGTGACCTCGACGAGGCCAACGGCCTCTTGGGTCGAGACCTCGGTCCGTTCTGCCACCAGCTGACCTTGGAAAGCTGGCACGGCTACTTCCTCTCTTTTAGGCTTCACATCTACGAATTCGTCCTCAACCACATGACTCGAGGCTGTTGTTTCGAGGACGGTTAAGGACTGCTCTTCGTTAAAGGTCAGGTTCGCTTTGGTGGTTCCTGGTAGTCTGTCCGCCACCCGTTCGGCCTCTTTTTCAGCCAGAACCTCCTCCGTCATTTGGACCGTTTCGAATGGTCTTTGGTCGACCTTAGCCGTCGCTGAGGTCGGTTTAATTATCTCAGCCTCACCGGTGCTCATGTCTGGTACCACCTCCGACTTCTCTGCGACCTCGAAACCTCCCGGAACGAAGGTGGGCTTGACCTCGCGACTCAAGGCAGCCTTGTCGAGGTCTTCCAACTTGCCCTCTTTCGTGCCGGTCGTGATCTCCGTCACGCTAGTCACTCTCCTCTCCTCAGCCTCGACGGTGACCTCGACGTCGTGTGTTTCGGCCTTGAACTTGTCCTCGAACGTCTTCTCGTGGTCTTGGGCAACTTGCTGGGAGACAATTAAACTGCGATAAAGTTCTTGCGAGGTCGAGGCCAAGCGAGTTTCTGGCTGTAAGTACTCCACCCTCTTCTCATCGAGGGTATCTGAGGTCGTCACGTCGGTCGTTTCGGCGATTCCGTGAGTGAGGTCGATTCCAGGCGAGGCCACGTGCTGCGAAGGAAGTACTTCCGGGATGTAGGTGGTTTCTTTGTCCGCGGTCGTGACCTCGGTCACGGTGCACGTCCTCTCGGCCTCGAAGTCGACGATCGCCCGTCTGTCCTCCGGTTTAAGGTCTGCAGGAAGGTCTCCTTCCTTTTCGGCAACCATTGGCTGAGTCTCTTCCAGGGGCACGAAAGGAACCTGATCTGGGATGGCAGTTCCTGTCTCAGGTTTGACCTCGACCAGTTCTCCTATTCCGAGGTCAGGGACGAGTTCCGTTTTCTCGGCGACTGGGCGCATGTCCACGTCCAATCGCACTCCTACCCGCTTTGTTTCCGGCAATTCTCCTGGTTTGTACTCTCCCTCTTTGTCCTGTAAAGTGACGTAGGAGATCGAGGTCAAGGGCTGGCCCTCGACCACGGAGAAGTCCGCGATCCCGCCAGCTGGTAACTGGCCGACCTCGAATGGACCTTCCGCCTCGGTCGGTTGGGTTTCCGTTCTCACGACTGTCTCCAAAGGAATCGATGCAGGGGTGGCTGACGCGGAGATCGGCTTCGAGGTCTCCAGCTTCTCAGCGCTGACCTCCGTTGTGACCTCAAATCTTTCCGCGATGATTTGGCCAGTGAATTCCATGTCCACCTGGGCGGTTTTCCCTTCCGGTTGCTCTTCGGTTTTCAAGGTGGTCTCCCTGTCCTCGGCGGTAATCTCGGTCACCGTGAGATTGACATTTTCGTTTATCGCGAGGTTGGCAAGAGCCGTAGGTGTAGGTTTGCCTTGGAATTCGACCTCGACCTCGGAGACAGTGGCCTCGGTTTGGACGAGGCTCTCGAATGGGACGTGCTCTGGATGAGCCACTCGATCTCGAGGTCTCTCGCTCTCCAGGACCCTGGTCCCACCTCCGGCGATGACCTCGATCGAGGTCGCCACTCCGTGGGCGTCGTAGCTCGTCTTCGCGTGTTCGGTTTCCAATTGAGGTTTCCCTATGTACTCCGCCTCTCTGTCTCCCGTTACCGTCTGCGTCACGGTCAGACTTATCGTGCCCTCCTCCAGGCCGACCTCGACCTTCTTCTCCTCCGGCTTGACGAAGTCCGCCATGGTGCCCTCTAAGTCTCCCGTCGAGGTCTCCATTGCGACCAGAGACCGGAAAGTGACGTGGTCCACCTCTGCTGTGGCGGTGGAGGGCACCTCGGGTGCCAGCTCGTCGGTCTTGTCCTCAGCTCGCGTTTCAGTGACCTGAGCCACGCCTCTGAGGTCGCCAGGGAGGTCGACCACCGCTGATTTTCCCTCTGGTTGCTCTTCCTTTGGCAGAGCCTCTTCCTTCACTCCTGTGACTACGTCCGAGACGATCACACTCTCGTTCAGGTCTAATTCTAAGGTCGCGGTGCGACCCTCGTTTCTCGCGACCTCCTGGAACGGGGCCTCGGCCTCTCCTCCGACCACGACCTCAGCCACTGCGGCCTCAAACGGCAAGACAGAGGTCTTCGGCTTCTGATCCGCAGGTTTCTCGACTTCGGCGACCTCGCCTAAGCCCGATCCACTTACGACCTCGAACTTCGAGGCGACGACGTGCTGGGTCTCGAGGTCGACCTTAGCCTCGGCGGATTTCGGCCGTTCCTTGTCTGCTAGATCTGCCTCCTTGTCCTCGGGGTGTACGAAAGTGACCTCGACGCCTTCACCTTCCTCGAAAGCGATGTCGACTTTCTTCCTGTCGGGCTTAACATCCTCTATCAATGGTGCCTCTTTCTCGGATGTCGACGTTTCCGATTGGAGGACGACCTCTAATCCACTCTGTTTTTCTTGGGCGACCTCACCTTTCGGCTTCTCCTCGACGAGGTCGACCACGTTTGCCGAAGCCACCGTCTCCTGCGTCTGCGCGACCTCGTGGCCAGATATAAGGTCGACCTTAACTGTTCGTTCCTGTGGTTTTTCTTCTGTTTCCAAAATGCTTTCCCGAGATTCGGTGACGATCTCTGTTACCGTCAGATTCTCCGTCCTCGTGACGACTCCGACTTCGGCGCTCTTCGACTCCGGTTTCAAGTCTTCCGACCTCGGTTTCTCCGTCTCGGCTACGGTTGTCTCCGTCACCTAGAAACGGTTTTACGATTGCATTTAGATAAGAATTAATTATCGATAATTATTTAAGAAGGTCAGTAGATTGTGAAGTGCGTTTCGGTTAACGTGAGTTTAAAGTGAAATAAAAAAAGTATAGGAAATATTTGCTTACACAGCTGTTCTATTTCATGTTTAACGGGGAATTTAAGATGAAAAATGACGAACCACAAAATTTCATTTTTAATAAAAAAAAAATAGAAAAATACCCGTAAATAAATTTTTAAACAATTCAAATTTCATGGGTGTCAGGACCTTTCTTACAGCCTCCATATTCACGTTGTAAACGTTGAAACGATTCGATGCACCCAGTTAAGAGAAAAGTTTGATAAACGAGACCTTTGTGTAGCCACTTTCACATCACCTTAAACCTTAATTTGTTTCAGTGCTCACCTGTAGTTCTTGAAGAGCGTCGCTCCTGCGTAACGCCTTCGCAGTTTCGAGGTCTTCAGGTTTGATCGAGCCGGTTCCCAGTTCCGGGATGGTCTCAGATTTGACAGCCACGCTGCCGGTGGTAGAGGTCAGCATTGGCTTGGCACTGACAGCTTGAGGTCGAGGTCCACTCTCGTCGTAAGTACTCTCCGCGTCGTGGGCCACGACCTCGAGGACGCTCGAGGCCGGCCTCGCTTCGGATAGCTCCACAAGGGCAGTTTTACCTTTCGGCCTGACCTCATCCACATATGCAGCTTCCTTCTCCGCGACCTCCTGCATGCTGACCGTGATACCTTCCAAAGGAACCTGAGATGGAAGCGCGGTTCCTGTCTTTGGAACGTGAGGTCGATACTCGCCAGTCGGCGATTCGGTCCTGACCTCTTCGTGGCTGGCAGCGCCGAGAGGTGTGATAGTCGTCGATGATGCGACCTCGACTAAAGGTCGGGCCTCCCGGTCGTACTCGGTCTCCCTCTCTATGACGGTGACCTCAGTCGTGTGCACGCTCGAGGCCTCGTTTATGCTTACTTCGGCGACCTTACTGTCCGGAGCGGTGAGGTCGGTTACAGGAGTAGCACTCTCGGCTGTCACGGTTTCCGCGGTGACCGCTCCTGCTCTGACCTCGGTCTGGCCTATGTTCGCCTTGGCCGAGGTCGGGACCACGTCCACGACTTCTCCGGTTCCCTCCTCTGGCTGCGTGACCTCGACCTTTAGGGAGCGCACCTCAGAGGCGGGCACCCGCTTGCCTCGATGGCTCTCGGGAAGTTGGTACACCGCGAGGTCGGATTCCTTCTCCACCGAGGTGGTTTGACTGACCTCGATCCCGCGGATGGCCTCAAAGGAGGTGTCCACCGTTCGTTGCTCCGGTTTCACTGCTTCTGGCATGTCGACCTCGCGATCGTGGGCGAGGGTCTCCCTCACGAACTTGGCCTCGGTGAGCTCGACCTTGACCTCTCCGCTCTCCGTTATGTACTTGAGGTGGTCGGCAAAGTCTGCAGGATAGTCTGCAGTTTCGATGGAAACGACCTCGACGTGCTCCTTCTGGCCGACGGTTTTCTCCGCCAGGGCAGCGGTTGGCCTCGTCCAGGGGCTGTATTCGCCCTCGGACTCCTGAATTAAGGTCCCGTAAATGGTGCCGACCTCGAGAGGATGGGCCCTCGAGGTCTCCGCCGTCTTCGCCTCGGGTCTCTCGTCCGCCCGGTATTCTTTCTCCTTCTCCGAAACGACGGTTTCCACCGTCACCAGCGAGGTCTCCTCGACCACGTTAAGGTCGGCAGTGGCCTTCCTTCTCTCCTCGACGGTGAAGGTCGTCTCGCGCTGTTCGGTGCCGACAGTGGACACCGCAATGCTCTCGACGGTGTCAACCTTAGTCTCGGCCCTGAAGAGGTCGACCTTTCTGTCGGCCTCCAGGATGCCCTCGCTCTCCCTGACGGCGTGTTCTCGAACCGTCAACATGGTGTCACCAAAGGTCACATCCAATTGGGCCTTCTGCTCCAGTGGAAGTCTTCCAGGTACGTAATCGCCCTCCTTCTCGGGAGCGTGGATGACCTCGGTAACCCTCTGGCGTTGCTCGATGACCGACTCAGTCGCCGTCTCCGTCGGTACGATCAGCTCCGGATAGTACTTCCCAGGTTTGTCCTCTGGGAGGACCTCTTCGATCACCAGAGGCTCGTTAGGCGCCAACTTGACCTTAGGCTTCGTGGCGAAGGGCTTGATCGTCTCGAGGTCGCCTTCCAACAAGGCCTCGTTGACCTCGTACACGGTTAGCTCCTGCCTAGGCAGAATGGTGTCCTCCGCCGTTGCCGTCTTTGGTAAGACCTCGTCCTCTCTGGGGACCTCGGTCTGCCCGACGGTAGTCTCGAACGTCGTGGCGACCTCCCTATAATCTACCGTCACGTCCACCCTTCTTTTGTCCTCCACACGCACCTCCAATCTGGAGAGATTATCATCCACGCGGGTTTCGCTGACCACGACGCTCGAGGTCGAGGACACCACGCTGGGAACGGCCTCCGCCGTTGCCGGAGCGAACTTCCCGGAGAACGCTCCCGTTGCCCCCTGAGCCGTCGTTTCCGAGGTCGTGTATGGTTCCACTGGCTCTAGGGTGACCTTAGCCCGTCGGGCCTCCGGCTTGACCTCCCCCACGACGTCCTCCCTCTCCTGAACGGGCACCAACCTCTCCGTTAAGGCGTGCACCGCGTCTAAGGTCAGCTGGGCCTTGGCCGTTTCGGGCACTCCAGGTGCCTGTTCCGTGGTCCGATCCAGCGGAACCACTTGGTACCGCTGTCCGGGGACGTTGAGGGCGATCGAGGTCAAGGCCTTGTCCTTGTCCTCCTCGAAATCCTCAACCTCCTCCAGCTCGATCTCGGCCTCGCCCGTCGATGGCTTGAGAGGCTTCCGCGGCTTCCGAATCGTCCGCCTCCGCGCCTCTTCCTCGACTTCGACCTCGACTTCCTTTTTGACCTCGATCTCCGAGCTCCTGCGCTGCTTCCGGCGAATCAGCCTGCCCCTCGAGTCCCTCTCTACCACGATGACCTCCTCTTCGACCTCTTCCTCCTTGGTGTCCTTCCTCTCGACCTCCAACGAAGGCTGCTCCTCCACCGACTCTACCTCAACCACCTGTACCACCCCCTCTTCCCTATCCTCGATCTGCTCCTGTGGTTTTCTGTCTTTGAGCCTGAGCTGTGTCGTGTGTTGTGCTTGCCGTGTGTCCTCGTATTCTGTGGAAAGTATGTGGGAGACCCGGTGTCACAATTTATGCGTTGGTGGCGGCCGCGGAGGAAGAGCGCCCAAACAAAGATGGCGCCCATTGGAGAACGACCCCTTTGCTTAGACCTTAGATATCTAGACCTCGCATTGCAGTGAAAGGGGTAACCTCGAATGTACCACGTGAGCTGACCACAGGAACTAAGGTGCATTGTGTAGGTGTGGAGATAGGACCCAATCATACATTAGACCATGTATGTAGACTTTGTGTTGCAGTGGAAGGGATAAACGAAGATTCCACGTGAGCTGACACTCACCCACACAGTTAAGGCCATTTTGCTTACTGAACATTTGGGAGTGGGAGGTCCAATGTGAGGTCTGGATATGTGTGATCTAAGCCTCTTTGTCATTTTCGGCGCTTCCTCCGCACCGCTTCGTGTGTGCATCGATGCTCGTGCTCGCTCGATGCTCGCCAATTTCTTATCGCCTCGACTTTTTTTAGCACGCGGATATCGCTGATCGCTCTAAAAAAAATCTGGAGCAGCTTTTGCTTGCGAGAGGTCTCTATGCGCAGACTGGACAGGACGGACGACGCGTTGGCAAAGATGGGGTCGATTTAATTTATGCTTTTATTATATTCAATTAAGATAACAAATGTTATCTGGGCATGGAAAGAACTGAACGAAGTCCCGGCCATTCGAAGTAATGTATAAAAAAAAAAATAGTGGTAATAGTAACATATAAAAAATGAGGTCTGGCGCCCATCTCTGAACACGAGCGAGCTGGCTTGTGAGTTTGGCGTACGTAGACGTGCATATACGAGTATGTGGTAATTGCATGCGCAGTGGACAGTGGATACCAAAGTGTACATACGCAATTCGGCTAGTTGCATGCACCGGCTGCGCCTGCGTAAGCGCATGTCGACGAGACACGAAAACGAACAAGACTGGACACAAAACTGTTGGATAAGTACCAACGTCCGAAATCCCGAAAAATGTGGCCCCTACAACGTAGGTATCCTCCTGGGTCGACCTTAAGGCAAACGAGGTCTCTCGACGAGGGACCTCGACCTACAAGAGGTCCTCCGATGAGCGACCTAGATGCAAATGAGGTCTCTCGACGAGTAGCCTTAATGCGATTGAGGTTTCTCGAGGAGTTAATCTCAAAGCACATAAGGTCTCCCGACGAGCGACCTCGACGCAACCGAGGTCTCCTAACTTCGTTGGTTTGGTGCAAACGAGGTCTCCCAAGGAGCTGATTTGGTCGGTGGAAAAATCATCCGACGAGCGACCTCGACGGAAGCTACGACCCCGTGGGGACGTTCGCCCCACGGGGGAGAGGTCGAGGTCTCTTTCACTCTCACACCCGGGGTCTCGGGGCAGAAAATCCACAACCGGGCAAACCAAGACTCTCTTCGGCGAGATACTTACACGTCGCGTGGCATTCCGTAGGTGCGAAGCGGCTCTTCTAGAAGCGCGAGCGGGTCAAGGCTCTGGAGCTTGCGACATGGCTTACAGAAATCACTGAGAAATACGGCTGCGCGTGTCAAAGCATAGCGGCATAAGCGTAAACGAAAAGGAAATCGAGCTCGAGGGTGCTTCGCGGTTTGCGAAGCGCGTCTCATGCACCCGAGAGCGAAACGACGGGAAGAACGACGAGAGAGGTCGGAGGGCCCGGAGAGCCGGGGACGGACGTCGACCTCGAATCGAGGTCTGCTCATTTCGAGTCCGTCCCCCAGCTCCCCACGGGCTCTCCCCTAAAATTATCATAAATATGGGGACATCGATCGGTGCCCGATGGGTCGAACCTTTGATCTCCTGGACATCCCTCCTGAGCACCGTCTTCCGCTCGTCCTTCCTCACTGCAATCAGAAAGAGGGAGATATCTTTCGGAAATCCGGCGGTTCGCGAGGGAGGCGAAAGAAAGAGGACGTTCAGTTAGTTAAAAAAACACGAGTTCTTTTATTATCGGCGATTATTTATTAAGCTGTACAAAGGAAGCCTCTCTAGACTCTTGCGGGTCCTTTTATTCTCTCTCATTTATTCTCTCTACCTCTCGCTCTCTCTCTCTCTCTGGAATCAGCGGGGTTTTTCAGCCGCGGGGGTGCTGTCACTCGGGGGCGAAGCGCCCCCGCTCGGGGGCAAGCGAACACTCTCTGCAAGCGCTGGCAGAACACTGAGAACACCCTGAAGAGGCTATCTCCTCCCGGACTTACCCGACACTCGGACCTCCTCCACCCGCTCGATCATCCTCCGGTCCTCCGTCTCGGTCACCTTTTGGAGAACAATGGGGAACGTCAATTTCCAAGAAATTGTCAAACCAGGGATTTGTTAGCTAATGTGTGTATGAATTAATTCACGGAGATGAGGACGAGGACGGGGATCAGGTGTCCGTCGGAACCAGGGGTCTGGACCGGACCGAAAAAAATCCGAACGGAATTTTTATTTCAAGCAAATCCGGAACTGAAACCGATTCTTGTCAATAATGGACTCGTTACATCGGAACCGGACCGGATGTATCTTTCTCTATCGGTCCTCTTCGATTCTCTTGCGCTTCCATTTACAGAGCGGAATAAACTCAGTTTCTTAAACCTTGCCGCATGATTTCCACGGGAGCAATATCTCTAATATAAATGTTTGTCTGTAAAGTCTGTCAGTACAAATGAAAAAAAATATTGGAAATAAAAACCGCGTAAATTGTGTTATAATTTACTGGGGAAAAAAAGTGCCGCGTAAATTGAGGGAGAGCGGTATAGTACTCGACCAGCGCGATGCACCTCTAATTTAATTTAAAAAAGAAAAAAAAACGGAAACCGATACCAGAACCAAAAAAATCCGAAAGTAACCGAAAAAGTCAGAAGTGGACGTTTCTTTTCTTACTAGACCGGGACTGAACCCCCCTTTTTTTTAATTGAATTGGTAAAGAAAACCAAGGTTGGACCGAAATTGTCTCGCAACCGTCATTACGTCTCGGTCCAGGTCCCTGACGGGAAGGTTGGCGAAGATCACCTCGATGGCCTCGGAAGCCTCCCAGGCTCTGGGGCGGAAGTCTTCAGGGGCGAAGTGAGCAATCACTTCTTCAACGGTGGCGCTCTGCAGCTCGACCATCCTCATGAAGGCCCTGAAGCCCACGGTGGCGGCGACCACGCTCTCGTCGGTCGTGGTCTCTTCGGCAAGTACCTGAGTGACAAGGGTCCCATGGCCCTCTCTCTCCACCAGCTGGACCAGCGCGTTCTGGGCGTCGGGGGTCCTCAGGGCTGGGAAGGCATCGGTTCTGTACAAGGTCTCGTTGATCTCGTGGACGGAGACACCCTGGCGAACCAGGTAGCCGATGGTGGCCAGTTCCCGAAGAGGAGACTCCCCAGGGCCGAAGTCCCTGGCACTCAGCAACTCCATCGTCTCCGTGACCTCTTTCGCGATTTTCTCCCTGTGTTCCTCGATCACCCTCTCCACGCTCGCCTTCTTCTCTGGCTTCGGCTTCTTCCTTCGGGGAGTCTCCTTGGTCTCGGTTCTTCTGGTCGTGGTGGTGACAGTGGTCACCTCCTCTCCGAAGGTAGGGACGATGTCCTCGGTGGTCGTCGTCTCGGAGACCACGACGCTCTGGCGCTCCTCGATGATGGTCCTCGCGCGCTCCTCCGTCGCGTCGAAGGAGATCTCCTCGGGTTTGGTGTCGATCTTCTTCAGGGACGCCGTTGCCGCCGTGGTAACGGGTTCCTGGATCGGTATCACCTTGGTCGCCCGCGCCGGCTAATTGGACAATCACCATTTCGATTTTACCGCGACCTTCCTCGGCGACTTTTAGGGGCTCTTCAGGTTTCTCTTACCTTCCGCGCGGTCTCCTCGATGGTCTCCGTGGTCTCCAACACTCGGGTCTCCGAGACGTCCACGATCGCTCTGGTGTTGGGAAGGAAAGGATTAATATCAAAAATAATAATTAATAACAGTGATATTCTGTTAACGTGAATTATGTGGAGAAAGAATAATCTCACCTGTCTTCGGGTTGCTCGGTCGGTCCCAGAGCCTTTTCAAGGACCACCTTCTTCTTGGCATCGACCTTGACGCGCTCGGTCTTGACTTTTTCTTTGGTTTCCTTTGCCTTCTTTGGCAGGGGCTTCTTCTTCTTCTCCAGTCTGACCTCAACCTTCGCCTCCTGCAGCTCTTCTTCCGCAGGCCCTTCCGTCTCTCTGGTCGCATCTTCACCAGTGGCGAAAAAATTCTCAATAATCGTCCTATGTCGAAGAGGACCTTGAAGTACGATCGTCTTACCCGTCACTCGCAGCTTGGCCTTTGTGACTGCCAATCCGATTTCGCTGGTAGCTTTGCAGACGTAGACGCCCTCGTCCTCCCGAGTGGCGGATCTGATGGTTAAGGTCGTTTTCTTCTCCGTGTCCAGTATACGTATCTTCAGGTTCTCCGTGTTCTTCACCAGCTTGTCGTTCTTGTACCAAACCACGTCTGCTCGAAAACCCAAGAAATTGAAGTTAAAGGAGCAATTTAACCCTCGTTTCGTACATTTATTCATTATTTTTTATACTTAACCGGTTCTTTTCGTTATCATTGTTTTTTAAGATCGCAATCAGACTTCCTTTATCCTTATTTTATTCAATTTACTGACCATATTTTCCAAATGAAAAAATTTCAAATTCATATGAAATTAAATAATTGCCAATAATAGCTATTAATTAATAACTATGATCAGTGTATCTATTTATGGTCAGGAATGAAAGGGTTAAACTTTTTACTCGAAGCGGGATTGCCCGAGTAGATACACTCGTACCAGTAATAACTATCAATTAATATGCTACCATATCAAATAAGATCAGCGTAAGTATCTACTTGTTATATGGATGTCGACCTAGGTCAGGATCGAAAGGGTTAAACTTCTTACCCGGAACGGGATTGCCCGAGTAGGTGCACTCGTACACCACGGTCTGTCCTTCCTGGGTGTAGATGTCCGTAATCTCTTGAATAAATCGCGGCACGGACTGAGTGGCTGCAAAGAGATCAATCGATTACACTTCATATGACGTCTTCAAATGTCTGATTAACCTCCAATTTTACCTGCACTTCAGGGTCGACCTCGCTTGGTGCACCCGGTCGTGCATCTCCCGGTCCCTCTCTACGTGGCTGATGCGAGGCCGGTGTCAGTAATCTGGTTAGACGAAGAAACGCACACGAAAAGTTGCGAAGCTCATGCAGCCTGACTCGGCTAACTATTAGTCGGCATTGTTAGTTAGAGCGGTACCTGACACGGTGCCCCGGTCGTCCTCGCTGCGGAAACCGCCGAAGGACAACTCCGACGCCGACGCGGAAGCGGAGGCTGAAGTGGCGGTCCCGAGACCAAGATGGCCGCTGCACTGGCTCTCCAGGAGCAGGAACTCCTGCAGCTCCTCCTGGCTATCGGCGGTGTGAAGCTGCTGGAAGGCTTCGAGGTCGACCTCGCGAGGCTCCAGGGGGTACATCCTAGGGTCGTGAGGTCTCGTCAGTCTCCGTCGAGGCAGTGGAATCCGCGACCTCGGGTAAGTGTGATACTTCCGGTGCGGCATCTCGCAGGGCCGACCTCGACCTCCGCTCGAGGTCGAGGTCTCGCTGTTCTCCTCGATAGGCGAGAGACAAGAAGCGATGCCGGTCGCGACCGACCCGGGACGTTCCGACCTCGGCGGTGGAAATTCGTCGAAGTCCAGGGTGATCTTCTTCTTCCTGACCTCTCGGGGTTTCCTCTCGCTGACCTCGCTTTTCCCAGAGTCCCGACCTCGCTTCTCGCTCCTCACCGGAGACGACCTCGGCCGAGGATCCGAAGGACCTCTCCTCTTCCGTTCCCTCGAGGAGCTCGGCGAGGGCGTCGCTCTTCTCTCCTCTGTTGAGGACCTCGACCTCTTCGCAGGGGGCGACCTCGTCGCCTTCCCACCCTCTGTGCTGCCCTGTCTTTTGACCTCTCGGGGTGATGTGCGGTTTTCCGATTTCGAGGTCTCCTTCGTGCGAAGTCTTCTTCTCCCTCGGGGCTTCGAGGACGCCTCGACCTCGGACCTTTCGAGGTCCTGGGGAGGTTGGATGTCCTCTGGGTAGTTCTCCTCGTCGGCGACGGAGAGGTCGCCGATGGTGGATCCTCGGATTCTCGAAGGGAAGCCGACCTCGTCGAGGCTGTCACTCGAAAAGCCAATCGTGCGCACACTCGCGGCCATGCATCGAAGTCTCTCCGAATCGTGCTTACCTCGAAGAGCTTCCTGCATCTCCTCCATCTGGGTCACCCACTCCGGTTTCCTGTACACCTTGGTCCCGACGATTCCTGGGGAATTAAGGTCTAGTTAAAACCAAGAACGACCTCGACGACGACGCGACCTCCTCCCTTTCCCAGAATTCGGAATCGAATCAAAAACACCTTCTTCAGGTGCAAAGAAACTTTGTCTAATATATATATGCCCGTCAATCATCCTTTCTGATCACAATTTCAGTTACATTATGTTAATCCGGTCAGAAAACAACTGAAGTCAATTATTATGCACCATATACGAACATTCTCATTCTCGGTTGAGAAGAAATATTCGTGCAACTTGAAGTAACCTCGGAATTCCGGAAGAAGAGGAAGCGGTATTTTGTTTCGTGTTGAGTGTAGCGAATAAATCGTAAGTCTTAAAGGGGGACCAGGGGAAAGGCGATCGGGGTTCGAGGTCTGACGATGACTGCTGGATGATGCTGAAAAGAACTCAATTCAACTTATTAGATCAGCCAACTGCCGGGAAGAAAAAGAGCGATGCTACGAGGAGGACCTCACCTTCCACCGAGAGGTAAGTCGTGGTCGTGGACACACCCAGCGGGTTGTGCACCTCGAAGGTGATCTCCCCGGTGTCGTCAGGGTAGGTCTCGGCAATTGTCAGGACCGAGGTGAACTCGTCGGGTTGTTCGATCTGGAAGTCCCTCGAAGGAATCACCTCGATGCCGTCTTTCAGCCATTTTGCTTGAGGAGTCGGCTTGCCTCTGAACTTCACCTCGAGCCTTTGAAATTAAATAATTGCCGATAATAACTGTCAACTAATAACTATGGTCGGAAGAGAGACTATACGGGAGAGAGATCATAGATAGAAGCGCTTCTTAGGGTCCGCCATTTTGGAGAACGTACCTCGTCAGCTCGCCGTCCTTTGCCGGGACCAATCTCGGCAATTCTTTCACGATCATCGGGGCAAGCTCCTCCGTGAAGCTCTCTGAAATGACGATCCGTTAGGATTCACATATCCATGACATTGTTAATTAACAATTATGTAAACCGAGCAGTCCAACCCGCGGCTTCCAACCATTAATAACGCGGCCTCGCGAGACTTTATTCTTTTATTATTATTATCAGATGTTTTGTAACATACTTTATCTCTCAATTGCGTGGGGTTTAACTGTATATTGGGCAAGCAATAATTGTGTCAATATTGACTGCACCTGATTAATAGAAATAATAATTAACTGTAGAAATAAAATAAGTGTTTCAATTTTCGCTACCCTCCCACTTCGTGGTATACGAAGTTGTACTACTGTAGCATAAGGAGCTTCACTTGGGAAAGAAATTTTGTTACATTTGTACATCAATTATGTTATATATTTCAAATGCAGCCCAAGACTATTCCTATTAACCCAACGCGGCCCAAATAAGATATAAAAGCAATCCGCAAGTAAACTTCAATAGGATAAGATTAAGACTTTCGCAAATTCACCGCAAAAATTACAATTATTCTTCTTCAAAACCTCACTTTTCCTACATTTTTTGTTTAAATTTATTTTAGTTCCGGCAAAGAATGTATCTGTACTAAGTTGCTTTGAATCCATCCTCTAGGATATAAGGTCGGAGCTTTTAATTTTCATAAATTCCACTTTATAGGTCCGAGAGATGAGGATTGGGTTTCATTTTATTTTTCCCTCTACCGCCAGTGGAATAAAGGGCAAAGAAACAAATCAGGTATTCTCTCCAATTGCCATTCTCAATTCTACCTTAGTCTTCTTGTCGAGAATCTCACCTTCAGGTAACTCTTGAGGAGCGACGAATGCCAAATTCGCTCTGCATTCTGCTCGTCCGAATTTGTTGGTGGCTATCACCCGATAAATGGCCTGGTCCAGAGGCTGTGGATGCAAAATCGTGAGAACCGTCTCGCCGGTTTCCGGAGTGAAGGTCACTTCCGTCGCTTCGTCGGTCAGGATCTCTTCTTGACCCCGGTACCACCTGACTTCCGGAACCGGCGTGGCCGTCACGACGCAGGTCATCCTGGCAGGCTGACCTTCCTCAACCAACAACGGCTTGACCGGTTTGATAAAACGTGGGGCAATGCCCTCTTCCTCTTTTTCTGTACACAGGAAAAATCAACAATTACTCAAATTGCATGCCGAAGAGTGCCACACACCGAGCAAAAAGCCATATCTCTGGTTTAATCGCTGCACGAACTCCAATCAATTAGTACATCATTCCATTTACCGGCGCTCATCACGAATCACAATAACTTTAAGGTAGCATGAAAGTGGCATCCGTCGGTTTAATTGTTTATGAGACTTTTCTCCGAGCTAAATATACGAAATCGCTTGAAATTTTACCATTTAACTATGAAAGCCCTAAAAGAGGTCTTGACATCCATGAAATTTAATTTTAAATGTTTATAAATGCCTTAAGGTGATACGAAAGGGTGGTTCTATAAATATCCAAACGTCAAAATGTTTACAAAACTTTTCTCCAAACGAAGTGCGCCGAATCATTTGAAACTGTGATGTTCATGAGATATCATTTTCCAAAAAAAAACAAATGTTTAAAAATGAAATTCCATGAGCATGGCGTTTTTCCTTAGGGCCTCCGTAATCACGAGCTGAAGTTTCAAACGATTCGGTGCACCCAGTTTGAAGAAAAATTTTATAAATAATTTGACAGTTTGATACCTATGGAATGACTCTTTCATATCACCTTAAGGCCTCTATATTCAAATGGTTAAATTTCGAACAATTCGGTGCACCCAGTTCGGAGGGAACCTTCATAAACGATTGATTCCTCGGATGCTAATTTCATATCGCCTTAATCCGCCGCGTTTGACGCGACCCTTGAGGTATAATTAGAAAAGGGTAGATGGTTAAATTCGCGCAAGGCGCGGAATAAATATGCATCACGCGATTCACAGCACGCAACACACGCAGATGCAAGACCGTGTCGAGTCTCGGGTGCGTAGAGGTTGATGGTCCTACCGAGAACGACGAGGTTGACGGTGGTCGTCGCGACGCCTGCAGGGTTCGACGCTCTGCAGGTGTAGATGCCGACGTCTCTTTCGGTGACGGTGACGATTTCGAGGGTGGCCGTGTTCTCCACGAGGGATGCCGTGTGCCTCTCGCTTGGTTTCAGTTCCTGTTCGTTTCGGTACCACGCGATTTCCGGAAAAGGAGTGCCGATGACGGTGCAAGCAAACGTCACCGGTTTTCCGACCTCTGCGACGATCGGCTGCAACTTCTTGATGAACCTAGGTGCAACTTTCTTGTCTCTGTCGGCGATGGAAATGTCGACTTGGGTCCGTTGTTTCCTCTTGATTCGTTTTTCCGTTCGCTCCAGCACAGTGGTTTCATCGGCCTCCTCTTCAGGATGCTCTTCGGGAACTATCTGGATGATCTCTTCCTCCAGTTTCTCGGGAACCTTCTTCCGAGAGACGATCGTGGTCTTTACGATTTCTTCCGTTATCTTTTCTTCGGGTACCTCTTCAGGTGTCTTCTGCTCTTCGGGTTTCTTTGGCTTTTCTTTTGGAACCTTCTTTCCTCTCCTCCATGGAAATGCGGTCGTTTCGGATGGCTTCTCTTCCTCGACTTCTTCAGGGGCGACCTCTGGCTGTAGAGTGGGCTTTTCTTCGGGTTGAGGGACCTTCTCTTCGAGTTCGATGACGAGCTCTTCTGTAACCTTTTTGATGGTTTCTTCCTGTTTGGAGAGGTCTTTCACGGGCTTTGGCTTTTTCCTTCCTCGTATCCAAGGAACTGCCGTTTTTTGCGTTTCTTCCTCCGTGGTGACCTCGACCTTCTCCTCGACGATCTCCGTTCGGCTTTCGATGGGAACCACGGTCACCTCTTCTTTGAACTCCACGACTTTCTTTGTCTTCTTCTCCGGCTTTTTGCGCCAGGAGATTTCCAGGCTCTCGGTGTGTCTTGTTTCTTCAACTTCTTCAGGTTTGATTTCGACTACTTCCGGAGCTTCTGGCTGTTCGACGACTTCGACCTTGTCGACGGGTTTCTCTTCAGGTTTCTTCAGGACTTTGCTTCGTCGCCATGACACCTTTTCCACTGAGACTTCGGAAGGTACTTCCTTCTCTTCAGGTTTCTCTTCGACTTTGCGAGGAATCAGTTCCTCCTCCTTAGGAACTTTTGCTACTTCTTCAGCTGGTTTCTTAGGAATAGGTTTCAATTTGACTTCTTCAGGTTTTTCCTCTTCCTTAGAAGGCTTCCTAGGAACGGGCTTTAAGGTTACCTCTTCTTTGGTTTCCTCCTCCTTGGGCAATCGTTTTACGGGTTTGAGGCTAACCTCTTCAGGTTTCTCTTCTTCCTCCGATGGTTTTCTAGGAATGGGCTTCAAGGTAACTTCTTCTTTGGCCTCTTCCTCCTTGGGCAGTCGCTTCACCGGTTTCAAGCTAACCTCTTCAGGCTTCTCTTCTTCTTTAGGTTTCCTCTTAGGAATAGGTTTCAACTTCACTTCTTCTTTCTCTTCTTCTTTCGGTACCCGTTTCACTGGTTTTAGAGCAACTTCTTCAGGTTTAATCTCTTCCTCAGAAGGTTTCCTAGGAATGGGCTTCAAGGTAACTTCTTCCTTGGCCTCTTCCTCCTTAGGCAGTCGCCTCACCGGTTTCAAACTAATCTCTTCAGGCTTCTCCTCTTCTTCTTTAGGTTTTCTCTTAGGAATAGGTTTCAACTTCACTTCTTCTTTCTCTTCTTCTTTCGGTATCCGTTTCACTGGTTTTAGAGCAACTTCTTCAGGTTTAACCTCTTCCTCAGAAGGTTTCCTAGGAATTGGCTTTAAGGTCACTTCCTCATTGCCCTCTTCTTCTTTCGGAATTCTTCTTACTGGCTTCAGTTTAACTTCTTCAGGCTTCGTTTCCTCTTCCAAGGGTCTCTTAGGAACCGGCTTCAACTTTACCTCTTCCTTCTCTTCCTCTTTAGGTAGACGTTTCACAGGTTTTAATGAAACTTCTTCAGGTTTAACCTCTTCTTCCGAAGGTTTCCTAGGAATCGGCTTTAAGGTTACTTCCTCTTTGGTCTCTTCTTCCTTTGGTCGCCGTTTCACAGGTTTCAGGGTGACTTCTTCAGGTTTTTTCTCCTCTTCGGGTATTCTCTTAGGAACGGGCTTCAATTTCACTTCTTCCTTTTCTTCTTCTTTCGGTGTCCTCTTTACAGGCTTTAGAGCGACCTCTTCAGGTTTCACCTCTTCCTTCGGAGCCCTCCTAGGAATAGGTTTTAATTCCACCTTCTCTTCAACCTGTTCTTCCTTTGGTAGTCTCTTCGCGGGTTTCAAGGTAACTTCCTCCTCCTTCGGTTTCTCTTCAGAAAGTTTCTTAGGGATCGGCTTCAAGCTCACATCCTCAGATTCCTCTTCTTTCGGCAGACGTTTCCCAGTCTTCAAGGAAACTTCTTCAGTCTTCCCTTCTTCTTTCGGAACCTTCTTCGGGATGGACTTCAGCGTCACTTCCTCTTTCGTCTCTTCTTCTTTAGGTAAACGCCTCACCGGTTTCAACTTGACCTCTTCGGGTTTCTTCTCTTCTTCAGGGACTTTTTTAGGCACCGGTTTCAACCCAACTTCCTTGCTTTCTTCTTCTTTCGGGAGTCTCTTCACAGGTTTCAGAACAACTTCTTCAGGTTTCTCCTTTTCCTCCGGTACTCTCTTAGGAATCGGTTTCAGGACGATCTCTTCCTTCGTCTCTTCTTCCTTCGGAAGTCGCTTCTTAGGTTTCAAGGTTACCTCTACTTTTTCCTCTTCAGGTTTATCCGGAACGGAAACTATTACTTCTTCCTTCTCAGTTTCGCTTGGAACGATTTTCTTCACAGGTTTCTTTCCACGCCTCCAAGGAAGTTCGGTCTTCTCTTCGGGTACTTCTTCTGGTGCCTTTTCCTCCATTTTTTCCGGTTTCTCCTTTTCTTCAGCAGGTATTTTCTTTTCCTCACGTTTCTTACCCCTGCGCCAGGGAAGCTCGGTCTTTTCTTCAGGTTTCTCTTCATCCTTCACCGGTGCAACCTGTTCCGGCTTCAGTTCCTTCACTTCCGGCTTACTGGGAACCTCTTCTTTCGGCGAAATCTCTTCAACTTCTCTTTCAGGTTTCTTGGTCGTCCGTTTCGGTTTCACCTTTTCAGAGGGCTTCAGCGTGATTTCCTTTGTCTCTTTTTCTTCAGGCTTCTCTTCTTCGGTGGGCACAGGCTTCAGCGTAATCGTTTCCTTGATCTCCTCCTCCTTCGGTTTCCTCACCACCGGCTTTAAGGTCACCTCTTCCTTTTCTTCCGGTTTTTCTTCCTTCGGGACCCGTTTGACAGGTGTCAATTTGACCGATCGTATATCTTCAACTTGCTCTTCAGGTTTCTCGATGACACTTCTCTGCGGCTTTTTACGTCGCATCCAAGGCAACTGAGAGCTTTCCTCGGTCTCTTCGGGTTTCTCCTCAGGCTTTGCTTCTTCAGGTACAAGTGGCTTCTCTTCCTTGTCCTTAGGCTTCTTCTTCCCTCTCACCCAGGGTAACGTGCTGACCTCTTCTTCTTCTCGTTTCTCTTCAACGAGACGAGTGTCTTCCTCCTCTTTATAAGGAAGAGTCTTCTTTTCTTCAGGTTTCTTTTTAGGCCGTCTCCAAGACACCGCTGTTTCCTCTGTCTTCTCCTCTTCAACTTCTTCCTTAACCTGTGCTACCTTCACGACCTTGGTGTCTTCCTCTTTCTGCACCTCCAGAAGTTTGGTATCCTCTTCTTGTTTATATGAGGTCGATTTATCCTCTACTTGGGGCTTCTTCTTTTTAGCCCGTCGCCATGTTAAAGCCGATTCTTCCGTTTTCTCTTCGACTTCTTCTTCAGCCTTCACCTGTTCGGCGTCTTTTTTCTCTTCCTTCACGCGACGCAAAGGTGCCCTGGAAACCTCGGAAGGTGTCTCTTTCTCTTCGACTTCAGGCTTCTTTTCCACCTTCTTCAGGCTTAACTCAGGCTGCTGTTCCTTTTCCTCAACCGGTGCCCTGGGGACGGGCTTCAGCTTGATCTCTTCAGGTACTTCTTCTTCCTTCGGCAGACGCTTAACAGGTTTAAGAAGGACTTCTTCCTTCTCCTCTTTCTCCTGGACCTTCGGAGCTCTTTTCACGGGCTTCAGGGTAACGGACTTGATGTCTTCAGTCCGCTCTTCAGGAACTTGAACCACAGTTTTTTGTGGCTTCTTTCCCCTTAACCACGGAAGTCGAGACACTTCTTCAGGGGCTTCTTCCTCGGGTTTCTCTTCAGGTTTCAATTCTATCGATTCCTCAACCACGTCCTTCTTTTTCGTTACCTTCTCCAACGTGATCTCTTCAGTCTCAACAAATTTGTCAGCTTCAGGTTTCTTTAAGTCGATGCGTTTTTCTACCTTCTTTGGTTTCACCTTCTCAACTTTCTCCTCCTCCTTCGTTTCCTCCACTTGAAGGATTTTGGATTCCTCTTCTTGGACGAAGGTGGAAACTTCAGTCTTCTTATCCTGAGGTTTAAGACGTTCCTCGACTTTCTTCTTAGGACCACGCTTTAGCTCAATCTTTTCCTCGCTCTTCTCCACCTTCTCTTCAGGAATCATTTCTTTTTTAGGCTTAACCTTCTTCGCGACGATTTCCGTCGTTTCCAAGTCTTTGTCGACAACGAGGCGATTGTCATCTTCTTCAACGTGGTATGTTCCTTTAGTTGGTTGGACAGTTTGTTCCTCCTTTCTATCCACGGTCTTCAATTCGACTTTTTCAATGCTGGTCTTTCGGAGTTCTGTCTTCTGAGTCACCACAGGTTTCAGCGTCACCTCTTCGAGGGTTTCTTCAGGGGCACGGTGCTTCTCGACTTTAGCTTTCTTCAAGACGACCTTCTCCTCGGTCCAGGGCTTGGGTCCCTCAGGTTTGGGTACCGTCTTCTGAGTTATTTCCTTCTTCGAAGTGAGGATCCTTGTGTCTTCCTCTTCCATGTAGTCTTCCTTTCGAGTTACTTCTTCATCCACTTGTTTCCTGGTTACGACTTCGGTCTCCTTCACCGTCTTTGGTACCGGCTGCAAGTCGACTTGCTCCAAGGTCTCCTTAGGGATGATCTTCTTCTCTACCTTGGCCCTCTTCAGGGTAACCTTCTCCTCCGTCCAAGGTTTGGCCTCGTCCTTTTTCGGCCTCTCAAGGGATCTCGAAGTCCTTCTCTCAGTTACCTCTCTTTTATCCGTAAGAATCCTTGTCTCTTCGTCTTCAACGAAGGTTCCAGTGCTCGTCTCTTCTTCATCAACTCGTTTCTTCGTAATGACATCGGTCTCCTTCACAGTCTTTGGTACCGGTTGCAAGTTGACTTGCTCCAAGGCCTCTTTAGGAATTATTTTCTTTTCCACCTTAGCCCTCTTCAGGGTAACCCTCTCCTCCGTCCAAGGCTTGGCCTCATCTGTCTTCGGCCTCTCTAGAGACCTCGACGTCCTCCTCTCGGTTACCTCCCTTTTACCAGTAAGTATCCTTGTCTCTTCGTCTTCAATGAAGGTTTCAATGCTCGTCTCTTCTTCATCAACTCGTTTCTTCGTGATGACTTCGGTCTCCTTCACAGTCTTTGGTACCGGCTGCAAATCGACTTGTTCCAAGGTCTCCTTAGGGATGATCTTTTTCTCCACCTTAGCCCTCTTCAAGGTAACCTTCTCCTCCGTCCAAGGCTTGGCCTCGTCCTTCGGCCTTTCAAGGGACCTCGAAGTCCTCCTCTCGGTCACCTCCCTTTTACCCGTAAGAATCCTCGTCTCCTCATCCTCAAAAAACGTCTCAGTGCTCGTCTCTTCTTCATCCACTCTCCTCTTCGTCACATCTACTTCCTTCACAGTCTTTGGTACCGGCTGCAAATCGACTTGCTCCAAGGTCTCCTTAGGGATGACCTTCTTCTCCACCTTAGCCCTCTTCAAGGTAACCTTTTCCTCCGTCCAAGGCTTGGCCTCGTCCTTCTTCGGGCCTTCCAACGGCCTCACCTTCCGAAGAACATCCTTCTTCTGTGTAAAGACCTTCGTGTCCTCTTCTTCGACATAGGTCTCCGTGTGCGTCTCCTCTTCCTGGACTCTCCTCCAAGGTACGGGACGCCTCTTCGGGACCCTCCCACTCCTCCAGGGCAAGGTCTCATCCCCCAGGGGCAGATCCGACTCTTCGGGTACTCCTTCCTCTTCCATCCCTCCTTCTCTAGGTACCAGGACCTCTTCCATCCCTCCTTCTCTAGGTACCAGGACCTCTTCCGGCCTGGTCCCCGTCTTCGGTTTGACCTTCCTCCCCGGCGCATGGTCCTCTTCGGCAACCGCGGTCTCCTGGACTATTCCCCTTCTCTCTGCAAGGTGGATGTGGTATCACCGGTCGTGATACCCCGGAAGACCTTCGCACACTTCATGGAAGCTGCGTGCGCGATAATGGCCAAACGCACCAAGCGGAAAGGACTCGTTAGCCAAGGCAGAACGTACGACGAAGCGGGTTAGGAAAACGATCTTCGGCACGCGAACCGTTCTCCAAGATGGCGGAGCCGGTTCGATGCCCTCCGGGGATAATCTGGGATTCTCTTATGGCTTATGGCGTACTGGAAGAATTAATTTCGATCGGAGGAGGGGACCTAGAGGTCCGATCCCGGTTACGTTTCCACCGGGAAACGATACGTCGGCCTCGAGCTGCGCCGGATTACGTGTCGGCGTAAACGCGATATGTCCGACACGCGCACTCGCTCGGTGCAATTTCGTAATCGAGCAAGCCTTGACGCAACTCGGTTGCCCAACGATCTTAATTATACGCGAGATACCAGCCTGCGGCATTACCATCCGGGTTCTCGAGTGTCCTCAGGGTCCCCAGCGAGACTCTTCAGGGGGGATCCGCGTTTCCGCGCGACCTCGCGCGGCCCGACCGCGACTATTTTCGACGAGGGCCGGGTGCAAAGTTAACGTATCCGCCGAAATAACTCCGGTGAGGAAAGCAAGAGGAAAGCCCGGGAAAAGCAGAGGAAAAGGTGCCCGGGATCTCCCTCCGGTTCTCCGCTCTTCGAGGCTCCGGATCTCCTCTTCGAGAAGTCCAACCCTAGCCACGGCGCTTCGTGGCACTATAGTCACTTCGATCCGCGTGATGTGCTTTCAAAGGAATGACCTTATAGTGGCTTCCTTTCGAATGAAGTTTATTGAGGAAGCGCTGATAAAATAGTGACTTCTCTTTGAGTCAGGGTTTATAATAAAACGATAGTGGCTTCCCTATGAGTCAAGTTTTTTTTTTTTAATTAATCGCTACTATAGTGACGTCCCTCTGTGTCATGCTTTTTAAGAGCGCCGCTATAGTGGCATCACTTTGAGTCAGATGTTTTTTGAGTCGGTTGTTAAAAAAAAAAAAGAAAATATGACTATTGTGAGAGGATATTCACTTAGGAAATCATTTTAATGCATGAAATCATGTAGAAATCAACTGGAAATCGCAAGCAGAGATCCTTGGAAATTTTTGGAAATCATCGAAACATTGTCACGATTTTAAGGCTGAACGTCCTTTGTTAACCGAATCGCATTGTTGTTTATCATTAAATCCAGGGCAATCGGCTCTCAGATAAGGAAATGGTTTTCACTGATTTCTAAATGAATAGTCATAACCTTGGCCTATAGTGACTGCCTCATGAGTCAGATTTTTTAATAAAACGCCAGTATAGTAACATCTGTCTGAGTCAGGTTTAACAAAACGCATCTTCAGTGACTATTTCCTGAGTCACATTTTTAATAAAACGTCAGTATAGAGACTCTCCTCGGAGTTAAGTTTAAACGCCACTATAACGACATCCCTCTGACTGACGTTTCGTAACGAGAGGCCACAATCGTGGCCTTCTCCTCTATAAAGCATCCAAAGCGACATCCAAAAATCGCCGATTGGCACTCCACGACGAAGTAATCCGCCCATCTCCTCGACCAGAGATCGGCCGTAATTAGAGGTTTAATTATAAATAGAATGATCTAATCGAACGATCGAGTCGCTTGGGCAATTCTCCCATTTTTGTTTGCAGAAAGGGGTCGAAAGGAGGCGGGTCCACCCTGAGAAAAGAACTGCCATCGAACCAAAGAAATGTTTAGTTAATTAACCCTTTGGCTCCTAAGAGCGCCAAAAGGCGCGCGACATTCGGTCCAATATTGCTTGCACGGTCAGACGAATTTCCGCCATATGTCGAAATGGCTCCGTGTTCAAAGAGTTAAAAGAACAATTACTCCACTCAAGTAAACTGGAATAAATTCAATCAACAAATAACTATTCTTTGAAATATAAATTATATTCCATCGATAGTATTAACCCTAGAACTACCGGGGGATTTGTATTGTATAGGACGGGCCATTTGAAAGCATTTTCACTGGTCTTGATAGTTCTAGTGTTAAAGACATATTTCTTCGGTGAGTCTTTTTTTTCTCGGGAAAAAATCCGAAGAGTGGGGTAGCCAAGGAATTATTCGGTGACGAAGGTTAGGGTTGCCCGCGGGACCGAGATTTACGAGGAGGCGGCGGGGGTGGGAGACGCTCTTCGGCGTCGGTGGGTGGAGGCGTCGGGGGCGGCGGAGGCAGAGGCGTCCTACTGGTGCGCCGGTGGCTGGTGGGGATCGCCCCTACGTCCTATTTTAGCCTAGCCCTAATAGTCATCCATCGGAACTCGTCGAGTTAGCAAGGAACGGTCCGCGCGCGCGTTCCAGGGTGCCGGTCGCGTCGCGTCGCGGTCGCGGTCGCGTCGCCGCCTTCGATCGGACAGGTCGCGTCTGCCCGATCGAAGCGCGGCCTTCCTTGAACTGGACACAGGTGAGGTCGAGCTGGCCCAGAGTGACGAGGAGTGGGCCTTCGGGGTCGAGGTGTCACCGCCAAGGGGGACCAGGATGAACGCGCGCCGCGCCGACCCCGAAGAAGATGCCAAAGAGGACGCCGAAGAAGACGCCGAAGACCGTGCGGTTCTCCGAGGGGGGCCAGTCTGCGGTTGTAGAGCCTTTTTGTATCGAAATAAACGACTGGAGCCTGGCACAGCTGCCCATGGTTTTTCTATCCCCTCCTGGGTCCTCTTTCTCCGACGGGCCTCCTGCCGGCGAGGACTCCCGCCGTGCTCCGGGAATAAATCGGGAATACGGTGACACATCGCCGGTATTTTCGGAACGCGCTGAATCACTCATGGGACCCGCGGCCTTCCCGAGGAGAGTCGAGGCTGACCTCGACGGGTCTTGTTGGTCTCGCCGGTACTATTATTTGCGATGGTCCCGCTGGTCTCGCTGGTCCCACTGGTCCCGCTGGTCCCACTGGTCCCTCGGATTAATCGATCTCGCCGGTCCCTCTGGGACCATTGGTATCGCTGGTACCACCGGTACCAGCCACCTCCCAGCCAACCGGAAGTCTTCTTCGGAGTCTTCGCCCGTTCTCGCTGCCCATCCCGGTCGATTCGCCTCGATACCTCCGATAGACATGTTCCTCCTCGCACAAAATATAGACCTCTTTTCCTATCCATATGATGAGTTCCTTTCCTCATCGCGGAACGAGGAACCTCCTTCTAAATCGATAATCAAGGACTATCTTCGTAGTAAATCAAGAAATTCAAGGCTCGCACTTTCGAATTCATAGGACATTTCTTTCTCCCTGGATTAGATTCGCATGAGAACTCTTTAATTGTTACGAGGTGGCGTAATTGGTCAACATTTAAAAGTCTTACACGAAATTGTCAATCTCGCACGCGATAGTTGATTGTATGAACTTGAGAATCGAGTTCCGGTCCCTCGTTCCGAGACAAGGAATTCCCTTCCTCGGCGCGATAAATGGAGCTTCCTTCCTTGTAACGGAGCACGGGGTTCCCTTCCTCGGCGCGAAAGGAAAAGTTTCCATCTTCGCCACGAAACAAGGAGTTCCCATCCTCGCCTAATATAGTAGCGCGCCACGTAATGCACGGTAAACGCGGCAGAAATAACCCCGAGGGGTCGCCGCGGCTTTGCGCACGGCCCGCTCGCGGTTTTCCGCGGCCGCCTCCGATATTTCGGGCAAAGCCATCCCGAAATTCCGCGATGACTCGTCCGGGTCCGGTCCCGAGGTCGCTCTCTCATCGGGGACCCTGAGGAACCCTGAGGGACCCCCTCAAGGGTCCTTATCGCTAATCCGCACCGCGTTCGGCTCGCATCCTCGGTCGTGTACTCGTGCATACATCTACGTATATATATATAAGTATATATATCACTTTTTTATTGCATTTCCTTTCAGTTGTACAATATAGTAGGTAATTAGTAGAGAACGTTAGGTGTATTACGTATAGAGACGCGCGACGCGTGTCCGCGGCTCGTGCGTGTTCCTGGCGCGAGCGAGAGAGGGTCGGAGAAGAGAAAGAGGGTGCGCGGTGGAGAACGGAGAACGGAGAACGGGGGGTTGCGGATTCTACGCGGAATCTCGCGGGCTGATACATGGAGGGACCGCGATAACGTCCCTCTTCGTCGTCGCTCCTTCCTCCTGGGCCACGAGGCCTCGGTTCCGGGACTTTGGGGGCAATCGCCCCGCGATTTACGGCATTTCCGCCTTTCCGCCTCCGGCCGCCCACGGCCGGCCGCGCGTCGACCGGTTAGTGGATCGGGGATGGGGTCTTCAGGGAGTTCTTCGGGGTACCATTCCGGTGCGACAACTGCCCGACTCTCGCGAGGGTTCCGGGACCACTGGGGAGGGTCTTTCTCGGGTTAGGTCGAAGCGGGGTTAGAGGGCGAGAGGCCCGACCCCTGGGGGTCGGATTCGATCTCCGGGTTCCGAGTTAGCGGGTAATTGGCATACGTGGATTATCAGTTCTTACTTTTGACGATGAGCCTAGCGGACGTCTCGACGGTCCCCGCCGACGTGGTCGCGCGACAGGTGAACGTGCCCGAGTCTTCCTCGTAGGTCGTCGCGATCAGCAGGACCGCGTTGTTGCCCTCGTGGATCATCTGTGGAGGGATCCAGGTCGTTGGGTCGGGTCGGGAGAAAGGGCGCAGCCCGAGGGGTGGCCATGGGGGAAGACTCACCTGGAAGTCGGGCGACCTGGGGATCAGGGCGCCCTCGCGGTACCACTCGATCGTCGGCTTCGGCTTCGCCGGGGTCACCTGGGTCTTGAACTGTGCTGGCTGGCCCTCTGACACGATCTGGTCCTTCAGGGGGCTCAACTTCGGCAGCGTGTCCGCCCCATCTGGAGCTGGAGATAAATGGAAACGTTAAGGCGACCTGAAAGCGGCTGCGAGGAAATCAAGCGTTTTTCAAACCATTCTCCAAATGGATGTACACCGAAGCGTTTTAAAATTTCCTACGGGAATTGGGAGGCTTTAAGGAAGGTCCTGGAAGATCCTCCCCCCATGAAGTTTCATTTTTCGCTCATTATTATTATCGAACATTCGTAGACAAATAGGGAGGAAATTAAATTTCATGGGTGTCGGGACCTTCCTCGGGGCCTCCACATTTATGTGGAACGATTTCAAAATCATCGATCCGCCCAGGTAAGCGGAATGCGTCATAAACGAGACCTATAAGCCATTTTCATATCGCCTTAAGCTACTCGAAGGACCAACATAAGCAACAGCGCTGGAGATGGACGAGTCACGACAACCCCCGATTAACTTCCCTCGCCACCCTCCATTCCTCTCCGGGAATTTTTTTCCAGATAACTCAAGATTATAACGCTCTTCAGGAATTTTTTTCATATTTTTTCACCTGTTAAGGACCGAGATATGAATTTTTTAAGTGGAATCCCTCGCTTACCGAGGACTCTCAGGTTGGCGGAAGTGGTGACCTCGCCTGCAGGGTTCTTCGCGATGCACTTGTAGACGCCCTCGTCCTCGGGGAAGGCCTCGGAGATCCTCAGGGTGCAGAGGTCGCCGTCTTTTTGCATCTGAAAGTACTTGGATGGCTTGATAACCTTGTCGGCCTTCTTCCAGGTTATCGTAGGTGTCGGCTGGCCGGAGATACGACACTCGAAGGCGACGGAGGATCCTTCTCTGATGGTCTTATCTCTGAGGGGTTCGAGGACGTTCGGGGCCTTTTCCGGACCCGGAGCTGGTCCTGGTTTGCCAGCTTTTCCTGGAGCTTTTGCCGTCTGGGGACCTCGAATGGTGCACTCGGCATCACAACGAGCTTCACCTGCGCCGTTGATGGCCACGCACTCGTATTTCCCTGCGTCTTCAGGAACCGTCTCGAGGATAAGGAGCGTGTAGGTGCCGTCTTCCTCCAGAGTCTTGTAGCGGATGTCAGCGGTGATCTTCTTGCCATTCTGTGGGAGCCAAGGATGATTAATTTCCCACGATCGATCATCGCCAATCTTAAGGCGAAGTTAAACCCGTCGAGAAATCCAATAGGGTCAATAAAAGGGATTTTTCTAAATACCTACGTTACCAACGTGGTATTTATATCTACAGCCGTGTCGAATTATATTGGGTACTGTACCAAATTGCGTACTCTATATGTCATTTTTGTACAATAATTATAAAAGAATCGAAGTAAAATCCTAAAAATCCCCCTGGATTCACGGTTTTCGATACCTTAATTGCCGGTTAAAGAGAAAAACACTCTTAAAAAAGTGTTATATTCGAGCCGAATAATTGGAGGCGGGTTTCACTTCGCCTTAAAATTCTGAACGTCTTTCCTATACCGACCTTCAGCCAGTAGACGTCGAGGGGCTTGGTCCCAGAGACCTTGGCATCGAATCTGGCAAGTTGACCGGCATTTACAGTAGTGCTCTGCACAGTGGACAGGAAACTCGGAGGAACCGCGCCTCCTCTTCCGGATTGGCGGCGGCGCTCCTCGACAACGAGGTTGGCGCTGCACTTGGCCTTGCCTCCACGGTTTTCCGCAATCACGGAGAATACTCCGGAATCTTCCATGAAGACCTGCCGAACGATCAGCACCGACTTCGTGCTGAAGGTGTAGATCTGCAGGTCCGAGGAATTCTGGATGGGGAAGTCCTCGCGGTACCATTTGATGGTCGGCAGGGGGTCCCCGTCGAACTCCACCTCGAACTTCGCCTGCTCCTGTTCGAAGGCTCTGCAGGGTTGGATCTTCTTCGTGAAGACTGGCGGCTTGCTGGGTTTCGTGGGGCCCTGGACCACCCTCTCCTGGGTCTTCGCTTTGTGCTCCACTTCCGTTGTCTCCGTGGCCGTGATCTTCCGGGTGATCTCCACGTCGCCCCTCACCTCCTTCTGGGTTTGCTTCTGCTTGGCCACGTGGACCTCTTTCCCATGGACCGTGGATTCCGATGGTTCCGGAGGATATCGTCCACTGGTCTTGATCTTCTCCGAGTCGATGTCCACTTCCGTGACGTGGGCCTTCTTCTGGGTGGTCGTCGTGGTCGTCGTCTTCTGGGTCGTCGTCTCCTGGGGCTGCGCCTCACTACGGATTAAATTCACATTATCCTTATTACGTTCTTAGGAATTTTCCCGTCTTCTGTCCCGTTAAAAAAAGATACTTTAATTTTGTAACATTTTCTTCTTTTTTTTTTTTCATCGATCCAGATGGGGTGAACCAATTTCATAACGCTACATTTGGATATTCCGTAAATGTATACCATATATTATATATTTCATACGTACATACTTATTCATTTTCTCTACCAATTTCACGGAAGTATAACGCGATGTCATTAAATTATGAATTCTTTAAACAGATTGTAACATCTCACGTTACATCGTGGATCATGATCTACCGATTAAAAGTTATGATTGCCGCGAACTGAAAAAATCGAGGATTTTAAGACTGGAAGAGTTTAAAATTTTCATTGCTTTCTATGTTGGGTAAGTCTCTACAATTTTCCTCGCATGTGCCCGGAACATATGTCAAATTTGTATGTTTGCAGAAAAAACATTTCATATCAAGCACCGATCAACACAAATTTATAACATGTATTATAAATTTATTACACATATGTTGTAAAATTATAATATTTCTTTTAACAGTGTACATGACGTTTTACACCTACTCAATCCTGTTCCTTATCCACGTGTCAAACTTGAGAATTGTGTAGAAAACATCGGTACACTTTAATTAGATCAACGTTTTACTTTAACTTTGTGTATTAACGGTGTACGAATTTTCAGGATATCTTTATCACAAGAGGAAAGAAGAAAACATCGGTACACGTTAATTAGATCAACGTTTTACTCCAACTTTGGGTATTAATGTTGTACGAATGTTCAGGATATCTTTATCACGAGAAGAAAGATGAAAATATTGATACCCGTTAATTAGATTAACATTTTACTCCAACGTTGCGTATTAATGTTGTACGAATTTTCTGAAAATCTATATCGGCGTAGGTCCCTAGAAAACTTACAGATTTTCCTGGTACTTGTGGGCCATTCCTTTGGCCATCGAGCTGGCCACGACTTTGTCCCCGGGGATGGCGAACTGGTGGCTGGACTCCCTGAGTCTGGACTCCTTCAGGACTTGCTCCTCTTCCAGACTCATCAGCTTCGTATAGTAGTCCTCGTTTTTCTTGCTCTTGACGGACTTCTGCCATTCGGTCTCGGGTTCCTTGAAGACCTTCTGCCCGAGGTGCTCGGTGGCGATGTCGATGCCCTGGGAGACGGTCTGGTGTCGTTCGTCGAAGACTCGCTCCAGCTCTGTATTCTGTCGCTCCGATTGGTACTGGGTCAGCCCGTAATCGTACCATGCTGAAGAAAGAGAGAATCAGACACCAGCACGAGTCTCCCATCGTATCGGCCAAGGTCCTGCTTTCTTTCGTCCTTCCCTAATCTTCTCCACCCCCGCGATCCATGCAGATGCGCAGCAACGAGCAAAATGGACATCGGTCATGGTCTTGCACTTTCTGTCAAATCTTACCGCAATTCTAAGAGCAAGTCCAAGACTCGAATTCGCAAGACTAAGACCATAACGATGAGAAAAAACAATTGGTTGACTGAAAGAAATATATATATTGCGGCAATAAAATCCTGCGATCAAGTACACTCCTTCCTCAATTTACGCGACTCTCTTTTTGCCCGGTAAATAACATCACAATTTACGTCCCTTTTATTTACAGTATTTTTTTCTCTCTTGTCCTGACCGTGTGACAGACTTTACGCAACGCGATTTGCATTCGCGTAAAACGAATCCACGTGCAACGGATACTTCGCGTAAATTGAGGGGTAAGTGTACGTCCAAAGGAATATCAGAGTGAATAAACATAATTCGTTTAAATCAACGTCAATTCGTCTTCTCAACAAAATAATTGTTTCTTGCAATTATATATATGATTCATGCAGCGATATATATATCAATGGTATGTATTTGTTTAAATCAACTAATCTTTTTCTTTAGCGTAGTTTTGGCCTTGGTCTTGCATTCGCTCATCACCAATAACTTGTAAGAGATAGTGATGGCCAAAATTAGTCTTGATCTTGCAGCCTTGGTGTCGATCATGCATAAAACGCAAGATCAAGACCAAAGTCAAGGCCTGACCGTAATTACAAGACCAAGTCATGGTAATTTTGGTCTTGGTGTCGCATTTGTTCATCTTCAACTTATAAGAGATAGCGATGGCCAAAATTAGTCTTGATCTTGCAGCCTTGGTGTCGATCTTGCATAAAACGCAAGCTCAAGACCAAAGTCAAGGCCTGACCGTAATTACAAGACCAAGTCATGGTAATTTTGGTCTTGGTCTCGCATTTGCTCATCTTCAACTTATAAGAGATAGCGATGTCCAAAATTGGTCTTGATCTTGCAGCCTTGGTGTCGATCTTGCATAAAACGCAAGCTCAAGACCAAAGTCAAGGCCTGACCGTAATTACAAGACCAAGTCATGGTAATTTTGGTCTTGGTCTCGCATTTGCTCATCTTCAACTTATAAGAGATAGCGATGTCCAAAATTGGTCTTGATCTTGCAGCCTTGGTGTCGATCTTGCATAAAACGCAAGCTCAAGACCAAAGTCAAGGCCTGACCGTAATTACAAGACCAAGTCATGGTAATTATGGTCTTAGTCTTGCATTTGCTCGTCCCAACAGCCGCAAAACTCGCTACCACGTGGAAGGAGCCCCAAAAGAAAGCGGGACCGGTGCAGAACAAACGACTTCACGGGGAATACGACACAGTACTTCATTCATGATGCAACGAAGACGAGAGGCGTCTTCTGGAGGATCCCTCCCGGATCGGGAGAGATCCTTGGAGGAGCCTCTCGACTCGCGGGTTGGCTGGTCGGGAGTCGCGGCCTCTCGAGTCCGAGGTCGAGGTCGGCCGGAGGACTCCCGACCCGGAAGAGACGGGGGTCAAGGATGCCGAGTGGTCTTTGACGATAGTCGGAGACAACAAGTGGAGAGACAACGAAAACCAAGAAAAAGGGGGACAAAACATCCGAACAAATATCGGAGAGCGTGGGAGCGGGGGAACATCGACGACTCACTGAGGATCGACGGACGGCTCGTCGTCGACGACGTGCGTCGAGGACTCGCCGACGTTGCGAGGCGGTGCCGAGATGGCGGACGAGCCAGCGAAAGGACACCGACTACCGATCGAGGCGATTAATCCCATCCTCGGTGGACGAACGTTGGGCCATACCTGAGCCGCAGGACTTTCCTGGCGCGCTGCAGGATTATTTCCCTGGCGAGGTCGCAGGACTCTCTGGCGAGGTCGCAGAAAATCGGAGGACTCGCCCCGGGAAGCTGCTGCGCGTAGATGCCGGCGAAAGCTGGAGGAGCTCGAGGTCCTCGGGGACAAGGAGCGGGGGAGGGGAGGGACTTTCTCTTGTGCAAAGAATGGAGTGTACGTGTCGTATCGATTTGTCTGATCGATGTCGAGATAGTTGTCGAGATAATTGTCGGACTGGACATCCGTGTTCGGAATTGGTGTCTGCCGTGTCTGGCCTCGCGGATGGCGAACCGAGGTCGAGGTCGCGAGCCTGGACCCTGGGACGCGAGCTCGCGTCCCAGGATCCTTCCAAGGACTCGCGATCTTCGAGGATTCCGGTACTTACGTCGAGGTGAGTTCTTCAGGACTCCTCGGTAGTCGTCGCTGCGAGGTTTCACGATCAGCTCCGTCTCCGTCCTGGCCTCGCCCACCGAGCTCCTGGCGATGACCTCCACCTTGCCGTTGTCGTATTGACGGGTCTTCGGGATGTCCAGGTGGTACATGCCGTCGTAGGTCAGCTTGTAGCGGGAGCCCTGAAGAGACAACTCGTTATCGGGGAACGTTCCGACTCTTTCGTCGCCTCTTCGAGGTCGAGACTCACGTTAACCACGGTGTGTCCGTTGATAAGCCACATGACTCGAGGTCGAGGATGACCCGTCACCCTGCAGCAGAATCTGGACCAGTCGCCCTCTTCGACGGTGACGGGCTCCGGCTTGCTGACGAACGTCGGGGGCGCTCTGACCTTCTCCTCTTCGGCATCCTCTTCGGGGGCTCTGGAGTAAAAAATCGAAAATTGATACTAGGACCCTAAATCGATGAATACCTATTATATCATAACGATACTCGACCAATACAAACAAATTAACTGGGAATACTGAAATTTTTTTAAAAATCAACACCTTAGAGTGGAGTAGTCAATATCTGGTAAGGAACCTTGCAGAAAGAGAAAGAACGGAACGTGCAAAATTTATATATAAAATAAATAAATTAAATAATACACATATATACCATAGGAAAAGTCGAGGAAAAGCAATTCGAATTTAAGGGATTATTTTGTATAAAAATTGGAGAACCGCTCTTCTCGAACCACTCTTCGAGTACTTACACTTGCCAGGCGGCTTCCATCTCGCGGATCATCTCGATGCTCTTCATGCCCTTCGGAAGCTGCGACTCGTAGATGATGCCAGGTTTGCCGGCAGTCCTTATGACGGCCCTGGTCTCGTCGGATCCGTAGAGGTTGGTGGCCCTGCAGAGGTACTCTCCGCTGTCTTCAGGGTAGACCCAGCCGAAGTTCATGGCGACGTAGCCGAAGTCGTAGATCGGGGTGAAGCGGTTCTTCTGGGGAAGAGGTTTCCCGTTGAAGAACCATTCGACTTTCATGTTGGGGTCCCCGACCGGCGCCAGCTGGCACTCGAACTTGGTGCTGTTCATCTCCACCAGGTCGGTTCTGTCCTGGATCTGGGTGACGAATCGAGGAGGCTGCTTCTTGTCGACGTCGTACAGGTCGTCCTCCGTCAGGTGGACCTCGGAGGTGTATTTCTTGATCGTCGCCTCCATTTGCATGAGCGCCTCCGAGCGCTTCATGCCTTTCGGGACTTGGTTCTGCAGGATTATACTGGGCAGTTCTGTAAAAGGATCGAGGACGAGATCATTAATTAACTAATACACATACCTCGATCATTGATTACTTCGATGCCCCAGTGAATTGCAGTAAAGTTACATCGTCCCGGTAATATCACATTCGACATCTTAGTTATGTTGAAAACAAAAAGAATTATAATTTTATAATTGATTTAAGCAAAAATGCCCTATGGTAAATATGCAATGCTATAAGCAATATATATATACACACACACACAAGTAGTAATTACCCGCGAGAAAAAAAGAAATGTCTTCCACTTTTCGATACGCGTCCTTTTCTTAACATGCGAATTTACCCGTACCGCCCTGACAGAAGTTTCATTTCGAAAATATGAAACGATCCCTCGCAGGACTTAACAGTCGTTTAATATGCGCGATTTTTCATTTAGAATTCGGAAACTCACTCTTGCAAGAGATGGAAGCCTTCGTGGTGTCTTCTCCGAGGTCGTTGATGGCCTTGCAGACGTACTCTCCCGAGTCTTCTGGGTAGACGTAGAGGATGTCCATCGAGACGAATCCCATGTCGTAGACGGTTCTGTAGCGATGTCCTGCAGGGATCACTTTTCCGTTCCTATACCACTCGATTCGGAGGTTCGGATCGTCCTTGGGTTCCACACGACACTCGAACCTGACTGGCTCGGATTCGTCGACAGTGGCTGATTGGATTTGAGTGATGAAACGAGGTGGTCTTCGTGGTGCCTCTTCAACTGGTGCTGGCTCGGAGACCGGACCTCGCTCCAGCTCCTTCAGCTTCTCTCCACTCATCCCGCTAGGCAGCTGAGACTCGAAGTCGATGGTCTTTTTGGCTGCAAAACGACCAAAAAATCAATTTCCAGGGTTCCCTAAACCCCTCGAAAATCCCAGTACCGCGCATGTAACGCATCGCTCTCTAAAGTGATATGCAAGTGCGATATCTACGTACCAAAAAGTCAAATTATTTATGAAACTTTCTACAAACCGGGTGCGCGGAATTATCTGAAACTTTAACACGTGATTATAGAGGCTCTAAGGAAGAACGCACTGATCGTGAGATTTCATTTTTCGAAAGAAATTCTACATTTATATCGGGCAATAAACGAAAAAAGATTCTTTTTCTTTGAAAAATGAAATTTCACGGGCAGTGCGCTCTTACTTAGTCTCCATAATCACGTGTTAGAGTTTCAGATAATTCGATGCACCCAGTTTGGAGAAAAGTATCAGCAACTGCGTTATTTTCCTGATAAATCCTGCGCATGGCTTTATAGATGGATGGATATGAAATTTCATTTTTTTTCGAAAAATGAAATTTCACCGGCAGCGCGTTCTTCCTTAGAGCCTCCATAATCACGTGTTAAAGTTTCAGATAATTCGATGCACCCAATTTGAAAAAAAGTTTTGTGGCTTAAGCCTTGCGCATCAGCAACTGCGTTTTTTTCCTGATAAATCCAGCGCATGGCTTTATGGACAGATTGAACTTATATCATGGTTAATAAAGTTTCGCTTAAGGAACAAAAAGAATGGAAAGAATAACTAAACTTACACATGCAGGTGATGGTAGCTTTGGTAGTGGCAGATCCCCACTTATTGGTGGCCCTGCAGACGTACTCTCCACTGTCCCTGGCGTAGGTGTAGGAGAGATCCAGGGAGATAAATCCAAAATCATTGATCTGATGAACCCTGCTTCCGGTAGCAAATGGTCTTCCATTGTGGAACCAATCGACGCGCATGGTAGGATCACCAACGGGTTCAACACGACAGTCAAAGTGACTGGGACCAGCCTCTTCGACTTCGATGTCCTTGAGCTCTACCGTGAACCTGGGTGGATTAGGACTCTCCTCTTCGGTCCGGATTTCATCCCTCTTATAGAGCGCCTCCTCGAGTTTCTGGATACTTTCGGTTCCAGTCTTGAAGTTGTTGGGCAGCTGCGGCTCCAGGACGATGCCCTGGCGACCCCTGACCTGCAGCTTGCAGGACACGGTGGCCTCTCCATGCCTGTTGGTAGCTTTACAGGTGTACAGCCCAGCATCCCTTTGGTAGCAGTTGGCGACTTCAAGGATAACAAACCCGAAGTCGTGGATGGTCTTCACCCTGGTTCCCGCCAGCAGGGGTTTGCCATTATGGAACCACTCCACTCTCATGCTGGAGTCATTGACGGGCAGAAGACGACACTCGAAGTGCGCCAGTGAGTTCTCCGCCAGGGTCAGGTCGGAAGGTGTGGTGACGAATTCAGGGGGTCTCCCAGTGTCGTCATCGGGGCTCTGCTGGCCAGGCTCGTTCCCTAGGCCCTCCAGTTCCGCGATCTTGTCGATAGTGCCCTCCATGCCCTTCGGGAGCTGGGACTCCAGGATGATGCTCCTCTTCCCTGAGCACTTCATGGAACAGGTGGTGACGGCCTCGCCGTAATCGTTGGTAGCGCGGCAGCTATACTCCCCGGAGTCTTCAGGGTAGATCGGAGATATCTCGAGGATGACGAACCCGAAGTCGCAGAACGTGCGGAACCTCGAGCCCGTCCTTAGGGGCTTCCCGTTCCAGAACCACTCCACCTTGAGTTTGGGATCATCGGTGGGAGTGAGTCTCGCCTCGAAGTGGGCACTTTCGCCCTCTCTGAGTCCATCCAGGGTGGTCAGGGGGACCGTGAAGACGGGGGCCTTGCCTCGCTCTTCGGTGACCTTTTCATCCTTGGTCTTGATGAGCGAGTCCTCCAGGGTCTGGATTTTCTCGAGGCCGCCCTCCATGCCCTTCGGCAGCTGCGACTCCAGGATCAAGCTGGCTTTGGAGAGGCACCTCAGGGTCGCCTTCGTGGTGTCCTCGCCGTACTCGTTGAAGGCCCTGCACTCGTACACCCCGGAGTTCTCCTCGTAGCAGTAGAGGATGTCGAGGATCACGATGCCGAAGTCGTGGAAGGTCCTGTACCGATGTCCGTGTGGTAGCTTCTTGCCGTTGTAGTACCACTCCACCTTGAGTTTGGGATCATTGACCGGTACCAGTCTCGCCTCGAAGTGGGCGGATTGACCTTCGACTAGTTTGGTAATGTCGGTGATCTGGGTTATGAACCTGGGGGGCTCCGCACTAGGGGCGGCCTCAGCATCCGTGGGACGTCTGTCTCCTCCGGTTTCGAGTTCCCTGATGCGAGCCAGAGAATCCGGCTGAAGGGAGTCCGAATAAACTCCACCCTTCCCGACGCAGTACAGGGTCGCCCTGGTGGTGTCCTCCCCGTATTCATTGCTGGCCCTGCAGACGTACTCGCCAGTGTCATGGGCCATCACTCCTGCGATGTCCATGACCACGAACCCGAAGTCAGAGACCATCTTGAAACGCGACGAGTGTCTCAGAGGCTGTCCATTGTGGAACCACTCCACCTTGATCTTGGGGTCTCCAACTGGCACCAGGGTGCACTCGAAGTGCGCGGATTGTCCATCTCGCAGGCCTTCCAGAGACTTGATCTGTGTGGTGAACCTCGGTTTCTGGCCCTTGGACTTGTCCACGCATTCTAACTCGACGCTGATCTCGGCCTTTCCCCAGCGGTTGGTGGCTCTGCAGGAATATGTCCCGGAGTCCTCGATCTTGGTGCCGAGCACCTCCAGGACCACCATTCCGAAGGCATAGACGGTCCTGATGCGATGGCTGGCTTCCAATGGCTTCCCGTTGTAGAACCACTCCACCACCATGGTCTGGTCCCCGGTGGGGGTCAAGGAAGCCTCGAAGTGCGCGATCTCGCCCTCGGACAGGTCCGTCAGGTTCTCGAACTGGGAGGTGAACACCGGTGGGTGGCCCTCGTCGGACTCCGGCGCGGTCGCGTCTTGCCTCTTCAGGGACTCCTCCAGGTCTTGGATGGCCTCCAGACCCTCCTTGCCCTTCGGGTGCTGAGACCTCTCCACGATGCTCTCCTTCGTGTAGCAGTAGATGGTGCTCGAGGTGAAGGCCTCTCCTCTGGCGTTGCTGGCCTTGCAGGTGTAGATGCCCGAGTCCCTGTCGTAGACGTCGGTGAGGTCCAGGGTGACGAACCCGAAGTCGCTGGTCATCTTGAACCTGGATCCGTGCTCCAGGACCTTGCCGTTGAAGAACCACTCGATCTTCAGATTCGGGTCGTCCTTGGGCTCCACCTGGCCCTCCAGATGAAGAGGCTCGGACTCGCCCAACTTGAACTCCGGCTTCAGGGGCACGGTCCACACCGGCTTCGGGTAGTCCTGCTCTGGAGCGGAATCCCTTCTGCGGTACTTGCTCAAGTAGGCGTCTTCGGCCTCCTTCACCTTCTCCAGACCAGCCTCTCCCTGGGGATGCTGCGTCTCCAGGTAGATGTTCTTCTTCGCCCTGCACTTCAGGGTCCCGGAGGTCTGCGCCGAGCCCTTCGAGTTCGTGGCCTTGGCGGTAACGATGCCGGAGTCCTCTTCGTACAGGTGGGTGATGTCCAGGGCCACGTAGCCGAAGTCGTAAGTCGACTTGTACCTCGCTCCCGTAGGCAACGGCTTGCCGTTCAGGAACCACTCGATCTTCATGGTCGGGTCCTTCGAGGGCTCGACGTTGCACTCGAAGTGCCCGTTGTCGCCCTCCGTGCACTCCACGTTGTTCAGGTGCGTTATGAACACCGGTTGCTCGTACGTGGGCTCCGGTTGCTCGGCTCCACCTGGCCTGGGTTGCTCCAGGGCGTCGATCTTCGGCAACGCGTCTGGGTGCAGGGTGTCTCCTAGGAGCCAGTGTTTGTCGGCGATTTTCAGGCTGCAGGTGGATACCGCCTCGCCGAGCAGGTTGGTAGCCTTGCAGGTGTAGAGGGCCGAGTCGTCCGTCCTGACCCCGTTCACCGAGAGGGTCACCAGGCCGAAGTCGAAGGTGCTGCGCAACCTGGTGCCCGTCTGCAGGGCCACTCCGTTCTTGAACCACTCCACCCTCAGGTTGGGGTCGGCTCTGGGCTCCACCTGCGCTTCCAGGTACGCGTGCTGGCCCTCGGCCAGCTTGTCCAGGCTCTCCAGGTGCTTCGTGAACACCGGCGCCTGCTGGGGAGTCGTGTCCACGAACATCTCCGGCACTTTGTTCATCTCTGCCTCCTTAAGTTGGATCTTCTGCCACGCGTCCGGCTGGATCGAGTCTCCAACTATCGCCGAGCGGGCTTTGACTTTCAGAGAAATCGAAGACACCGCTTCGCCTGCCCTGTTGATGGCTTTGCAGGAGTAGACCCCGGAGTCCTCAGGAATCACCTTCAGGATGTCCAACGTCACGAAGCCGAAGTCGTGGCTCACGTGGAAGCGGGACCCTGGAGATAGAAAGACTTCTTACTTAGCAAAACCGAGACTATGTTTTTCTGTTACATTAGGTATAGGATATTCAAGTAGATAATAGTGTTTCGATATTTTCAACACTCGGAATTTCTTTATCTTTTTGAACAGCTCTAGTTCTTGTAAAAGAAGAAATGTCACAAACAAAACTCAACATGGCACAAACGTATGCATCACGGAAACATTCCAATAAGCCTGTTCATTTTTTTTATGCCTTAAATTGGATTCTAGGTTCACACAGCCAAATCCCAAACAAAGTTGTAATGTTGAGATACTGTGTATTGTTAAAAAATGTTTGGTATATGTATACTATATTTCGAAAAGAAATTTACAACAGTAGAACGGAAACCTCGGAGAAGACCTACCGATCTTCAGCTCCACGCCGTTGATGTACCACTCGAACCGGAGGCTGGCATCTCCCACGGGAACCACTCTGCATTCGTAATGAGCAGTCTGGCCTTCCCAAAGCTCGGTGGGACCGGTCAATAATTGGGTAAATATCGGTTTATCGAAGGCTTTGTCGGGCTCTTCAGGGCGAGACGGTTCCTTGCCGGCCTCCAGCTGGGCGATCTTGCGCTGCGCCTCAGGGTGCTGGCTGTCCAGCTGGATGCTGGCTTTGGCTGGAATCCGGAAAGGGTATTTAATTATTTAATTAATCTCCATTTTCCAGTACTTGAAGGACTCTTACTCTTAATCTTCATGGAAGCGGTGGTGACCGCCTCTCCCAAAGGATTAGAGGCTCTGCACATGTACACTCCTTCGTCCTCGTCTCTGACGTGCACGATGTCCAGGGCGACGTACCCGAAGTCGTGGACCTTGGTGATTCGCGAACCTGAAGAAACGGAAATTTAGATTCAAAGTCAAATTTTCGAGACTCGAACGCCGCAATGTTGTACAAAATTCATTTTCATGGGAATAAGCGTATCCACAGGATTTGTGAAGTTACGGTACAAGTTTTTATATTCGTAATGTATGTTTGCAATAAATCGAGTTTCTGAGATAAGCTCGAGGTGGCAAATATCTGACAATTCAGAGCGCGAAGACAATTTACCTGACAGTTGTGTGCTGAATATACCGAATGAAGAAATATTAAATTCTGGTAAAAATTCCGGTGATTATGGAAATGTGATGTTACGAAACTGACTTCACATTATCGTGATTTAAATGGCAACAACACAAAATATGAAATAAATTCATTTCCTTAGATATTTTATTTAGACCATTTTGATAATTACGGGCGCAGAAGAGGTGTTCATCATTTTTTGCCACTTTGTACGTAAAGATTTCAAAAATAAGTTCACAAGGCATACACAATGTTTCGTCGTCCAAAAAACGAAATTCGAACCACAGTGCGCCGGCGCAGAAGAGGTGTTCATTTTTGTGACATGTTATATATAAAGACATGAAAAATAAATTCAGAAAGCCTATACAATATTTCATCGTCCAAAAAATGAAATTCGAACCACAGTGCGTCCCCGCAGAAGTGGTGCCCGACTTACTGGTCTCCAGAGGAGTCTCGTTCCTGAACCACTCCACCTTCAGGGTCGGATCTCCCACGGGAATGAGGCGGCACTCGAAGTGAGCCGTGTGTCCTTCGGGGATGTCGTCGATGTTCTGAAGAGGCTGAGTGAAGACTGGCCTCTGTCTGGTCACCGGCTCGGGGACGTCAGGTCTCTTCCAGGGCTGCTGGGACTCCAGTTCGCGGATCTTGTCGAGACCCTCTGGTCTCTGGGAGTCCCTGATGATGTCCTCTCTGGGGATCACTCTGAGAGAGATCGAGGACACGCATTGTCCCAGGGTGTTCACAGCCTTCACGGAGTACTCTCCAGCGTCCTCTGGAACCGCGTGCCCTATGTCCAGGGCCACGTAGCCGAAGTCGAAGGTCACGTGGAACCTGGATGCCGAAGGAAGCGGTTTTCCGTTGTGGAAGAAATCGATCCGCAGATTTGCATCGTGCAGGGGTTCCACTTGACACTCGAAGTGCGCCGTTTGCCCCTCGTACACCTCCGTGGTACCCTGAACCAGATATTCCAATGAGTTTTCGACATGTTACCACCACGGGTTGTGGGGTATTAAGGTGAAGTGAAACACGTCGAGGAACTTTATCGACGTCTTGACGCCATTTTGGTTTTGGTCTGGGCTAAGTCAAACATTTTTTTCCAAAAATCCAAATTTTCAATGTGTCAGGACAATTCTCAGATGATCAGGAGTGATGTGTCAAAGTTTCGGAGAGTTTGGTCTAATACCCTTAAAAAAAAGTGTGGTATTCGAATCGACCGATTTGAAGGGGGTTTCACTTCACCTTAATATCACCTTAAATCGAAACTAGAGCACTCACCCTGAGCTCGGTGACGAACCGCGGTGGGGTCACGGGTGGTTCCTCGACCTCTAACCTCGCGGGTCTTCCCTGGGACTCCAGTTCCCTGATCTTCTCGAGGCCGTCCGGATGCTGCGTCTCGAGGAGGATGCTGCGCCTCGCTGGAGGGACGAAGAGACCATTAAGGGTTTCAACATCGAGATAAAAATGTATAATTAATTACAGTGCTCGTGTCGAATGCGACGCATTTCCTGAGAGGTGGTCCATGACGAGAAGGAGCGGGAGTCAGGATGGGAGGTGGAAAGGGTTCTCCAGAGGGAGTACTTGAAGAACGTCGAGCCAGGGGGCAGGACCTTGGACCAGGACGAGGACATCCACGAGGACTCGAATTCTCATCCCAGCAAGGACATCCCTCTTCGGCTCGTTCTTCGGATTTGGTATTTCTTGCTGGGGTCGTAGGGAAACCTAATTATCTGTTCTTTTCGTCTTAACCTGAAGAACTTACACAAGACTTTGATGGTGCAGGTATTGACGGCCTCGCCGGCGAGGTTGGTGGCCTTGCACATGTACGTTCCGGAATCCTCGGAGTAGGTGTAAAGGATGTCCAAGGCCACGTACCCGAAGTCGTGGGTGGTGCGGAAACGATGGCCAGTCTTGATGGCCTTGCCGTTGACGAACCTGAAGAGCACGGATTTATTGAAATCGGTATAGAAATTACGCACTATCGAAAGAAGACACGTTCATCGCAGCCCTCTTCTCGGCCCAAACATGGCACACTCAAGACATAGCCATGTTTGTTAACCTATCGATGAAAATATAGCGTCCAATACGAAGTAAATTTAAAGGGAATAAAATAAAGAAACGTTTAATTGCTAGCATTCTTCATGTTTCCAACACAGTTTGTTAAATGACTTTACCGAATGTCCAGGCATGTCATAATTTCGAGAAGACTATTAATTCAGGATAATTCATGTAAACGAATTATTGTCATTGCTATGTGGCGGCGATTCGGTAGATAGTGTGAGAAATAAGACACCCGTGGAACACATATTGTCTTCGTTGCACCCTAAGGCAAGATTCCATTGTACCAAAGAAATATTTGGTTAATACAAAGAATGATTATTTGACTGAAATAAACTCAAATAAATTGTCATAATCCCGAAGAAACGTTGCATCTAGTTTATTCCAATTTATATGAATTAAATCATTATTCTCTGAATTAAAAAACATTTAATTCGCTACATAGTGTATGAAATAAGACACCCGTAGAACACATATTGTCTTCGTTGCACCCTGAGAAATAATTCCATTGTACCAAAGAAATATTTGGTTAATGCGAAGAACGATTATTTGACTGAAATAAACTCAAATAAATTGTCATCATCCCGGGGAAACGTTTCATCTCATTTATTTGAATGAAATCATTATTCTCTGAATAAAAAAAATATTTCTTTAATACTAGTTAAGGAAATATTTATTGGTTAAATGAATTTGTTTTGCTTAGTGCAAATTGGAAATTGCGTACCATTCTATCTTCAGGTTCGGGTCGTTGATGGGCTCGACTCGGCACTCTAGATGAGCATGCTCTCCTTCCTTGAGGTGGTCCAGGTTGTTTAAGGGTGTTAGGAAAACTGGCTTCTGGTGGACCACTTCCTTCTCTACCTCCTCCTTGACCTCGACGGCTTCCAGCTCGCGGATCTTCTGCAGACGCTGGGCGTCCAAGGTGTCCAGATAGAGATCTTGTTTAGCTGCAACACGAGGAACGGAAGTTGTAGCGATTCGTCGCGACTTTTCTTTGTTCTTCATCGCGATCCACCGAGTGTTTCCTTATTTTCTATAGAATTATTAATCTTCTTAATGTGATATGAAAATCTCGTCGATGGATGCTCGTTTACGGAACTTTTCTCCGAATCGTTTGAAATTGTTCCACGTGAATGCATGGGCTCTATGAAATTTTATTTCATATGAAATTAATTTAAAATGTGTATGGACGAATTTTAAAGAATTGATGTTTAAAAGGTTATTCTTCCTTGGGGTTTCCATATTTATGGAGAAAAATCTTAAAGCAATTCGATACACCCAGTTTGCAGAGAAGTTTCGTAATCGATTGACTCCTCGGATGCCACTTTCATATCACCTTAATCTTCATATTAAAAAGGGCATTCATTAACGTTTTCGCGTAATGCATTTTGCGTACAAAAGTACCCACTATGTGTATAACATTTATTTCCTATCCGGTTGTTGGCTCGTTCTCCTTCTTTTAATAGGAAAAACCAGTTCCAATCATTTCCGTTTAGTTTCACATTCAGTTTGATATTCTTCATTTAATACCAAGCAAAATTCAATATTACATTAAAAAAAAAATGAATACAAAGAGAGCGTTAACCATTTTGGTACTTCCATAATGTTTAAATAACCACTTCTTATTGAAAAGAACATCTAAAAGTGTACGTCTAACGCAGTGAAGAACGAGTTCTCAAAGATTTCTCTATCTGTAAAAAAATGTGAAACATCAAAAATGATAAATTGAATTAAATCGGATACATGTAAATTCCAAGGAAATAAAAAGTAAAAAAAGCCTAATGATCGGTCTCGTAACAGGAAAAATGATCGCCAGGAACTCTTACAGTCGACGGAGATGACGCAGGTGGTGACAGCCTCTCCAACGGCGTTCCTGGCCTTGCACATGTAGGTGCCAGAGTCTTCAGGGTAGGCGTACAAGATATCAAGAGCTACATAGCCGAAGTCGTAGGTGGTCTTGAACCTATGACCCTGAGGAATCGGCCTGCCGTCCCTGAACCACTCGACCACCATGGTGGGATCGTTGACGGGGGTCAGGGTCGCCTCCACGTGGGCGTTTTTGCCTTCCGGGAGGTGCTCGACGTTCTTCAGGGGTCTACCGAACTTGGGCCTCTCCGCGATGATCGTGTCCTCTTCGGTAACGCGTTTGTACCTGGAGTCGTCTTCAAGGTACTGGATCTTCTGCAGAGCCCCCTCGTGTTGGGTCTCCCTCAGGATGGAGGCTCGAGCTGGAAGTTAAACGTTCTCTCAAGGGAAGTCCTTCCCATCTACCGTACTTATGATATAACCATGAAGAGGGACTTCTTTAAAGTCTCAGCTGTAACTTACGTGCTACCTGGAGCTCGATCGAGCTCTGAGCTGATCCCAGCTTATTCGTGGCCTTGCAAGTGTAGGTCCCAGAGTCTTCGGCATAGACCGTCAGGACATCCAGAGAGGCGAATCCGAAATCGCAGGCTGTCCTGTACCTGTGACCTGTGGTCAGCGGCTTCCCATTGTGGTACCACTCCACCTTCATGTGTGCGTCAGGGTAGGGCTCGATGCGACATTCGTAGTGGGCGCTTTGGCCCTCCACCAATTTTTTCGGCCCATTCAGTTGGACCGTGAAGGAGGGCTTCTCCGTCGCCACCACCTCCTCTTCTTCTCTGCGACGGTATCTTCCACTTTCCTCCAAGGCCTGGAGCTTCGACAAGGCGCTCTCGTGCTGAGACTCGAACTGCAGGGCTGCCTTGGCTGTTGAAGAAGAAATCTTTTCAGCATGCACTCTAATTATGAATTCAATTTTCATAACTTCCATTGCTGATTACGGATACGCAACCTCTATCACAGGAGTTCGAATTGCAATTTTAATTTTCATAGTTTCCTATGCTCTTGATGAAGATATGCAATATCTGCAGCACGAATTCTAAGTATAAATTTCATATTCGTTCTTAATAAATTCAAATTTCATATTTATTCTTAATAAATTCAAATTTCATATTCATTCTTAATAAATTCAAATTTCATGCTCATTCTTAATACATTCAAATTTCATAATTTCTTTTGCTGTTGAAGATGCGCAGCCTCTTTCACAGGAGTTCGAATTGCAATTTTAATTTTCATAATTTCCTTTGCTGTTGATGAAGATACGCGACCTCTTCGGCATAAGTTCAAATTATACATTTAATATTCGTTTTTTCCTTATATTTTTGCTTACACTGGACGAAGAGGGTGGCCGAGGTCACGGCTTCTCCAAGATCATTGACTGCACGGCAGGTGTAGGTCCCGGAGTCTTCGGGGTTGACATACTTCATGTTTAAGGCGACGTAGCCAAAGTCGTGCATGGTGGTCACTCGGTTTGCTGGGAGCAAAAAAGATCAAGGTCTTCAAGGTACGTCCTTTAGGAGGATGACACAAGTCCAAGGTCGAGAACTTACAAGCTGAAATCGGTACTCCATTCCTCAGCCACTCCACCTTCAACCTCGCGTCACCAACAGGGATAACGCGAGCCTCGAAATGAGCGGCTTGGTTCTCCGCCACCCTGAGGTCCTTGATGGGCATGGTGAAGACAGGAGCCTGGGACACGGTTTCCTCCTGGACGGTTTTCCTTTGGTACCGGGAGGAGTCTTCAAGGTGTTGGAGGCGCCGAAGAGCGTCCTCGTGCTGCGACTCCGCGTAGATGGACTTCTTGGCTGTTGGTCCCAACATATTCAAGGTCAACACCGTTCTCCAAGATGCCTAGTAAAATTAATTAATTGAACAAATACAGTTGCAGATCCACTTACAGTGCACCATGGCGGATGCCGACGTGATGGCCTCCCCGATGGCGTTCTTGGCGCGGCAGGTGTAGGTTCCCGAGTCTTCAGGGTAGGCGTACATGATGTCGAGGGCGACGAAGCCGAAGCTGTTGGTCTCGACGAATCTGGATCCTGCCTTAACGGGAACATTATCGTGGAACCACTCCACCTTCATGGTCGCATCCGAGACCGGGATCAACCTGCACTCGAAGTGCGCTCTCTGGCCCTCCTTGATTTCGACGTTCTTCAGGGACGTCGTGAAGATCGGAGCCTGGGTGGTGGTCTCTTCCGTGACTTCCTGCCGGTGGTACTTGGACCTGTCTTCTAGATAATGGATCTGCTCGAGGCCGACTTCGTTCTGGGTATCCGTCAAGATCTGGGCCGTCGAACGACATCCCAAACTGCAGGTGACTTCGTCGCTTCCGACAAGGTTGACGGCGCGACAGGTGTAAGTTCCGGAGTCTTCGGCAATAAGGTCGATCACGTCCAAAGCTACGTACCCGAAGTCGTGGATGGGCCGGAAGCGATGTCCTAAAAAATCAGAGAAACCCTTTTAAATAATTCCACTTCCAGGGTGGAAGCCTCCCTCTTGGCAAGCACGCAGAGAAACAAACAGAACCAAACTCTTCCGCAGGTAGATCGAGAACTTGAAGAGCGACTCACCAATGGTTACGGGGCGTCCATTTTTGTACCACTCGACTTTGAGATTCGAGTCGGTCACGGGCTCCAGTTTGCACTCAAAGTGCGCGTGTTGGCCCTCCCTCAGGTTCTCCTGGCCCTTCGGGGCGGTGACGAACTTGGGCTTGACCATGACGACCTCGTCGACCAGTTCGTTCCTCTTGTACCTGGAGGCGTCTTCGAGGTACTGGATCCTCTCCAACCCCTCCGGGTGCTGCGACTCGAGCAATAGATCCTTCTTAGCGTGAACCCTGACGGAGCAGGAGGTGACGGCTTCTCCCAGCTGGTTCCTGGCATGGCAGGTGTAGACCCCGGAATCATCAGGGTAGACCCCAAGAATGTCCAGGGCGACGTAGTCGAACTCATAGGAAGGCCTGAACCTGTGCCCGGTCTTCACGGGAACGCCGTTGACGAACCATTCGACTCTCATCGTCGCATCCCCCACGGGTTGGAGTCGACACTCCAGGTGGACGTTGGTCAGCTCCACGGTCTCCACGTTCTTCAGGGGCCTGGTGAACCTGGGGGGCTGGACGATCGTCACGTCCTCCTTCAGGGTCCTGCGCTGCCTCGAGGAGTCCTCCAGCATCTGGATCTGCTCCAGGGACTGCTCGTTCTGGGAATCCGTCAGCACGTCGGAGCGACCTATGACCCTGACGCAGGCGGAGGTGTGAGCCGTTCCCAGGTGGTTCGTCGCCCTGACCGTGTACTCTCCCGTGTCCAGGGCTGTCGCGTGGACGATGTCCAGGGCGACGAAGCCGAAGTCGTAGTAGGTACGGAACCTGGAGCCCACGGTCACCGGTCGGCCATTTTGGAACCACTCGACGCGCATCGTGGGGTCTCCCATGGGTTCCAATCTGCACTCCAGGTGGATATTCTTCCCCTCGCTGACGGGTCTAGGTTCGCTCAGGGGTTGCACGAAAATCGGCTTCGACTTGGAGATCTCCTCCACGTGGTACCTGGGCTCCACGAAGCGCGACTCCTCGAGGCGCTGCGTCTTCTCGTAGATACCCCGATGGGTACTACTCGTGTCGATCGCCGAGCGCGCTGAAGAGCGAATTATGAATTAATATCCTTTCCATAAAAATCAGGAACTAAGCAGAAACTACCTTAAGTACCTAGCTAAACATACAACTTGGGGAGGTCATGAAACACATGATATTTCAATTTTAAGATAATTACAGCTATTTTTAACAATTTGGTAACAAATGAAATTTGGGGGACCTACCTTAGGATCTCCTTATTCATGTGGTAAAATTAAAAACAAATCGTCACACCGAATTTGAAGAAAAGTTTCATGACCGATTGCCCCCCTAAGATGCCACTTTCACATCCCCCTAATTTTAGAATCTCTACTTACTTTCGACTATCATGGTGGCCGATAGTTGGGCCTCTCCGAGGGCGTTCCTGGCCACCACGGTGTACGTCCCCGCGTCTTCGGGGCGCACCTGGAGTATGTCTATGGCCACGTACCCGAAGTCGTGGTAGGTCTGGATTCTATTCGCGGCCGTGATGGCCTTCCCGTCGCGGTACCACTCGATCTTCATGGTGAGGTCGCTCTGGGGCTCGACCCGGGCCTCGAAGTGGGCCCTTTGGCCCTCCACGATCTTGTTGGTGCCCTTCAGGGGCCCCAGGAACCGCGGCGCCTGGGTCACTTGGGTCTCTTCCTGGACCTGCCTCGAGTACCTGCTCGAGTCCTCCAGACTCTGGATCTTCTGCAGACCACTCGGGTGTTGGCTGTCGTAGACGATGTCGTCCTTGGTGACCACACTCAGCTGGGCCGTGGTGCGAGCCTCTCCGGCGCGGTTGAACGCGTGGCAGGTGTAGATGCCCACGTCGTGGATGGTCACGTACTTCAGGGTTAGGGCCACGTAGCCGAAGTTGAAGAAGGTCGTTATCCTGGAACCTGGGGGAAGCAATTTCATTGGCTCGTTTTGTTCTCCTACGAAGATGGCGACAACACTTCGGAGAAGAGATAGTGAAATAGGCGCCGGTTCCTTCATGAAACTTTTCCCTGAACTGGGTGTACAGAATCGTTTGCAACTTTACAACGTGAATATGGAGCCTATTAGGAAGGTCCTGACACTCGTGAAATTTCATTTTTTATATAAAATTTTTAAAATACCTATAGACGTATTGTTAAAAAATTGGAATTTCATGAGTCTCAGGACTTTTCTTGTGGTCTCCATATTCACGTTGTGAAGTTTGACATGATTCGGTAAACATAATTCGGAGAAAAGTTTCATAAGCGAAACCTCTTCGACGGCACTTCCACATCCCCTTAAGGACTCGCAACTATCTCACCCCGTTAGGGATAAAGTTTAACCCTTTTAGTGCCGGCCGATGTCACTAGCTTTCCAAAACGACGACACATCGTTGTTCGGCACTCAAACGTAACATGACATCGTAATGTCAAAACGATGACGGAATGTCACGTTCCCAGAAGATCCATCAAACGCAATAAAGCCGTGTCGAAAATTTCATGAAAATTGTTAAATAAAAAAGGAAACCAAGAAATGATTCGAATTTAAACAGGAATCTCATAAAGGATCCTCCGGCACTAGTTCCTCCAGGTACCAGCAAGGTTCACTAGGAAATCGGGGAAAACGATTTCCTTCCTTAAGAACCGATTATCTTTGATTTCGCATGAAAAAACAACATTCGTTAACAAGTGACATCCGGCCTTAAACTTGTGACAGTATTAGGTGATGTCCAAGGACCTCCACATGACTTAAAACGTCAAAATCCAGGATTTCCTGAGTGAACACCGATTTCCTTTGATTTCGCATAAAAAAACAACATTCGTTAACAAGTGACGTCCGGCCTTAAACTTGTGACAGTATTCGGTGATGTCCAAGGACTTCCATATGACTTGAAACGTTAAAATCCAGGATTTCCTGAGTGAACACCCCTTGGGGTATTAGGTCGAAGTTCGTTCCCCACTCACTAGCTTCCACGGGGCGACCGTCCTTGAGCCACTCGACGCGCAGATTGGCGTCGCCGACGGGCTCCAGTCGAGCTTCGAAATGGGCGAATCCGCCCTCTCGTACGTTGATCTGGTCCTTGATGGGGGACTTGAATTCCGGTGGGCTGGCGCACTCGGGTAGCTCCTGCACGTACTTCTGGTGCATCGCCTGCTGGTAGGCCTCGAGCTCCTCGGCGGCCTCGATGTACCGCTGCTGCTCGGGGATCCCTAAGTCGGTCGTCACGCTGGTGCGTGCTGGACGAGAAACGTCAATTATGGAAGAGAAACGACCCGGGACGATCCCTCGGCTAATCCGATCCCATTAAGTCCTCGTAAAGCTAAGGGGAAAGAATTAAGGGAGGCGCGCTCACCCAGAACTCGGAGGTTCGCCGTTCCGATCGCCTCTCCCAGGCGGTTCACGGCCCTGACCGTGTAAGAACCGGCATCTTCGGCCCGTAGGTGCAGTATATTGAGCGAGACGTATCCGAAGTTGAAGATGGTCGTGATTCTCGAGCCTGGAACGAGGGGACCACGGGAGCATGACGAATCGCGCAAGGGGCGTCACGGTCCCGGCGTTCTCCAGGCGCCCCGCGCCTGGAGAACCGGAGAACCGGCGAACCGGCGAACCGGCGAACCGGCAGCCGGAAGTACTCACTGGCCGTGATGGGTCTTCCGTCCTTGTACCACTCCACTCTCATGGTGGGGTCGCTGACAGGGGTGAGCTGCGCCTCGAAGTGCGCGTTCCTGCCTTCCTGGAGCTCACCTAGGTCCTGCAGCGGCCTGATGAAGACCGGGCGCTGGGCGGTGATCTCTTCGAGACTCTCCTGTCGCTGGTACTTGGAGTAGTCCTCGAGCTGCTGGATGTACTGCAGGCTGTCGGGGTGCTGGCTGCTTCGTTCGATCGTGGCGCGAGCTGGGACCAAACGAAACCCCCTTTCTCATATTCCCGCGGTATTTAAGAATCACGCGGTACTTCTTTTTAAGTGAAACTTCTCTAGGGTGGTCATTTTAAGGGGATGTGAAAGTGGCATCCGAAAGCTCAATCGTTCATAAAACTTTTCTACGACCTGGGGCTCTCTAATCGTTTCATACTTTAAAACGTGAATATGGATACCCTAAATTTCCCTAGTGAAACTTCTCTAGGGTGGTCATTTTAAGGGGATGTGAAAGTGGCATGCGAAAGCTCAATCGTTCATAAAACTTTTCTACGACCTGGGGCTCTCTAATCATTTCATACTTTAAAACGTGAATATGGATACCCTAAACTTCCCTAGTGAAATTTCTCTAGGATGGTCATTTTAAGGGGATGTGAAAGTGGCATCCGAAAGCTCAATCGTTCATAAAACTTTTCTACGAACTGAGGCTCTCAAATCGTTTCATACTTTAAAACCTGAATATGGATACCCTAAGGTAGGTCCTGAAACTCGGGAAATTTCATTTTTTATAAACTGTTTTTAGAATACCTATAAACAAATTCGAAAAGAGTTGAAATTTCGCGAGTTTCAGGACCTACCTTAGGGTCTCCATATTCACGTTTTAAAGTATGAAACGATTTGAGGTCAGAGGTCTCGTTTATGAAATCTTTCTCCGAACTGCGTGTACCCAATGGTTTCAAAACTTGACAATGGGAATTTAGCGGATATAAGGAAGATCCTTGTACCCGAGAAATTTGAATTTTTGAAAATTAGGTTATAAACATTTTACAGATTTCTGATAAAAAAAAGAAGAAAATGAAATTTCATGGGTATCAGGACCTTAGGATCGAGCGTGTTATGCTCGTCGAAGTAAAAATAACCATTTCACATACTGATGTTAAGAAGTTTCACTTAAAAAGTGCGTAAACGATACATATATATTTTTTTTTATGGAAAAAAGACACTCACGCGTCACGCAGAGGGTGGCGCGAGATTCTGCGACTCCCGTCGAGCTGACAACGCGACAAAAATATTCGCCACTGTCCTGGATGGTCACGCTAATCAGATCTAGGGCGATAAAGCCAAAGCGGAAGACGGAAGTCGCGCGGGAGCCTGGAAGAGAATTCCTGACTAAGTATACGGAAAAAGGAAGATCGCCCTAACAGTAAAGGACAACATTGCGGATCAATTTTTCTTCTCGCTGCAATAATAATTGCAACGATAAACATATTTACAATGGTATCAAACCATGCAGATTGTAGCGTTTCGCGTCGATCCGTCCACATGGAAATAAAGCATGATCTTGACCTAGGATCTATTGAAAAATTCTACTTACTGGCTTCCAAAGCTCTACCGTTGACATACCACTCCACCCTCATGGTCGGGTCGCCCACCGGTTCGATTCTGGCCTCGAAGTGAGCGCGTCCACCCTCTGCTCGATCCAGGTCGCGCAGGGGCACGATGAACTGCGGGGGTGGATAGATCCTGTCCTCCTCGTGGGCCGGCAGGTGCGGCTTGGCACGTTCCACGTGCTTCAGATAGATCACTTCGGGGCCAGGCGCTGGTCTATAGATCATTAAGGTGATGTGAAAGTGGCGTCGAAGAGGTATTGTTTATTAAACTTTTCTCCCAACTCGGTTTACCGAATAGTTTGAAATCTTACTAACTGAATAGTAAGACTATAAGGAAGGTCCTGAAACTCATGGAATTTCAATTCTTTTCAAATTTGTTTACAGGTATTTTAAAAATAGTTTGCAAGAAATGAAATTTGAATAAACGAAATATTTCTTTGGTACCATTCAAGGAAATACTTTTTTGGTACCTTTCACAGCAATATTTCTTTGGTACCATTAAAGGAAATACTTCTTCGGTACCATTCATATAGTACTCACTCCGGTTCGATGACTCTCGTCGGTCGGGGTAGGTTTAAGCGTCTTGGTTCAGGGGTGGTTCCCTTCGGGGTTTCGACAAAGAGCCTCGCCCTGGTAGCAGTGGAACCAGCGACATTTTGTGCCGTGCATTGGTACCAGGCTGCATCCGAGTACCTTGTTTGGGCTATGTCCAAGGTGGAGGCTCCACTGCCGTCGACGGTCACTCTCACATCGGGACTAGGCGCGATCGGTACACCATCCTGCAGAAGATTCATTAACAATTACACAGAAAAAGTTTACCCTTCTAGTAAAGAACACTACTGCTGATAAAATGTTGCTCTCGCCGCAGAAATAACTGCACCGACCGCAAAAATGTTCGCAATTCTATCAGGCGTGAATGTAACCGTAGAACAGGAGTCTTTAGAAAAAATGCTTGCTGAATTCGCAAATAAATATGTGGCAACGGCAAAAGAATATTGTTGTTGCTTTTTGATCGTATGAAGAATCGCATTGAAGGTTCAATTAAAATCGCCAATCGAGCCGTTCTCAGGCCAAAATAATTAATCTGACGCAAAATGAAGGTAGAGTTAATATACAAAGTGAAGCGAGCACTTCGACACAAATATGAAAAAAATTCAGATTTGAAGGTTTAATTAAAATCCCCAATCGAGTCGTTTTCAGGCCAAAATAATTAATCTGACGCAAAATGAAGGTAGAGTTAATATACAAAGTGAAGCGAGCACTTCGACACAAATATGAAAAAAATTCAGAAAGTGGAGTTAATCATTTTGGTATGTGGACGACTCGATCTCGATTTGGAGACATGGCCGAAATCACAAACCTTCTGCCAGGAAATCCGCGGAATCGGGGTGCCGACCGCTCTCGCGGTGAAGACGACGGGCTCGCCTTCCTTGACGGTCGTGGTTGTGAATCTCTCGACGAATTTCGGGGCCACGACCTGTTCCTTCTCGATTACGAGCAGATTACATTGAAAGGAGGTCTCTCCCGCCTTGTTACGGGCGACGCAGGTGACGACGCCGGCGTCGGCGCGACCGACGTTCGTGATCATCAGCGAGTTGTTCCCCGACTCGTTCACCAGGATCTTGTGGGTCGCATCGTTCACCACGACCTGTCCGTTTACGTACCACGTCACTTCAGGGTATGGCCTTCCCGTCACTCGGCAATCGAACCTGCGAGCAAAAAAAAACGATCCAGTCATTGAACAAGACCCCCCAGATAGAAATTCATGATCATATGATAAGGAAAATCGATTTACGCACAATTTGCAGACCAATTGCTCCATGAAATGTCTGGGACGTATGTACGCACATTGTACAATAAATTAAAAAGAAAAATTTGCGGTCAATTTGTCACGCCGTCACTCAAACATGAGCTACAGACGCTGCTATTGTTTATGGGCAATGCGCCAGATAAATTTATTTGTACATATGCGTACAAACATTGAGACATTGCATGTACTTAACTTTGTTTCATTTTTAAATATTTTTCGTTCGTCATCTGTAGTAATATTATTCAAGTAAAATTCCTCGTTACGGATGCATTGTTAGAAATATTTATAAAATTCATGCACTTTTAGTACATAAGGCTGTAGTATAATTTATACATTTAATGTCTTAAAAGTGAATTGGTACATATTCACTACGAATTTCTAAACAAACTTATAACTTGACGATATGTCATAATTTTGTGAAATTACGCAGGGAAATCAATATCCTAATCCTAAATTTATAACACATTTAATAAATTGTTTGCAAATCTTATATAAAATCAGCATACCATGTCCGAATTGCTCCAATACTTCCACCAAAGGTATTATAAAATGATATATTAATTTCAACGAGGGGTGAATTAATTAATTGATGAATTGATTAATAGTAATTAATTAATAATTTCCCTCACCTGGTCATCTTGCCCTCGGTGACCTCGCGGTCGGCGCAGGTGCGCACGAAATTGGGCGGCAGGGCTTTGCCCTGTTCGGCTTCGGATATGACGGCAGGTTCTGCAGGGGGATAGACCGGGATCTGTCGAGTGGATTGCTTGGCCTGGTCCACCTGATCGAGGCTGGACTCGATCGCCAGGTAGGCCGAGCTGACGGTGCAACCCTGAGGATTCTCCGCGAGAAGAGTGTAATGGCCGCTGTCTTCGGGTTGGGCTTGCTTCACCCTGAGGGTGGCCTGCTGGTCGGCCTGGCGGATCTCGATGTGCTGGGATTCGCGGATCCTTTGGCCGTTCTTGAACCAGGTAAGCTGTAAAGTCCAAGATGGTTACTTCAGGACTCGCTATCTACCTTCTCGAGCGGATAGTCATTTTTTACGAGTACTAACGCGAGGCTTCGGGTTCGCTGCGACCTTCGCCAAGAAGATCGCGTCCGAGCCCTCGACCAGCTTCGAGTTCCTCGGCTTCTGGGTGATCCTGGGCGACGAAACCGGCCCTGAAGAGCGCTCGATGATCGTCGAGATCTGCGAGTCGATCTCCCCGATGAACCGGCGAGTTATCGACTCGCGGAACTCGGTCTCGCGGAGAAGTCGGTACTCGAAAGTGTCCACCTGGAAAAGGAAGTCTACGTGGTATCGTCGAATTTTTTTTTTTCTCCAAAAGTTCAAATTGAACGTTTTCCGGCTATGGAAAAAGAGCTTATGCATCAGGGGGTGATAAGAGATTTCTTACGAGGGTAATTTTTTCTGTACGAGGATGTCCACCTGGAAAAAGAAGTCTATGTGGTATCATCGAATTTTTTTTTTCTCACCAAAAGTTCAAATTGAACGTTTTCCGGCTATGGAAAAAGACTCTATGCGTCAGGGGGTGATGAGAGATTTTTTACGAGGGTGACTTTTTCTCTACGAGGATGTCCACCTGGAAAAAGAAGTCTATGTGGTGTCGTCGAATTTTTTTTTGTCCAAAAGTTCAAATTGAACGTTTTCCGACTATGGAAAAAGAGCTTATGCATCAGGGGGTGATGAGAGATTTTTACAAGGGTGATTTTTTCTGTACGAGGGTGTTCACCTGTAAAAACGAGTCTACGTGGTATCGTCGAATTTGTTTTTTCTCCAAAAGTTCAAGTTGAACGTTTTCCAGCTATGAAAAAAGAGCTTATGCATCAGAGGGTGATGAGAGATTTTTACAAGGGTGATTTTTTCTGCACGAGGGTGTCCACCTGAAAAGAGGAGTGTACGTGGTATCGTCGAATTTCTTTTTTCTCCAAAAGTTCAAATTGAACGTTTTCCGGCCATGGAAAAAGACCTTATGCATCAGAGGGTGATGAGAGATTTTTTACGAGGGTGACTTTTTCGGTACGAGGAAGCGAGGGCCCAAGGGGAAACAAGACTAGTACTGATAAAGACGAGAGGCTGTTCACCTAGAAATCAGTGAAAACGATTTTCTTCTTTCAGAGCCGATTGCCTTTGATTTCATGTGATAAAGAACAATGCAATTTGGTAACAAGTGACAATTGGCTTTAAAATTGTGACAGTATTTCCGTGATTTCCAACGATTTCCACTAATTTCTGCTTGCGATTTCCAGTTGATTTCCACGTGGTTTCGAGCGTTAAAATCCATGATTTCCTGAGTGGATATCCCCTCGAAAAGAAACCGGAGTCGTGCAAAAATAAAATATTCAAAAATAATATCTTTGTTGTCCTTAGAGCGGAAACATTTCTGGAAAAAATTATTCCTCGCCCATTTTCAAGTATTAACATTTGTTAAAATGTAATTTTTCATTAATTGCAATTTTTCGTTATGGCTGAGAATTTTTTTTTCTTTTTCTATCCGTTCGGTACTTACTTTGAAATCGTCCACGCTGGTCGCGGACCCGTTCAAATAATTTTGCCCGTCGATAGTTTGTCGATAGGTTCGCTGTTCGAAGGTCTGACTACCATCGGTAGTCTTTTCGGTAGTTCGGAAGGACGAGAACTCCTTCTTGTAGCCCGATCGTTGCTGTGGGGGTGGTTCCCCGAATCCCTCGGGTTGGATGTACACGGAGCAGATGGCCTCGCCTTTGATAAAAAAAAAAATTCAGTCGCACATGAATATAAAACATAAGACTTTTATCAAACGACAGTACTGCTAACTGCTTTTGCTATAATAATAACTGGAATAGCAAAAATGTTTGCAATCGTATCAAAGGTAGACATAACCTCACGAGAGAGGATTTCTTTAAAATACAAAAAGATGTTTGAGAATTTTACGATCAAATTGATACTAACGACGAGGAAAATATTGTTGTTACTATTCTATCAAACGAGCGATACAGTTTGTCGTCGTTAGGAAAAAAAAATTAATTTATAAGTTCGTAAATATGAGAAATGACGACGACGACTGAGCGTAATCATTCTGATAATACTGACGTTTTAACTGGACATAATATTCGAATGCTTTCATCGATTTCGATGCTGTTGGTCTTAAATGAAAGATAAACATTTAATGAAGCTATTCACGTAGACTAAAAGGTTTGTCAAGTCTTCTAATGGGAGCAATGGCCATCCGAAGGAAATTCAATAAACGTTAGAGCGATGTTCAGAGTAAAGAGACGCAGTGCCTATTGAGGGCTATGAACTTGTCCGAGACGCTACCGTGTCTCTTTAAACGACCATAGCTTGCAGAAGTAATTATGTTTATCTTATCTATGCATTAAACAAACATTTCCGCAAAGAATTTCCCTGGCGCATTTTTCAAGCCAGTTACCCTTACTGAAGCAATTAATAAAACGTTTATCATTGCGATCGTGAATCTTGTTCCGCATGGCATTTCCGGGGAATACTTCCGTCCCGGCTCTCATTTCGGCAGCAAAAGGTTTAAATAAAATACGTACAAATGAAAATCGAGGGAAATTAAGGCCTAACGAGCAGAAGGGCGGTTTCTAAAGTCCTCTAATGGGAGCACAAGCCATCCGAAGGAGATTCAATACCCGTCAGAGCGATATTTAGAGTAAAGAGACATAGCGCCCATCGAGAGCTATGAACTTGTCCGAGACGCTACCGTGTCTCTTTAAACGGCCAGAACTTCCAGAAGTAATGATGTTTATCTTATCTATGCATTAAGAAAACATTTCCGCAAAGAATTTCCCTGGCGCATTTTTCAAGCCAGTCACCCTTGCCGAAGCAATTAATAAAACGTTTATCATTGCGATCGTGAATCTTGTTCCGCATGGCATTTCCGGGGAATATTTCCGTCCCGGCTCTCATTTCGGCGGCAAAAGGTGTAAATAAAATACGTGGAAATGAAAATCGAGGGAAATTAAGGCCTAACGAGCAGAAGGGCGTCCGCTCGAGCTCGCCGAGCCGAGACGGCGGAAGTGTGCTCACCGTACTGGTTCTTCGCGTTGCACGTGTACTCTCCCTCGTCCCCGGGACCGATGTGGTTGATCCTCAGCGAGACGACTCCGGTCTTCTCGTCGTAAGACATCTGGATCTTCTGGGAGTCCCTGAGGGGGGCTCCCTTGTGGGTCCAGGAGACGAAGGGCCGCGGATTTCCGCGGACGCGACCCTCGAAGATCGCGTCTCCGCCCTGGGCGAAGCGCGCGTTCTTGAAGATCTGCTCGAAGACCGGAGGCGAAGGGTCTCCGGGTCTGCCGGTGAATCTGCCGGATATTAATTCATAATTAATTGGAAATTAACACTAATAAATTAATAAGTGAACTAGTACGCATATTAGGTCATTTCATGAGTTCAGAAAGAAATTTCTACAGGTTTCGACATTTATTTCCAAGGTGAAGCTTTAATTAATAATTAATTAGAAAAGAATACTAATAAATTAATAAGTGAACTCGTACACATATTAGGTCATTTCATGAGTTAAAAAGAAAAATTTCTACAGGTTCAAAAATTTCTTTTTGAAGTGAATCTTCATAATCTCGCGACTGTATGTATAGGTTCGCATGTTACACGGAGAAAAATAAGAGCCTTGAAGTTACAGAATCCTATCTGTTGGCAATTGTTGTTCACGATACGGTTAAAAACAGCACAATTAATGGATTAATCCAGTTAATTTTACGTTCTTATGTGTACAGTTAGCGGAAACATTTCTGTAAGTGAGCTGTAATTGTAGCTGAAAATGCCTGTTAATATTGATATGATGAAACTGGTACATCTAAAGTATTACAAAATTGTAGGTGCAATGGAAAATACCTTGTTAGGTTCATATTATTTTTTTCACAAAAGATTAAAAATATTTGTAAACGTTGAAGAAGAAATCTACAGATTTAATAGGTTAAGAGTAATGGATATTTATCCATAACCTTCCAAATACGTATTTGTAATTGTTATAGATATTTATCTGTAATTTTTAAGTCATATTTGTTTTTTACAGTTAATTACTAAGTATTATTATCTTCGTGTCAGTATTGAAACAATTTCAGCAATTGTTTAGGCTAGAGTTAGTGTAGCATTTTCTCCGTTAATTTTACAGTTAATTGCTATTTATATTCGTCTATGTATGTTGGTATTATTATCCCGAACGTAACTAGTACCGAATGCGTAACGGCATTACCGGAAAGAGTAATTAAGAATAATTCATAATAATTCCCTTTAACTTGGATATTTCGTCTCCAACGTGCGTGGCGGTCACGCACCGATTCTTTCATTTTGATTTCACTTTAAATGTCGATAATTGAGGGAAAGAATAACGCGGCAACGGTTACGAGAACGTTTACGCAAATTCTCTCAGTACTAATACACAAAGATGAATGTTAATAATTAGCCGTGACGGAACCGTTTACGCAAATTGTGTGAATACTAACATACAAATATGAGTGTACATAGCAATTAACTGCAAAATAATTAAGTGTTTCTCTTTTCGATACGTTCTTTAACATGCAAACTTACACTACCGTGACATAAGAAGTTTCACTTCAACAAGTATTCCACCCTCTTATCGAGCTATCTCACAAAACAGAAATTTGAGAAAAAATAAAAAAATAAATTTTCTTGCAACGAAACCAATTTTACATCCACTAATTAACAATGTACTCTCCGAAACAATAGGTCACTTCTTCCCAACGGTTATACTTAAGCATTTAATTATCCCCAATGAAAATTCACCGTACAAAATGAATTATCCATGAACATATGGAACGACCCAATGAATAAGTATTTTAAAAACGGCGAAAAAAGAAAATGCCAGTAAATTTTTCTAATTTTCCTACTTACGCTGGCACGCTCGGCGAGGTCTGCATGACTATTTCCCCTTGCACTGGAATGAGAGATTTCGGAAATTAGTACAATAGCAGTCGAGAGTCGCTCGCAGAGATCGGGAGCGATTTTCCGTCTCCTTTTCCGGCCCTCGAGACGAAGATAAGCCAGAAACGGAAGCAGCGATTAGAGGCCCTCTTCCTCTCTTCGCCGGGCATTCGCGCCCTCCTCGGTCGCGCTCGACGAAGCAAGAAGGCAAATTAAGTGGAACGAGTTAGGAAAGAGTCGCACGAGCGATTCGCCTGCTGAGATTTGCGTTTTTGCGGTCGGCGATTTCGCAATACCGAGCGCTTAGCGGCCGAATGTGTCGCGCCGATTCGACGCGCGAGCCGGCCAAGCTTTTCCGACATCTTTATCACCGGGTTTTTATTTTTTTTTATTTTTTTTTATTTTTTTTATCATTTTGGGAAGACACGACAACATCTCGTATGTCTTCGCCTAGGGCAGTCTAAATCCGTCCACGCGTCAGGAGTCTGCATCAATGAACCGACTCGCACACACATAGCGCGTGTCACATATGCGCGAATCGCAAGTACTTACCGCACTTCCCGGGTGTTCTAACTGCTTTATGAAATGTTATTCTTGGCATAACTCCGGGAATTTGGCCCCATGGCGAGAATCCTCCTCTCGGCCTCGAGGCGGAGGTCGTGTCGGGTTCGCCAATGGTTTATAAAAAATTGTAGGAAATTAATCCCGGGTCGGGCGGCTCGGTTGAGCCTGAGATCATGGTTGCACTTTTCAGACTTTTCGATGGAATCGACCGGTTATTAATTATGGGGTAATCCTAACCCTGTGATTAGGGTTGTATCTCTCAAGATGCATCCCATTCGAATTAAAATCCATTATCAAGCTCTGATAACAATGCCCATGTTAATTCACATTCTCAGTCTTTGGTTATTTCTATGCCATAATAAATTGCAGTGAAATTTCATTGCCGCTGTATTGTTATACTCAGTGTCTATGTTAAGTTTGAGAAAATTATAATGTAATGTTACATCTAATTCAGGTAAAAATGCACCAATACGGTGGGTTTACAATGTTAGGCGTATTTATATTGTATATGTATTTATATTTTATTTATATTATATAATACATTTTCTAAGTTGTACTTTTTTCGTTTTACGTTTACTATGTAAACCTTCATTTAGGAGGTATGCAGATATGTATATAAATTTCCGGCCATTTTTGTCACTTAAGAGTATTTAACGCCTGATTTGAGTTAATCAACCGATTTGGCGATTGTCAAAGCATTTTAATCTCCGATTAGCCTGATTTTCGTCGGTGCAACGCGGGCGAGGGTAATTTGAAATTAAGTAATCGGGGCTAATAAATTTATTAACGCGTGATTTGAGTTAATCAACCGATTTGGTAGTTGTCAAAGCATTTTAAACTCCGATTAGCCTGATTTTTGTCGGTGCAATGCGAGCTTCGGTAATTGAAAATTAAGTAATCGTGGATAATAAATTTATTAACGCATGATTTGAGTTAATCAACCGATTTGGTAGTTGTCAAAGCATTTTAAACTCCGATTAGCCTGATTTTTTTCAATCTTATCCTCCGACCCCCCCACTGACTTTTCAATAAAATTATCTGAACGTTAATCCTAAGTTAATTTTAACCGTGGATCCTCATTATACATTCTCAGATTTTGAAACAGAATCATCCCGAAATTTTTGGACATTGACGAAGCGCCCTTTTTATGAATCACCTCTTTTCTTAAGACAATTAATCATCTACGCCTCTATTGTCTATTAAGGGGGTGTGAAAGTGGCACCTAAAGAGTCAATCGTTTATGAAACTTTTCTCCGAACTGGGTCGACTGAATTTCAAATTTTATTTCAAATTTGATGAAAGATCATTTCAAATTTTACAACATGAACATAAAGCCTCTATGGAAGGTTCCGACACCCGTGAAATTTCATTTCTTCTAACACATTAAAAAAATTCCTATAACCAAATTTCCAAAAGATTGAAATCTCGTGAGTTTCAGAGTCCTCCTCATAGCCTCGTTATTTAAATTGTAAAGTTTGAATCGATTCAGTACACTCGGTTTGGAGAAAAGTTTCATAAACAAGATCTCTTTGACATCGCCTTATCGCTACACTTCATGCAAAGTTAATCCTTATGACATAAGATGATATGAAAGGGTCATTCTATAAATATAAAGAAAACGTAAAAATATAGATGAAACATTTCTCCAAACAAGGTGCAACGATTAATTTCAAACTCTACACGTGATTATGGAGACCCTAAGGAATAACGCGCCGCTCATGAAATTCCATTTCCGACAAAAATGTTGTACTTATGTCGGATAAGAGCCAAAAAAGAATTTTTTTTCGAAAAATGAAGTTTCATTGGCAGCGCGTTCTTCCTTAGAGCCTCCATAATCACGTGTTAAAGTACAAGATAATTAGGTCCACCCAGTTTGGAGAAATGTTTTGTAAATATTTTGCCTTTTCGGTATGTGCATGTCAGTCTTTCATATCGCCTTAATTCACGGAAAAGCTGAAAAATCGGAACCGGCGGCGAACCGGAACCGCCATTTTGGTGGTCATCTCCCGAAGTGCGGCATATTTTCCCGATGACAAGTCGGCATTGGAAGAGAGCCGTCGGGGCGTCGTCGACGGTGGGGTGTCGGAGCTATTTCGAAGCGGCGCGGGATCGCGTTACCGGCAGCCATTTTAGGAGCAGCTATCTTTACGCGGCGCCCAGCGTCGCGCGTCGCGACGCCCGGCCCTGCGCCGAGGATCGCTCCCGACTCGACGGCGAGTTACGCAAATCCAGTCACTGACCAAAATAACGGGCTTACGAAGCCACGGGGGCCGAGAATCGACGCCGGCCCTCTAGATCCGACAGGTAGTTCCGGTAATCAGCTGCGACGACCGGAAGACGCGCGCCGACGACACTTAGCGACGCGCGACGTCGCCCTCCGCGACGCGGGACCGGGAGCATTTTCAAAGGAAAAAAGTGGTACCCGACATTCAGACGAGAATTCCAAAATATCGCGGCAACTAAGAATAAAAGAAAGAAAGAGGAAGAGAGAGAGAGAGAGACATAGAGAACGAATACACGTGGGAGGGAGAAAAATATGACACTTGGATGTTTGACGTTTCGCTTCTCCCGACGCTGATATAAGACGACAGTTTACGATTGGGGAAGATCTCGACGCCGGAAGTCCTAAATCTCGGGAAAAGCGAGAAAATGGAGAGCGGGAGGAGATAGGTGACGTTAAAGGAATCCCGCAAACGTCAACGGGCCGATTTTTGGCACGTCGAGCGGTCGTTGACGAATGCCCGCGGACGCAGTTGGCAAATGCCGAAGAGGATGGCGACTTAATCATGGAAGAGAGCTAGAAGGACCGAATTTTTAGATCGTCCAAGCCGGGGAATATTCCTCGATTTGTGGAATGAAAACTGGAACTATGGGCGATCCGCGAGCAAAGGCGACGCGAGTCGCGCGGAAAAGTGACCGATCTCGCCTGTGCAGGCGCGCGCCTGTCCGCGCGTTGAAGTCTCCAGGAAAATATTCTTTTCCGCCGTGGTTTCCAGGCCAAACCTCCCCTCGCAATTTTTTTTCAGGGCTGGTGATCCCGTTGGACGTTTCCCAATTACCGCGGCGACCAGGGAGGAGCGTGGGCCGCCGTGGGAAAATGGCGGAAGCGCGGAGAAGTCGTGGAATCGGGTCGAGGGGCTATTTCGGCGAAACGGGAGGGGTTCTAGATCTTAAAATCGCGATCCAGCGATCTCCTCGAATCGAGATCGGCCAGGAATTCCGAAAGGCCTACGCCTCGGGAACCCCGAAACCTCGGATTTATTTATAGCCGACGTGCCGAGGGCTGCGTCCCGAAAATAGCGCGGCAGCCGCAACTATTTCGGCCTCTCTGCGGGTTTTTTTCACAGGCTCTGTCTCCGAGAATCTCGGAAAGCTCGATCGAAAACGCATTTCCGGGAGGGGTGGAGGGATCCCGAATAGGGCCGCGTCCTCGGGGAGGTCCTCCCTCCTCCGCGGTGGAGAACCGACTGACCTCTCTGCTGACTGGTGACCTGCTGTCGCGTTACTTGTCGCTCCGTCCGCTGTTGCACGTACTGCTGCTGCTGCTGCACCTGCGAGCTGGTCTGCTGCGACTGCTGGGTCTGCTGCACCTGCGAATTCTGCTGGCGCTTCATGGTGCCTGCCGATCTCGAAGACTCCGATGTCGAGGAGGACCGGTCGGTCCCTCCCCTAACTTGGGACCTCCTTGTCCTTTAACACCTTCTTCGGGGCAAACTCTTCGACAACGTCTTCTTCGACCTCTTCTCTCGCAGCGGAGCGATTCGCTAGGGCTCGAAAACCGTTCGATCGATTCGAAAGGCGGGACCAGCTCGAGGGGTTCTTCCTTCTTCAGGGTCGGGCCACTCCGGGCTTTCTTCGCTCGTTCCCTCTTTCCTTTCAGGGTCCACTCCACGGGGGAATGGCGTCGTCGTGTGCTCGGGCAACTGCGGCTCGCGGGCCTCGCGGCTTCGTTCTCGCGGCAGAAGTCAAGTCATCGTCCGTCTCCCCGAGGCTCTTTAAACCAAGACGCCGGTCGAATGTGAAAATCGCGAGTGAGCCGGCGCTGCCGGTCGCGCCTCGACGCCCGCGACGGAGGCGGCGGAGGCGGCCAGCCGAGGAGTGGGGCGTCGCGACGCCCGAGACGCGGAGGCGGCCGGACGAAAATATCCAAGTGCGCGGAGATCCTGGACGATTTTCGAATCCGACCGCTGAAAAATTCGGAAAAAATTCTCAAAAATCCCCTCCCCTTCCAACGCCCTCCCCAAATTTTTTCAGAATTTTCCCATCAACCCTTCCCGCAGAAACTCTTACCCCGGCTCATCAGCCAGCACCCTAGACCAGCCGAATTCTCGAGCCATGATTGTTTAATCCGCATTTAAGTTCGGTCTCCATTTTTCCTCGTGCATAAATCCCTCAAGGATCCTCAAGAATAGGTCGATCGACACTCGAATTCTCTCGGGGCGCTATTTATAGCTGCTGGATTTAGCGTGCAGCGGGAACGTAAGCATTACGTGGCTGTCAACATGCTCTCGTTGGCGAGAGGGGGGTCGCTGACTAACCGAAGGGGTGGTTCGTGAAACTGATCTGGAAGTGTCGGAGTAAAATCGAAGGCTCTCGGAGAACGATCTCCAGGTCGTTCCCCGATCGGCGGGGGTCGATGATCGTTCGATGATCGTTCGATAATCGGTCGATGATCGGTCGATGATCGATAATTGACCGGATACCGCGGGGGCGATCTTCAAGGTGGCATAGCGACCGTTCTATTTCCAAGTGACACGACACCTCCTAAACATAACCCACATCTTAGGCTTGGGTCCAGCGGGTGGATAGACTCGGGGCCGAGGTCGTCGGCGTGAATCAACGCGGTTATACATACGACCGCGGCCACCCCCCGCGAACACCGCGGCCTTCGCTCTTCGGCATCGGCGACCCGGACTCTCGGACTCGCTCTCGAACGCGGACTCGGACTCGGCGAAAAGGCTCGCGGTAATACGCTTCCACTGGATATTTCGTTACAGCCTTTCCATGGACCGTGAGTCACGAGCGCGGCCACCAGGGAGGGGCGAGCGAGCGAGAAAGAGGGCGAGGGCCCGAGAAAAAGGTGGAGAAGGAGGGAAAGAGAGAGAGAGGCACTCTCCGAGAGGAAACCCAAGACGAGGAGCGTTTCGCTCCGACCAACTCGCTGTTCCTGGCAAGCATATACGAGAGGAGACCCTTCTTCTCGGCGACCCCTGGAAACGCCGCCATTTTGGAGAACGTTTCTGAGGGACTTCGGAGAAGAACGTGATCTCTTGTCGGGAGAGACGAGGGGAATTTGGTTTAGTTGGATCCGGGATCACCCTTTGTCGCTGCTTTTTCGTGGTTCACGGAAACGCCGCCATTTTGGAGAACGTTCCTGGGGGATTTCTGAAAAGGACGTGATCTCTTGTCGGGAGAGACGAGAAGGATTTGGTTTAGCTGGATCCGGGATTACCCTTTGTCGCTGTTTCTTAGTGGTGCACAGAAACGTCGCCATTTTGGAAAACGTTTCCGGGAACCTTTGAGGAGGCGCTGATCTTATATCGAGAGAGATGAAAGGGATTTAACTTGACCAGACACGCACTTACCCTTCCTGATGACCTTCCTCGAGAAGAGGGATTCGGTCTCTTCTTCGGCGTCGCCATCTTGGAGAACGCTTTGACTCTCGGCTTCTAAGCTAAAATCAAGCTCGAACGATTGCTCCTCCAAATGGCGATCCCTCCACACGGCTCGCACTTGCGAGGGTAGTCCTGAAAACGGTCCTTCGCGCACCGAAATCAGAAACTCGGGGTTTAGATATCTCCTCTTCAGGTTTCAATTTAGTATTACTGGAGGCATTAGAGATTACTACTATGTATAGTAGAGAGTACTACGGTGCGTTCCAAGTGCCAGGAGAAAAAGAAGGAGACGGGTGGGTTTAATTTATTCAAATCATCTGATTTATTGCAATTAGATAAAGACTTCCCGACACCATGTCCAAAAATCGGCGAGAACTAGAGTTCCTAGTCTAAAGGAGAGAGGGGAGACCGAGGTACACCAGGGAGCCCAAACCTCTATGCGAAGGAAGCAGATAGATTTATTTACACGATAGCAATGGCGGTGATAACAGTGGTAACACAGCAGGGTTATACGTCTCTCCATCGACGGCAACTGCAACTGACAGGTCAAACAAACCGCACCGAGCATTAATCGAGCCCCGACACCGCAAGCTCGGAAATCCGAAAATCCAAAACCGGAAATCCTTGCTCTTCGACCTCTTCTTCGGGATCTCGACTCCCTCCACCGAGGGCGTCCTCTTCGAGAGCGTCGAATTAAAGGGGGAAAAAAAAAATAAAACAGAGAAAGGAAATAGCCGCGTCCACCACCCCGAAATGGCGAGAAGCTGAAGAGGGACCGATGGGTCGATTAAACCAAGCGAGGGAAGGGAAGAAAGGGACGCCGAAATTCTGGGGAGCTTCCGCGGGGAGGGGCCGAGGAAAATGGTACCTTGCGAAAGCGCGATTCCCAGGACCGCGGGAGAAATGCATTTCGTTCCGAGAAAGCTCTCGTATAGGCCTCGCTACTGGTGGTGCATCGACGGCGCACCGGAAGTGCATCGAGCTACACCTCGAGGGGCGCGATCACGAGGAAAGACCCGCCACCTTTTCGGCTCCCAAAGCACAGGACTGCCAAGGAGGTCCACTCCCTAAGCTTTGTAAATCGACCTTCTGTTACCTGGAACCAGGAGGGTCGCCGAGGTCCCGGTGGAACCGAGGCTGTTGGTCGCGGTGCAGCTGTATGCACCTGCATCCTCTGTCGGAGAGAAGGGTCGATATTTCATTTCCGTGATTTCCATTTATCATGGGTTTCTTTTATTCACCCTTCGACCTACCGGGATGGGCTCGAGGAATGGTCAGGCGACACACTCCGTTCCTGTAGTGGATCTCGTTGTCGATCGAGTTCTCGATTATCCTGCCGTCCTTGGACCACAGGATGTTGGGCTGCGGCTCTGCCTGCACGATGCACTCGAATCTCGCGGTCTGCCCGTTCACCACGGCGATGTCCCTCAGGGGCTGAAGAAGTATCGTTCTTTCACTTTTTCTCTTCGACATATTTATTAGGAAAATTCTCTTCACAGAGGAGATCACTCACCGCGATGAAAATGGGGGCCTTCTTCGGCTGGACGTCCAGGTAGGGCTGAATCACCTCCCGGTTCCCTGTCGGCGTCGTCGCCCTGCCGTTGGTGGGCCAGGGAGACCCTGAAGAGACTCGAGCTTTAGACGATTCAAAATGGGAAATATAAATAATGAAAATATAGAGTGCGTGGTCACCACGCTAGATGGATGTGGAAATCATTTCACTATAAACGTCAATAATTAACTGAGAGTGGAATACCCTGACACTAACGAACATTATTACGCAAATTGTCGCGATGCTAACGCGCAAAGATTAATGTAAACGGTTATTACCTGTCGAGGAGAAATAAATGCCTTACGTTTCTATGCGAACTTATTTTATAACATGTACACTTAAACTACCGTGACATAAGAAGTTTCGTTTCAAAAATGTTTATGGTTTTCTCGCCCTTTCGGCCATCTGACTTTTTTGGTACCTAAAGTTGGCCTTCCTATGCTTTTGCTTTTGTTGTATAAAATATCATGTATACCATAGAAGCAAAGGTTTTTTACGGCCCAAAAGACCCGCTTTCAGTTCGTGCGCTTACGAGCCTACGATTTGTATCGCTGCATCACGCTGGTCATGAAAAAAAACTACTTTACCTCCTTACTGGACAAAATAATATTTTATGTAACACCAGCATGATTTACACGTCTTTCTGCGATTATCTTCAATACCTAAGATTGTCTTTTCTACGACAGTATACGTAAATAAACCGCGAAGAGTGGAACCAGGACAGAAAAGAGCATCGAAATGCCCTAAGACGAAATGGCCATATTTGTACTTCGCGCACGCGCAAAAAGACTTGTCAACCCATGCTTTTGCTTTTGTTGCACAAAATATGATGTGTACCATAGAAGCAAAGATTTTTTACGGCCCAAAAGACCCGCTTTCAGTTCGTGCGCTTACAGCTGATATTGCAAGATTACGCTGGGCGGAAAAAGATCCATTTTCCCTCCTTGATAACATATCATTAAATGTGGAGTCTTGGTACTCGTACCTGAAGACTCAATGTTGCTGGGAGGTCCGATCGAGCTGTGTCTGGGAGAGAGGCTGGGCAAGCTGGGGCTCAAAGAAAGAGGACTCGGGGTGGTCTGGTCCCACCTCCCCGAAGGGATCACCACGCTGGGGGGTCCCAGGTTCTTCCTGTTCCTCGAGTCCTCGGCCTCGGAAAACTCACTTTCCGAGGTGGGCTCCCACTTGACTGTCTTCGCGCCGGGCGTGAACTTTGTAGGCTTGAAATGGCTATGCAAGGACGTGGGCCTTGAAGAGTCCTTGGCGAACCCGTTCCTCTTGTCGCTGTTGGTGCTGAACTCGTGCACTATCGGCACGTCGATGTCGCTGGCTCTCCTCTGATGGGTGGTACCACCGATACCACTGATGCCACTGGTACCACCGATTTTCTTCCCCTCTCCGGGCAACACGATGCCGAATTCGTAGCCGAAGTCGTACTTGAAGTAGATCAGCCCGGTGTCGGGGTCGATGTGCTTCGTGCCTGGAAAATCCGCATCCGTTTAGAAACACAAAGGAAATGTTTGAATGTGACCATCGTTTAAAAGACGTGATCATTGCCTAAACAATTGATATGGCTAAACCCTTTTAAAGACTTTTCGGTATGTATGCATGACACTTTTATATGGACTTAATCTAGGAAAAAGGATCGTCCTCGAGGTTACCATATTGAGCCTGTCTGGTCTCCTCCCTGTAGGTCCTGGGGTCGTCTTCGGCGTCGGTGGCGGCGCCGTCCGCGAAGGTCTGCTTCAAGATCGGCTTCTGCTTCAGATCCGACCGGATGTCGTTGGCGAACTTCTCCGTCTTGGAGCGGAAGCTGCTGGTCATGTCGCTCATGTGCTCAGCAGCCACGTCTGGGAAGTCGGATTCTCAGGTTACGCGACGAGGTCGCGCCGAATGAAGAAGGATCTCCTTCGAGGTAAAGAATCCCGAAGAAGGGAAAGAAAGAGAGAAAGAGAGAGAGCGAAAACTAGCGAATCCAGAGGAGGCGAGCTCCAGAGAAGCGAGGCGAGAAAAGAGGAGCCACGAGAAATCGATCTTACAGTTCGCCCTGTCGATGTCGCTCCTCGACACGAACCCATACTCTGGGGGCGAGCCAGGTTTCAGGAGGAACTCCTCCTCGGCAAGGCCGGAGCGCTCCAGCTGATGGTCCAGCCGATCCTCCAGTTTGCTCTCGACCTTCGCCTCCACTTTGCTCTTCGAGGTCGCGACCGGAGCCCTCACTCGTCGATACTCCAGGTCCTCGACATCGCTATCGGCAGGGGTCCACCTTGTGCCTACCCTGGAGCTCTCAACGTCACTCTCGGACTCCCCGAAGCGACCCTGCTGGAACCTCGACGGGGTGGGCACCTGTTCCGTCCTCGACCTGGGGAAGGTCCCCGTCTCCTGGCTCGCCCTGTTCTCCCCGAACTTGATGACCCGGCTGGTCCTCTCCACGGTAACGATCCTCCTGGTGTTCTCCGTAGACTCGTCCATCCTAACGGTGTTCCTGGTCTCGGTGCCGATGGCGTTGTGGAAGGGCAGTCCGGGTCGAGGCTGGGGCCCGGTCGAGGTCTGGCGATGCGGAGGCGCGTACGCGATTTCTGGCGGAGACCCGGGTAGCAGGACCGACTTGGCCTGGCGATGTCTTTCCTGGTCCTGGCGAAGGCGATCCTGGCGCGAGGTCTCCCTCTTCCGGTCCTCGACCGGCCGCGCCGCCTCGATGGGCCGGAAGCCCGGCCGCGACGGACCGGAAGTCTTCGGCGGCTCCTCGAAGAGCGTCGGGGGAACCGGGTCCGGCCCCGGTTCCGTCGACCCGGGGCGCGGCTTCCCTGTGTGGAAAACACTCTCAGTCGTGGTGGCACCCGGTGGTACCTGGGAGCTAAGCACTGGAAGAGACGCCGAGAAGAGAGGTAGCGGAGAGCGAGAGAGAAGCGGCCGACGGAGAGGGCCACCCCGAGGACCCCGGTGGTGACCTCGAGCGAAAGCGGAGGGTCCCTTCAAAGCTACGGGTGGGATCTCGAAGAGGGAGAAGAGCGCCCGGACTGCGGTCAGAGGTCGAAGCGGTTCCTGCGGCTCGTCAGGTACAGGGAGCTGTACCCCGTGTACCCGGAGTACCTACCCGAGCCCACGAAGGTCGGCTTCACCGGCTTGAAAGAGTACTCTTCCGTGTCCGAGCCCCGGGGCTTCCAGAGGGGCGGAATCCTCCCCTCGTAGTCGCTCTCGTAGTCGCTCTCGCGGAACTCCCCCTTCACGAACTTTGACGGACTCGGCGGCAGCACCGTCTTCTTCGGGGTCGGCTTCGGCGCCTCCGGCTTGTACGAGAACGGCTGCGACTGCAGCCTGTACGGAGAGTGGCCCCCTGTGTACGTCGTTTCCTGTGGACGATCCTGACGTTAGACTTCTTAGACCCCGTTATCGTCGTCGAGTCAACCGTTCGGTTCTTCGGAATATTATTGCGATTTTTACAAGTTAAGGTGATGTTAAAGTGGCATCTAAAAGATCTCATTCATGAAACATCCCTTCGACTTAGGTGTACCAAATCGTTTCGAGCACTACAACGGGAAGGTGGAGACTATAAAAAAGGTCCTGCTAACCATGAAACGTGAAATTTTTCCAAATATATTTATAGACATTTTAAGAATATTTTTTAAAATAGTGAGATTTCTTGGGGGTCAAAACCTTCCTTTTAACTTCTACATTTATGTTGGAAAGTTTGAAACGATTTGGGAAGCATTGTTTGGAGAAAAGTTTCATGAACATGGCCCCTCGGATTTTCCTTTTCACATCGTCTGAGGATTTGACGATGTTTGTTCCAAACTAAACTAATTTTTTTATATGTTCCTTGTTAAAAGTGGAGACTTCGCTACACTTTACTAATAATAATGTTGTTTCGGATGTCAATTTTTCCTTTTTTTCTCGGCGTTAATGACCGCGACACATTTAGAGCTCATAATATTCGAGGCTTTCGTCTCCGCCACGAAAATATTGAAACCACCTTTTTTTTTATTTTTTTCAATTTTGAAAGCAACGACGCATTTGTTACCGGTTCCTGGTCAAATGCATCGTTGATATTGTAAAACGCTTCGGCTGCTTTAGGACTCATGTCGAACTTGTAGAAGAAAATCGACCGAATTTTCCCCTTATCTACCCTTTACTTAAACAGTGTAAATAAAAAAGAAATTGATATATAAAACGAAATTATAGCAGCAAAATATAGAGCAAAGTTGCGCTTTAAACTGACACAACTTGGACATGAAGACTGACATTGTTTGAAATCAAAGTGTTTATCTGAAATAGCAACAAGCGCGATAACTCTGCAGACAACCTGATAAAACATCAACTACCCTACGAGACACACCCTTAGATCATATGTATATCTAGACCTCGCATTTGACCTTCCACTCTCAGATTTTCAATAAGTACAATGGCTTTAACCCTTTGGCTACTAAGAGCGCCTAAAGGCGCCCGACATTTGGTCCAATATTGCTTGCACGGTCAAACGAATTTCGCCCATATGTCGAAATGGCTCGTCGTCAAAGAGAACTGTGTGGGTGAGTCGTCGAGACACGTGGTCCAGTGGTATTCGAGTTTACCCCTTCCACTGATATGCGAGGTCTAGATATTTATGGTCTAATGACACACCTAGGACACACACGAAAGCATCGGAGAAGAATGCAATTCAGATATATAAGAAAAAAAAAAAAAAAGAAACAAGATCAGGCGGATGCTGGATGCACACACAGGATGCGCGAACCTTGGGAGGCTCGAACTTGCTCGGCAGCGTAGAGGTCGAGAACCCTGAAGAGCCCTGGTACCGTTCGGTGCTCTCGGAGAAGGTCCTCGTCTCCGACCTCGACGAGGACGAGGAGGTTCCCTCGTACTTGGCGAAGCTCCTATGGACCGCGAGGGCGGGTCTCTGTCTAAGAGGTTCATCGGTGTCGGCCATGTATCCGCTCTCCTGCTGGAAGCTCTTGGTCTGTTTCCTGGCATCGACCTTACAAGAGGTCGCCACAGGCGTGGTCGGCAAGGACACAGGAGCCGGTGGAGAGGTCGGCTTCGGAGCAGCGGGTCGGAACTGAGGTTTACCCGGAGCCTCGAAACTAGAAGGTGGAAGAGGTTCTGGTTCCGTCGACCTCGGCCTCGCGAGTTTCGAGATCGGAGCTGGAGGTTGGACTCTTCGGTATCTTGGCTCGTCGTTATCGCTGCCATAGGCTCGCCATTTTGATTTCGAGAGGCCTTCGAGGTCGGACTCGTAGTCGCTTTCCAGGACTGCTGACCTCGTCGCCGAGAAGACGTGCTTGGATGAGGTCGCGGGCAGAGGTGGAGGAATCGGGCGAACGTCCTTCGGGGGGATGGCAGGTGGTGGTGGAGGGATGGTCCTGATGGCTCCTGGGGGTATCTTCGCCGGCTGGTGCTCGAGGGACATCTCCAAGGTCTTCTCCACTGTCTCCAGCTTCTTTTCCCTGGATACGGGGGCTGGGGCGAAGCCTATTTCCGGGGGTGGTCCGGGTTCCAGGATGAGCTCCGGAAGCGGTACCGAGGAAGGAGGGGGCTTCGAGGTCGCCTCTTCGGCAGCCGCAACGGCGGCGGCCACGAGGGAGGGCGCCTTCAGCTTCTCCAGGGTCGTCGAGGACCCGGTCAACCCCGAGGTCGCCATCTCCTCCGTCGTTAGGGTCTTTTCGGTGGTCTCCGTCGTCCTGACGTCGCACTCGGTCGTGTACTTCTCGATGATGGACTTCTCCTCGATGGCGTTCACCGTGTGGTCGACCTTGATGGTCTCGGCGTTGTAGATGATGGGCCTGGGGGCCGGTTTCTTCTCCTCGCTCCTCTCTATCACCGTCTCCTTGGACTCTGCCTTGGAGCTCCAGGACCTCTCTTCGTGGACTCCCGAAGTCTCCACCTGGCTCGTCACCTTGCCCTTGGGCAGCACGTTCACCTCCTTCACGACCTCCCTGGAGGACGTCTTCACCTCCTGGTGAGCCGGCGGCCAGGACTTCCGGCTGGCCTCGGAGCACTTCTTCGCCCAAGACTTCTCCATGGCGAGGCCATCGGCGGAGGGTTTCGGCGAGGTCGGGCGCTCCAGGTGACTCGAAGATGCTGCCGAGTGACACCTGTACTCCGAGAGGTCCGTCGAGACGTGCGACCTGGTCTCCAGGTCGGAGGCGTAAGAGGACTCGTAGGTCTGGGAGAAGAGGCTGGTGGCAGGTCCCACCCCTGAAGGAGAGGTATCCCTGTGAACGCTTTCCTGTTGATGTTGATGCGACTGTTGATGGGTCCTCTCGAAAAGGGATGGTCCCAGGGGAGTGGAGGTCTTCGGGATCTCCGGGACCTCTCTCCTCACGAATCGCTCTTCCAAGACCTCTTTTTCTTCCTTCCTCAGCTCGAAGGGCGGCGGTATCGAGAATGACGTGGGGGTCGGGGTCGGGGTCGGAATCGTTGGGGTCTTCGGCGCTGGCTTCGGGATCGGTGATGGGAATATCTTCACGCCACCCACCGGGGCGTCAACTGGGGACAGATTCCTGTGGGACTCCTGCAGCTGCTTCGCCTTGATGGTGATGTCAGGCCGTTTTTTTTTGTCCGGCTCGATCTTCGGCATATACCCGATCTCAGGGGGAGGCTCCGGGACCAGGTCGAACCCTTCGAGCACCGACTCCTGGGTCTCGGAGCGCAGCTTCGAGGTATTCGAAGTCTCCTCCACGACGGTCTTCTTCGAGCTCGAGGCGAAACTCGGTAGCTTGTACCCCTCGTACGTAGGGATCTCGATGAGGTTGTTGTCGATCCCGCGCCCCGAGGTCGACCCTTGCTCGAACTTCTTGAAAAGGTCCCCGACGGACTTCTTGCTGGACCGGAAGTCGAACACCGGAGCTGGCTCCTGTCTCTCCGGCTCTGCGATCTTTCCAGAGGACTCGTAGCTCTTCGTCAGCTTGTCGATCTTGACCTCATACGTGGGGGCGCTGGCTTTCGAGATCGTCTTCAGGGTCGACTCTAGACTCGTCGTTTCCACCCTGGGCAGTACAGGGAGTTCGGTGGCTTCCTTCACCTTGGACTCGAAGAAGCTCAGGGCGTCCTTTCTCGCGATTCGCGAGGTCTCCACGTTCTCGTTCTCCTTCTCGACCTCCAAGAGACGAGTCGCCCTCTCGTCAGGTTCCAGGATGTCCGGGGTCTTGTGCTCCAGTTTCACGTGGAACTTCTCTTCGGACTTGATCTCGCTTCGGTGCGACTCCACCGTCGAGGAAATCGTTTCCGAGAGCAGCTTCGTCTCCACGGCGTCTTTCTTCAGGGTCTCGGAGACGCTCTTCAGGGGCGTCGTCGGCACCGTGCTCGTTCGAATCGTCGTGGTCTGCGTGCGGTCGGATATGGGGATCGTCGGTGGTGCCACGAACTTCTTCCCTTCGTTCTAGGATACGCGAGAAGGTCCTTTAAAGGTTCTCCACCCTCCCATAAATATCCCACCACGACCTTCCCTCAAATTGGAGAATCTTCTCCGCGTTTCTCCATTTTTCACTCGTCTTATGTCTTATTAATCGGTAATTATTACTATTTATTCTAACTACTCACCAGGGCATTTTCCTTCTCCCTCGTAGCGTTCTCGTAGATGACGGTCTTGTGGACCTCCACCATCGTGTCCGGAGTTGGCTCGAAGACTGCGAAATCTGCGATGCTCTGGGCCTCACCCCCTGCGTTGGTAGCTCTCACCATGTACTTGCCCCGATCCTCGTTAGAAGCTGAAGAGATTAATTAAGGTGATATGAAATTGGCATCTCTGGGGACAATCGTTCACGAAACCTTTCTCCGACGATCCTGCGGAATCGTTTAAGATTCTAGCACGTTAATGTAAAAGACCTAAGGAAGGTCTCGATACCCATGAAATCTAATTTTCTGCACAAAATTTAAACAATGTTTATACACAAATTTAAAAACGATGAAATTTTACAGGTGTCAGAACTTTTATTAGGGTCTTCTTATCCATGAAGTAAGATTTCAAAAGATTTTGTATACTCAATTAGGAGAAAAGTTTCATAAACGAGACGCCATTTTCACGTCACCTTAAGGTGATATGAAAGTGCGATAATATTTACCAAAAAGTTAAAATGTTTATAAAACTTTTCGCCAAACTGGGTACACCGAATTATCTGAAACTTTAATATGTGATTGTGGAGGAACAACGCGATGCCGGGAAATTTCATTTTTTTATAAAAAATATCTCTTTTCCGTTCTTGTCCGAGATAAATGGAAAATTATTTTCGAATAATGACATTTCAGCAGCGCGCTCTTCCTTAGAGCCTCCATAATCACGTGTTAAAGTTTCAGATAATTCGGTACAACCAGTTTGGAAAAAAGCTTAAGAAATATGTTGACTTTTTGGTAGGTATATGTCACACTTTCATATCACCTTAAGGTGACGATTTAAAGGTGGATCGTTCAACCTCCTTCGGGGATGTCCTCACCTTTATCGATTATTAATAAATAGCAGTTCCCTTGTTGCTTGATCCTGATTCGAGGAGGTTGCTCCTTCAGGGGCAGGTCGTCCTTGTACCAGGAGACGGTAGGTTCGGGGGTGCCCGTGATCTCGACTTCCATGATCACCCTGTCACCACTTTTGACGACCTGGGCCTGAAGTCGCCGACCGAAGACCGGTGGGAAGATCGTCTCTAAAAAGATAAAATACCGTAGAAATGGAATATTACAGATTCAGATATGAAAATATGGAAACTACAATTTCCACCGATGATTGCAAGAGTCCTTGTCCTGCGGCTAACGCGTGTTTTTGGAGGAAACTTTTAGTTGCAGCTAAACGTCACAGATGGCGACGCTGGTCCTATACAGTCGTTAGAATAATGAATTCACGGGATTTTGCCAGTTTTACATCGATCTTTTTATCATTACTTTACCGAAATGACATATAGAACTCTTCGGCTCGTATAATTCTCAGCGCAGACTGTAAAATATTTAAAGATAAATATAAATGTCGGTAATGGGACGCGCCAGCTTATGTTCCCACCTGAGTATTCAAAACGACATGATAAATGTGAATAGTAATTAAATGTAAAAAGAAAGTGCTTCACTTATCGATATGCTCCCCTTCCTTAACATGCGTACTTGTACTGGTACCATGACGCGGTGTTTCACTTGGAAAAGTACATTGAAATAAAAATAGGTGTGAAATGGGTATCAGTCTCTAACAGCGATATGATATACATCCACGGAAAGAAAAAATTAACAATACAAATAGCAAGTTTGCAATCGATAGTCATTTACGGTATTCTTTTTAGTAACTGGCTCCTGCGGCAATGTAAAATATTCCAATTCCACTCGAATGAGAATTCCGAAAGAATTGAAATAATTATTTTCCTCACTTTTTACAACCAGATCTGCTGTACTGTTGGCTGTGCCAACTTCGTTCGTCGCAGTGCAGGTATATCGGCCGGCATCTTTTACGTTGACATTCTTTAACTCCACCCTGACGTGGTTGTGAGAGTAGCTGACATTGACGCCAACTTTCTCGACCAACTCCTGTCCATTCTTCGACCAGGAAATCGTGGGCAGCGGGTAACCTGAGGAGAAACATCGAACATAAGTCTGCGCAATTGAGGTGATACCGAAGAGGACGAGAATTTCCGAGGAAATTGCGTTTTCAAACGGTGCCCCCGTTTCGTAGCCCGAGCCAACGTTTGCCTAATGGTAAACTGGTCTAGTGTGTCTATGCGTGTATGAATCGACCTCGAGTCCTACATTAGGCCCGGGTCGGGGGAATGGCCGAGGGTGTCCCCGGGACCGCTTGCCAAGACAGAAAAGTCGGGGACCGCGGTTTAAATGTTCGTGTACCGGTATACCCAGCTGCCAAGCAATTTTGTAAATCGCTTCCTCGGATTTTCTCGACATCTCCAAATTTTCCTTCCCTCGTCCTAAAAGTATTTTATTTTCAAATCGTTTTATGATTTTCTTCTCGATTATGTCGTACGTTTTTATTAATCCTTTTAAAATGACACTTTTTCACCCGTTGTACGATAATTTCACTCAATGGTAACTGCGGTTTAAATGTTCGTTTATAGGTAACTAAAGCTGCCAAGCAACTTTGTAAATCGCTTCCTCGGATTTTCTCGACATCTCCAAATTTTCCTTCCCTCGTCCTCTAAGTATTTCATTTTCAAATCATTTATGATTTTCTTCTCGATTATGTCGCACGTTTTTGTTCATCCTTTTAAAATGACACTTCTTTACTCGGTGTATGATAATTTCACTCAATGGTAACTGCGGTTTAAATGTTCGTTTATAGGTAAATAAAGCTGCCAAGCAACTTTGTAAATCGCTTCCTCGGATTTTTTCGACGTCTCCAAATTTTCCTTTCCTCGTCCTCTAAGTATTTCATTTTCAAATCGTTTTGCGATGTCATTCATAATTATGTTGCACGTTTCTATTTTTCCTTTCAAAGTGAGCCTGATCGTTATACAGTAATTTCTGACCCAGTGCAGATCTATCAATTTCAAAATGTGGTCACGTCAATGACTCTGGCCTTCTAGTACAATGACAGAAATGAATGCCTTCCTCGCAAATATGATGCCGCCAGGGTAAAAAGGGAAGGCATTGAAGTCTCCCAGTGCACAAATATTCTGACGCTGTTTCACCTTTTTCGGTAGTGCGTAAAAACAAACCCATTCAAACATACCTTCTGTCCTAATAGTACATGTTTTTAATTAATCTTTATATAGGAAGAGAGGAAATTTACCGTCGACTATCCCTTCGAGGATGACGTCGGTGCCTTGATCCACGATCATCCCCGTCAGGGGAGAGACGAACCTCGGGGCGGTGGACTTCCGGACGGACTTCTGAACCTGGGGGATGATCCTCGACTCGACGACGGTCTTCTCCTGGGTGGCCAAACCTGGCTGATCTTGCACAATTTTCTCGAATTCCTCGATTTTATGAGCCTGCAAATTTACCCAACATCCGGTGAAATTCCCCCGTCGCTCTTTTCAAGAGATTGGGGTAATAAAAAAATTCTGCCGCTTTAATAACCCTAGTCGAAAGTTTCTATCATACAGAAATCATGAGCGCACGTGAAACAATGAAATCATATTTTTAAGACGTTTCCCGATTAGTTTCATTTAATACGAACTCTGAATTTCTAAATAAACTTAATGGCCTGACACAAACTGGAGAGATCTCACCTCAAAGACGACTGAACTCTCAAATACCACTTTAACATCCCCTTAGCACCCCCTAAGCACTCAAAACCGAGTTCAAAATTGTAGTTCGAAGTAAGGACCTTTAAACAGGTTGCCAGGATATCTACGACAGGACTTTTGGAATGACCTAACACAACCTGAAGAGTAGATCTCACCTCGAGGTCGATTGAACTCTCAGATACCACTTTAACACCCCCTTAAGCACTCAAAACCAAGCTTAAAATTGTAGTTCGAAGTGAGGACCTTTAGATAGATTGCCAGGATATCTACTACAGGACATTTGGAATGACCTAACACAACCTGAAGAGTAGACCTCACCTCGAGGACAGGCGGAGCGCCATTCTCCGCGACGGAGCGTTCGGTGCTCTCGGAGATGGCCTTGACGCAGACGCTGGTTGGTCGATGATCGGGTCCAGCCAGGGTGGAGGAGCTCGTCGAGGAGACGTATTCCTTCTTCAAGGAGGTATGCGTGGTCGAGGATTGCGTGAGGGTCGAGGACATCTTGGTCAGGACCGTCCGAGAGCCGCCATCGCCGGGCGTCGTCTCGGACGAGAAGTGCTTCTCGCTCGAACTGGAAGCCTGCATCTCGTCGCCGTCGCTGAAGACTTCCACCACACCCTTCGTCGGCTCACCTGGTCCCAGCAATTCCCTCGGCGACTTCGAGCCTGAAATTCGAGAAATCGATCATGGTCGCCACCGAATCATCGTCGAAACTCGACCAAAGCGCCAAGCAGATCCGCCTGTGGGTCAGGGCGTCGCGCGGACGTCGGCGGGCGGAAAACGCAGCCCCGCTCGTTGCGTTGGCTCCGCTCCAAAATATATCGTACAAATAAATTCGGAGATCCAGATAAATCGAGGATCGAGAGTGGTAGGTGAATCCGGACCGTGAAACTCGACCCGCTTTCGCTTTCCCCGTTCATCCCACGGACTCGCGCGTTCGCGCTTTCCGCGCGCTCACCTTGTTCCTCCCTGAACCCCCTTTTCCGCCCCAGCAAGCTCGACTTCCTCATCTAAAAAAATTCATGCAGCATCCTCGGACCTTCCCCCACAACTTTCGTATCTAACAAAACGACGGAGGAGTTCTGTATCGGGCCGGAAAAAAATAAAAACCGGGGCGGGGCGCGTGCTCCAAAATGGTGTCGGTCCAGGGAGAGATCACGAGCGAGAGCAAGACGTCGCCATTTTAGCTGTGCCATTAAAGGTTCGACCGGATGGAGATGTCGATAAAATTAGCAGTTGGCTCTCTCCCTCTCTTTCTTCTTCTCTCAGCCCCTCCTCCCCTTTCCGTCTACATTTCTCCGAATTGGTCTCGATCCGCGATCGATCTCTTTCCCCGGAAGGTGTACGTACCCCGAAGAAGAGTCTCGCGTCGCAGGTTCTCCTTCGGCGTCGCCTCGGCGAGATTCCCTGCAAATCCTCCGATTTGATTTGATAAGCGACCCCTAGTCCGTCAAAACGGAGAAAAATCGGCGATTCGACGTCTCCTCGACCACCCTTCGAGCCCGGTCTCGACTCGCGACAAAAACCGCGACGAACTCGCGACGGACCCGCGACGGACTCGCGACGCGTCTCGCGACGAACTCGCCGACGGCGCCGGGTATTCGTGCCGACAAAAATAACGCGTTTCTGGGAGTGTTGGTCGAAGTCGCACCCTACCAACCTACCGCGACCTATTCCTACCTACAGGCCACCTACATGTCGGCCCGAATCGCGAGAGAGGGAGAGAGGCGCGCTCAATGAGAAGGAGCGAGACCGAGAGAGGGAGGATCGAGACCGACTTCCGTCGAAATTCCCGACGGGAGTTCCGGACCCCCCGCGAACTCGCGACCTTGGCGAAATTCGGGGGTAATAAACCGGGTTTACGAGAGAGGGAGGAAATGGAGAACGCCCGCCGAGGTAATATCGGATTCGAGGTCCGATTGCTCCATTTGGTCCAATTATAGATCCCGGAGGACCTGGAGCGACCCGGACGAATTTTTCCTGGACCTCTTAATGGCTCCTCTTCAAGGTAGCCGATGGTACCGATAAGCTAAAAATAATTGATACCAGGGGAATTAAGGTGATGTCGACCTGGACGAATTTTTCCTGAACCTCTTAATGGCTCCTCTTCAAGGTAGCCGATGGTACCAATAAGCTAAAAATAATTGATACCAGGGGGAATTAAGGGGATGTCAAAGTGTTGTCAGAGTTCTCCTTCATAAAACTTTTCTCCGAACTGGATGTACCGAATCGTTTCAGACTTCAGAAAGTGAATATGGAGGCTATAAGGAAGGTCCTGACACCCATGAAATTTCATTTTTTTCTTAATTTATTTATATAGATGTTCTATAAATCTTTTTGTAAATAATGAAATTTCACGGGTGTCAGAACCTTCCTTGTAGCCTCTGCATTCACGTTGCATAGTTTTAAACGTTTCGGTTAACCCAGTTCGATAAAAAGTTTCATAAAGGCAACCACTTTCACGTCGCCTTAAGGTGGTGCGAAACCCTGAAAACCAATTCATTAGAATGAGCGACTTTTTCAAAATTCCCTTCTACGAAATTGACAGACATTTCAGTACACAACTCGTACACTTCTAAGGAATGTCCTAACACTTCCAATTATTCTATTCTCAAAATAGAATTAGGCTAATTCAAACGTTCTATTTGGGATTCAAAGTTTCCAAAGTGTCGGGAGGTTTCTTAGGTGCTTAGGAGTTGTGTGATGATGTTTTGATCTTTTGGTGGAATAGTTGTGAAATTAAGTGTCTTATTTCTTAGTTGGATTTGGGGGTTTCGCAAAAGCCTTAACTCGATGGGGATGGGACGTTCATCGCAGAGGGCGCGTCGATCGATCGGGAATCGATCCCTGCGCGTTGATCGGCGCTCTCTCGCCACTGGTTATTATTAATAACCGGCGACACAGTTTCTGGGGTTTCTCTACGTTATTTTGGCCCACCTTACACCACGACTAAGCACGTACACCGCGATGGACGATCGGCCCAATTTCTGGCCGCGATGTCACCCCCAGAGCGACCGTGCATCATTGTAGGTCGCTGCGTTTCGAAATTCGAGGGCAAGGGTTAATCTTAGGCATTCCATATCTCCCTAAACACCGGATACCCGAGCAACACCCCTTCCTCGATTTGTACAATTTTTCTCAGATTTTATTGTTAATAAAAATCTATTAAAAAAAAAACGAGCATCATTGTAGCACGCTGCGTTTCGAAATTCGAGGGCAAGGGTTAATCTTAGACATTCCATATCTCCCTAAACACCGGATACCCGAGCAACACCCCTTCCTCGATTTGTACAATTTTTCTCAGATTTTTTTGTTAATAAAAATCTATTAAAAAAAAACGAGCATCATTGTAGGACGCTGCGTTTCGAAATTCGAGGGCAAGGGTTAATCTTAGGCATTCCGTATCCCCCTAAACGCCGGATGACAGCGCGACATCTCTCCCTCGACTTCCACAATTTTTCTCAGATTTTATTGTTAATAAAAATCGATAAATAAAAATCACTTACGTTCGACTAGGAGATCAGCGCGACACGTCGCGTTTCCTGCAGGATTTTCTGCCAGGCAGGATATCTGACCAGAGTGTCCCGTTTCGGCGGATTTTAGTGACAAGACATGTCGACCTCCGTTTGCGGTCACCTCGACCTCGACCTCTTCGACAGGACGGTCGTTCAGCAGCCACTTGATCTGCGGAAAAAAGCGATGCAATTTCCCATGTGCCTCATCGATTGGAAATCAATAAATTATCGATGAAACGTAACTATTCGTCCGATGTCCTGCGCCGAAAAAAAAAGACATTCGCCCTCTTGGCAAAAGGCAGCATTTTTAACAATGTTTGGCTCTTGTAGGAATAATTCCACTAACCGGAAAAATATTTAAAGTGTTTGCAATTGCATCAAACGTCTACCCACGTGAGAGTTACCGATAGAACAAATGCTAGCTAAATTAGAAAATAAATATATAGCAACCACCAAATAACAATGGTCGTTGCTATATATAATTTGTTGTCGCTGGTAAACAATTTACCAAAGACAATTATAATATTCGTTGCTCCAGCGAATGTGACATTTTGTTGTTCGTCAGAAACGTCTCTGCAAGATTTGGCTGGCCCAATTTCGATGTGTTTACCTTTGAGCAAGCACCGAATTAGGTGTAATTATTTATTACGGTCGAATTATTTCTCCGCGAGTGGTAAATGTGTGGAACGAGGCATTTCGGGTGCGTGGTCTCGAAGAAATCCCCGTACGAGGTTCCACCTTGACCTCGTTCCCAACTTACGAGGACGAACAGTACGACCAAGACGACGAGGTACATCTTCGGGGATAATTCACCAGCCAAGACGGGCTCCGGCCAGATCGCTCTTCAGGCCTTCTGGTACATCGACTTTGGCGAGGATCGAGAGCAAACTCTGTACAACGTCGACTCGGTACACTTGGACCAGACAGACTGGGCTAATGATGCACCTAGATGCACCTAGCCAGCAATATTTGGCCATACGGGGCAGCGGGATGGACTTGGCATCGGATTTATCTAGAGTGCGCGCCTCGGTGCGCCGAGGAACAATTTTTCGTCCTTGTAGTCGATACATCAAGAATTTAGGCTAAACAATTATTTCCGTACGGAAGAAAAACGGCCCCGTGATAAAATTTCACTCTTACTGCAGAAATAATTGCACGGATTATTCCCAGCAAGGATGTCTGCAATTATATAGAATGCAAACGTAAGCCTCCTTTAGAGAAGTGCTTGCTAAATTAGGAAATATGTTTCTGACAATAGTGAGAAAAATATTCTTGTCACTCTTCGATCGGACTTGGCATTGGATTTAATTATAGTGCACGCCTCGGTGCGCCGAGGAACAATTTTTCGTCCTTGCAGTCGATACATCAAGAATTTAGGCTAAACAATTATTTCCGTACGGAAGAAAAACGGCCCCGTGATAAAATTTCACTCTTACTGCAGAAATAATTGCTCGGATTATTCCCAGCAAGGATGTCTGCAATTATATACAATGTAATCGCCACGAATAGAATCTGCATCAATACAACCATGAATAGAATTTATATTGCCCCAGTGATACAATCGCTTTTTCTTTTGTTATCCACGCAAGACAAATATCGAATAGGAAAGGATTTAACTGGGCCATTTTCAAGTGATTACATTCACTCGAATGATATTTCTTGCCACGACTGCGGATTATTTTCTGCGAGGTTTCATTATTGTTAATCCATTGAATACGGAAAATCGTTTCGACATATGGGCGAAATTCATCAATACGTGCTGGCAATATTGGACCAAATGTCGGTCACGATTAGACGTCTTTAGTAGGCAAAGGGTTAAAGAAATGAAAGAATTAATTCCTTACCGTAGGCTCGGGCTCGCCGACGACGATGCACTCGAACCTCGCAGGAGATCCCTCGGGAACGATGCAATCCTCGAGGATCTTCTCGAAGGACGGCGGGATTTGGGTATCCTCGATCTTGGCTGAGATTTCGCCGGTGGATTCCTCGGTTCTGGCCAGCTCGGAGAGGGCTGTCGATCGGTGAATGAGGAGGGATTAATATCTACTCTCAACGAGGGACCTTGCAAGTTCTGGCAAATCCGACGAATCCGAGGATTCTGGCGACGGTCCATATGATAAATGCGACCGCGCTTATTTACGCGTTCTTTTTGCATGACGGATTTAATTAGAAATCCTCCCACTCGAGAGAGGATCGGAAATCGAACACCCACGTTCTTGGCCGACGCAAATGACTTCACGGGAGAAAAATTGGGGGATAATTGAACGCGTTTCGTTACCCTAAGTAGACATTTTTTTCCACAGAATTACGTATTTGTTTTCGATGTATACGCGAGTACACAAAAAAAAACCTATTTCCTAAAAGGAAAAGTAGTTGCTAAATTGAAAAATGAATTTTTAACAAGGAACGCGTTTCTTTACCCCAAGGAGGAAATTTTTTTCCACAGAATTGCATCTTTGTTTTCGATGTATACGCGAGTACGCGAAAAAAAAAAGACATTTTCTTAGCAATGGACAGCATCTCTGATAACGTTTCACTCTCCTTGCAGTAATAGTTGTACAAATGGCAAAAATGGTTATAATTGTCTCGAACGCAGACGTAATCACAGGAGAGCTGCTTTTAGGAAAAGTAGTTGTTAAATTAAAAAATGAATTTGTAACGACAATCAGAAAAGTATCATTATCCCTCCTCGATAGTCTTCTGCTAAGTCTCCTAATAAAGAAAACTGCAACCATGGATGTAATTTCTATTGTCCCAATGACGTTAAAAGGTTTATTATCGTCCGAATAGCAAAAACAATTCGGGAAACAAATTTGGATCGCCCATTTTCAAGTGTCTATTTGTTCTGAAGCGAGTAGAGCTTCTTATCATGGTTAAGAATCATTATCCGGCTTGTACCAAATCAGTGCACGAGTGTAACGAAAATCGGACATGCGCGTACGCGAGCGAGAAAAGTACCCCGTAATTCTGTGTATTAAGTTTCTGAATAAATTCCCGCCGTTTTAATTGCATTACGTTACATTAAAAACGGTGGGAACTTATTCCTCAATGTAATACAGTGTAGCTTTGCGGTTCCGTAAAAGGATCGAATCCAAACATTTTTTAGGGTTTTTCTGCTTACGGAGAACGAAAAGAGCGCACTCGTTGGAGGCCTCTCCTGCAGAATTCACGGCCACGACCTTGTACATCCCGGCATCGTCCAGGAAAGCTTCATGTACGATCAAGGAGCACCTGTCGTCCTGGAAGAGTAGCTGAAAGTCGGCCGACTCCTTAACCGGGTGTCCATCGTGGTACCAGATGACCTGAAGAAGTCAAACGTCCCTGAATTTAGTTCCTCAAGGAGCGGAAAAAAATTCTCCCGATACAGCGTATAAATAATANATTATAATATAATAATAGACTCTTTGGGGAATTTCCTAGGTACCTCAGGTTCGGGTTGGCCGACGATGACGCAGTCCAGCCTGGCGGTTCGTCCTTCCAGGACCTGCAGATCCTGAAGAGGAACCTGGACCACCGGCGGGCGGACCTCCAGCATCTCCGCCACCTCGACTATCAGATTGCACCTCGAAGAAGCCTCCCCTGCCGAGTTCCTCGCCACCACCTCGTACCCCCCTGCGTCTTCAGGGCGTACAGCCTCGAAGAGGACCCTCGAGCATCCGCCTTCGATCTGGATCTGCGACAAACGGACTCTTCGGCACCGATCGCCATGGCATTTCGCGGTTTCGCTTTGCTCCATTTCTTTCGGCGATTCCCCTTTCGTCGCGACGCCGGCTAAAAATACGAGGCTCCTGGGGTTAGATCTTTTTACCTTGACGTCGGCGGATTCCTCGAGAGGTTCTCCGATTCCTCGGAACCAGAAAAACTCGGGAGATGGCTCGCCCTTGGCCTCGCACTCCAGATAAAACCGCTGCCCGACCTCGACCACCGTTCCCGAGAGAGGTCGCACGAAATGAGGCTTCTCCGCCCTCTTCAAAGCTGGGAATCAATTTGGAATATTAGGGGAACTTGATAAGGTAATTCCTTTTATGGAGGAGAATGGGTAATTTCGCTCACGTTCCACTGTTAGAGGTGCAGAGGTCGAGATCCACCCGAGGGCGTTGGTGGCCTTGCAAGTGTAGCTCCCCTCGTCTTCGAGGGTCAGATTATCGAACTCCAGGATGGCCTCTCCGTTATTATACGTGATCGAGTAATCCGGGGAATTGTCCACGTTGATTTCGTTCTTGAACCACTGGGCCGTGGGCAGAGGGTATCCTTTAACGGTGCACTCCAGGCGATGGTTCGACCCCTCCTTGGCGAACGATGGGTAGAGCTCCTTCGAGAAATACGGCGCTACTGCTTGCTCCTCCAGTTCGATTTCTGAAAAAAACGATTAAACGTATCGATCAATTTTATATTACAAGAAAATATATTGCAACTTTGCAACATTTTCTTTTAACTTAATGTATTACCTACGTTATCAATTTAGCGAAAGAAGGATATTTCCTGCGCAGTTCCATAAAATTATAACATTTATACGATACATTTATCTAAGCGTTTATAATAAATGGGTACCGATTCACTTTTAAGACATAAAATGAATAATTTCACTACGACCTTATTTACTAAATGTGCATGAATTTTATTAATATTTTTAACAGGGCACTTTCTCTGGAAAAGAACTCCGAATATATATATATAAAAAAAATAGAAAATATCAAAATTTTGAATTCTAATCGACGTGAATTAGGAAATTCCTGGCCCAAATGGAAATGGAAATTAATGAACCTTTCACGGCGAGCATCGCCGACGTCTCGTCCCAGCCGTAGGCGTTCTCAGCTCGGCATTTAAATCTTGCAGAGTCCTCGGCAAAGGTCTCCTCGATGGTCAAACTGCAAGTCCCATCGTTTCTGCAGTCAGTCCTGTAATCAGGATTGTTCAGGACAGAGATTCCGTCCTTGTACCAGACGACTTCCGGTTGGGGATCTCCGACCAGACGACACTCGAAGACGAACTTCTGACCCTCCTCGACCACCGCGTCGGCGAGGGGTATCGAAAACCTCGCAGGCTCGCCTTTCTTCGGTATCTCGAAATCCTGGACGATAGGCGAAGAGTCCGAGAAGACTTGGGTAATTTTTTCCACTTCCATCGTGGTCGTGGTGAGTCTCGTGGCTTCGATTTCAGCGGTTTCGACGGTTCTCTCGACCAAGCTCTCGGCCATCTTCCTGGCGCTCTCTTCCTCGGCAAGTCTCACAGCCTTCAATTTGGCATCCGCTTCTTCGCGCTCGGCCTTCAATTTCTCCCTCAGTTCCTCAGCGTCGTCTAAATTCGCAGCCAAAGTCCGCAACTCGGAGGACACGATCGCGAACGAGTCCAACATCTCTCTATTCTCTGCGATCAGCTCGTTAAATTGCTGAAGCCTTTCGGTGCCTGTGAATAAAAATGAAAATTAAAAGGGAGACAATATCAGAGCCTGCCTAGATAGAGGAAAGGGGACAAAATTTTCATTAAATTTCCCTCATAAAAGCCCATGAAATGAGTCATGACTTATGAGTCCTCATATCTGCAGTACACAATGACGAACCAAAAATATGTTAATATGAAACAATGTTAAGAACATGCAATGTCTAAATGTTTTCTATGCACATGTGCAGCTTAATTTATCTCACGCATTGCTGATAAACAATTGCAACATCCGTGATCCACGGCGTAACGTATTTAGCATAAACTTTTGTTCAAATTCTGTAATATGCGAATGTACATATATTGCAGACATTTCATGCAGCAAATTCTTTGCAAATCGATTTTCCTCATCATATGATGATCACGAATTTCTATCTGGGTGTCTTTAACCTGTTAACCGGGAAATTAACTTTTGTAGAACTGTTTCACAATGGGGACCTTATTTTCTTCGCCTAATTTCCATGACGAAAAAAATCGTCATGCCCATTTGAGGTGTCTTCCTATTATGACGAAAAATGTTGTCATACCCGGTTAACAGGTTAAAAATGAATATACAGCGGAGTCTATAAATTGACTAACCGAAGGTCTCCGTGGAGAGCTCCCGGATTTTCCTGATCCTCTCTTCTTGGTCGCGTTCTCCAGGGTACAGATAGGCCTCGATCTTCTTCAGGAGGTCTGTCGCTTCTCCAGGACTTTTGGCGGTGGTCGCCCTCCTCGCAACCGTCACTAGAAGCTTGCTACCTTCCCTGAACCACTCTTCGGCTTCCTCGAGAAGTCGGAAGTAAAGGACGCTCTTCGTCGCCCTCTTCTTGGCCAGCTCCAGTCGCTCCTTCAGGTCTCGCCACTTCTCCCTCAAGGACTCCAGCTCATCCCGAATTCGGGACTCCGAACCGTACACCACTGTCGTCACTATCGTCTCCTCCGTCGTCCTGATGAAGGTCTCGATCTTCTCTTCCAGGATCTAAAATGAAAAAAAAAAATCTGAGATGAAAGATTTACACGAAAATTAATATCAGTGAAAATTTAAGCATAACATTGAAATAAAAGTAAAAACGGTAAGACATAAGATGTATGTGAAACTTAACTTTTAATAAAAATTAATGTAATAATAGTAACGAAAGTAAAGAAAGTAAAAGAAATGTCTAAGGAAAAGAACGATACAGGAAACAAATGCAAGATAAATTTATATGAAAATTCGTTTCAGGATGTTCTTTTCGTGCTTACTGTGACGGTCCTCTCGAATCTATTGAAGGACTCCGAAGTGGATTTGGCAGCTGGCAGGCTCTTGGCAGAGGATCCTTGTCCTAATCCCGTCAACTCTTCTGACAGTCGATCTACGCTTGAATCGATGCGACTTAAATCCTCATCGAAGAGACAGGAACGGAGCTCTTCTTCAAGGCGATGCTGTCGAGTTGAGAATTCGGTCCTCCAAGAGGTCTCGCGCTCCTCGTAAATCCTTTTTATGGCCTCGACATCGATTCTCGCCGCTTTCGGGGGCTCTTGTCTTTCTATTTGATTTACGGCCACGTCGATTTCGGTTTTCACCTCTTTGAGCCAATTCGTGATCGACTCCGTCATGGATTCGTGCTCCTTCATCATGGACCGAATTTCGCGAGCCGATCGATCTGCTCGACCTGTCGATAGACTCGATTCTGAGACGAGAATCTTCCTTTCGATCTTAAAACCAAATTCATGATTCGTGAGTGAATAGTTTAAAAAAACATAACATTATGAATAAATTTATCAATAAGTTCTTACCTCTCGGAGATGCTCGAGGACAGTTAATATCGAGTCGGCGACGTTTCGATAATTCGATGAAGTCGCTCGAAGGACATCTTTCGTGCAGGACAATTCATGGATCAGCTGCTCATCTACGATAGATTTTTACGTCACATTTGTAAGGATCTACGGAAGGACTCGATGGAAGTTTCCCATAATTACCTTCCCTCCGAAGGACGCAGGCAGTCGCATGTTCAAGCAACGAATCCAACTCTGCGACGACATCCTCCACCTTCGAGAGAGTCCTGTCTCGAGTTTCCCTGGTGGTTGTCGAGATCTCTGTCAAGGAACTCGAATAATCCTTGAGTAACAAAGGGTAAAAGCCTTCCTTGATGTTGCTCGCCCTCTGCATCGGCTGCGAATCGCAAGTTCAAGATATGTCACAGTGCAGGAAAAAAGAAACGGTGCAAATATTTCTCCTTTTAAATTATTTAAATTATTCTGAATTGTCTGTACCTCGCCGCTTTCTCGAGCGATTTTTTCGAACCGAGACTGTCGATCCTTCAGACCAAGGACATTCGTTCGCCATCGCTCCCAGGACTGATCCAGATTGGCTTTCCTCTCAGCGAGCCGTTCCAGGACCTCCTCCACGCAGAGGCAGGCTCTCCTCGTATCGAAGTACGGATCCGTTCGGGCCTGGACCAAAAAGTGATGGTATTTTCAATTAGACATCTGGTCCACGATCCAATCTACCCCCTGGAACCCGCAAAACCCGTGGTACCACCCTGAAGACCGTTGGTACCACCCTGAAGACCGTTGGTACCAACCTTGCCGACCTCCTCGACGAACCTCCGACCGCTCGCGGAAAGATCCGCGAAGAATGTCTGAAGAGAGGTCCATCTCTTCTTAAAGGTCTCAAAAATCTCCTCCACGATGAAGATGTTCTCCGAGAGATCCTCCTGCAAATCCCACTCGAGGGACTTCATATCACTGGTCATGTCGTTCGCCATGTTGTGGAAGTTGATGTAAAGCTTGCTCAGCTCAACTCGCGTCTCCACCGAGTCCTTCAGCCTTAAGAAGTCTCCGTACAGTTTTTCGACCTTCTCGTTCACGTCTCGACGCTCTTCTTCCCCGAGTATTTCCAGTATTGATGGAAGAGAATCCAAGGCCTCCTTCCCGCGCTCGCTTTTGGATACCAGATCGTTCAGGAGATGACGATGAAGTACGTGGAAGTTTTCGGCAAGGGACGAGGAGCTCCCCATGTCCTGGTGACCCTGAAGAAAGGCCTCGGCTATGCCGACCAACCACGAATACAATTCGTTGTACTTCTCGAGGAACGCCGTCAAACTTCTGGTCGCTTCAAGATTCTCTTCTCTGTGGGCAGTGCAGCGATTCGACAGGTCCAACTTCCGGGTCTCCAGCTCCTCCAGGATTCGCTTGACACCCTAAACCAAAAAGGGAGCCATTGAAAACCGCGTTTCCGTTTTTCTAATTTTTCAAGTGAGAATTCTAACAGCTCGGTCGCGCACACTGTTTAAGAAAATTTATAATTTTATAACATTTTCGTTGGATGTTTTATTCAGACACGGTGTACTAATTTTATAACATATTTTCAAATAAAATGTATAACATATATTGTAAATTTTTTTAAAATATTATTTAAATATTTCTCGGACTCAACAACGTCGCTACGATGCTTCTCCACCAGTACCACCGATACTTATCATCTTTCGATTAAATTTGTTTAAAAATGAACTTACGTAAACGACCGTAAAATTAAAAACTCGTCTGAAACATTTGCAAGTAATGCGTACTAACTGACTTTCGAATATCAAATTTATAATTTTTCCCCGCAATTTCACACGATTACAACACGGTGTTATAAAATTGTAAATTTACTTGCACTTTTACAATATATGGCGTAAGGTGATGAGAGGTGAAGAGGAGCAATTGAGAATAATTAATTTAAAAATCACCTTTACACCTGGAGACTCTCTTCCAGCAGCTTCCAAGAGAGCATATCCTTCGGCAAGAGGAGAGCTCGTTACAGTCTCCAAAGTCGTCTGGGCTTGAGCATGAAGCTGAGCAAGAGCATTGGATCGGATCGGATGTTCACTCGTGGCCAACTGGACCTCCAGCTGGTCCAATTTCGTCAAAGCCTGCCGACGGACGATTTTGAAATCATACGTGGTTCGTGAGTCTTTGAAACAATAAATAAGAATAAATTAAAGCAATCACTCACGGACTGGGCAGCCCTGAAGAACGAAATTGCAGCTTCTAGCAGCGACTCGTATCGTTCGAGATCATTTAAGTAATTCGCAGCTGCTCCCAATATGGCGTAAGCCTGTTCCGTGGCCTGTTCTCCGGCAAAGTGACCCGAGGAGACCAACTGCTCGGTCGATCGAGTGATCTTGATGGACCTCTCTTGGAATATCTAAAATTACACGGTTAGTAAAGTATTACCATTTATAGAGCTCCCCGGTAAATATCTTCCAATAACATTTCGTGGTAAAAATTAAATCAGTCCTTTAGATGAATCAAAGCCGGGCACACATCTAAGCACGACCGCGTGTAAGATAAGGTAAACGTGGTTTGAACGTACAAGTATGGACGGAGAATCAAAGGCGAAGACAAATGAATATACAAGTATGGACGTAGAATTAAAGGCGAAGTCAAATGGACGTACAAGTATGGATGTACACTCAAAGGCGAAGTTAAATGAACATACAAGTATGGACGTACACTCAAAGGCGAAGTTAAATGAACATACAAATATGGACGTACAATCAAAGTGCGAAGCCAAATGAATATACAAGTATGGATGTACAATTAAAAGCGAAGTCAAATGAACAGACAAGTATGGACGGAGAATTAAAGGCGATGTCAAATGAACGTACAAGTATGGACGTACACTCAAATGTAAAGTTAAATGAGCATACAAGTATGCACGTAGAATCAAAGACGACGCCAAATGAACGGACAAGTATGGACATACAATCAAAGATGAAGTCAAATAAACATACAAGTATGGACGTACACTCAAAGGTGAAGTTAAATGAACGGACAAGTATGGACATACAATCAAAAATGAACGGACAAGTATGGACATACAATCAAAGATGAAGTCAAATAAACATACAAGTATGGACGTCCACTCAAAGGCGAAGTTAAATGAACATACAAATATGGACGTACAATCAAAGTGCGGAGCTAAATGAACATACAAGTATGGACATACAATCAAAGTGCGAAGCCAAATGAATATACAAGTATGGACGTACAATTAAAGGCGAAGTCAAATGAACATACAAGTATGGACGTCCACTCAAAGGCGAAGTTAAACGAACATACAAGTATGGACGTGCAATCAAAGCGCGGTAAATTGCCTTGCATTATCCAATCTGAGGCCATCCGAATAACATTCGTGAATATACCCGTTCATTGCATCGGATGATTTCATAAGCCAAGAACAGTCCCAAATAAGACATTCGTTTCTTTTCGCCTTGCACCGCATGTGTTCGTGCCAAGATGTGCACCCGACTCAATTCGACCCAAGAATCCGCACCTTCGCCTCGGCCTGCAGCTTCTTCATCTCAAAAAGGAGTAATTCGGCGCTCGCCGAGGAATCTCCGAGTCGATTGTCGGAATTCGTCAAAGCGGCGATCCTGTCGTTCAGGGATTCTTCGAGGTCTCGGAGATCAGTCGCCAGAAGAGCCAGGGCTAGGCATTGCTCCAACTGCGTTCTTCTGCTCCTGTAGGAGACCTCGATCAGCCGTCTCTTGTCGTGCAGTTCCTCGAGCCACTCTTCGACTCGCAATATAGCTAAAAAAAATTCCTCGTAAATTGGAAATATATTAAAACGCGTGAAAGTCATAACACATTAAACGCGGGGTTCATTTTCTTGTACTTTCCATTGGGGCAGCCCATTTCCTTTTTTTTTTCATATTAAACTCTTGAAGCTGTATCGGTACAATGGGACTAAAGCTGCATAAACGGAAGTTTATCATCGATTATTACCAACGCCCCTTAACCCAGATAACAGTCCTGGATCCTATGAACGTTCTACAAATATTTCATTATTCCCAGGATATCATGAAAATATTTAAAATATACAGTGAATATTTATGGAACGCAGAATTTTTTAGAAAACTCAAAGCATGGCCTGGCTTATTAGTGTATATACAGGATATTCACTAAATGTTCCAAATATCTAGAGTACATTAAAAGATTTAAAGAATATTCATAAGTACAATGGAGTTATCCAGGAAGGTGGAGTGAAAGTAGCGTCAAAGAGGTATCGTTAATGAAACTTTTTTATTCCGAACTGAGTGTATCGAATCGTTTCAGTCTTTAAAATAGGAATATGGAGGCCATGAAGCAGATCCTGCGAACCCCGAAATTTCAATTGTTTGAAAAATTCTTAATACATATTTTTAAAATTTTGTATAAAAAATGAATATCCATGGACCTCAGAACCTTCCTTATGTATTCACGTTGTAATGTTTGAAACGATTAGGTACACGCAGTTCGAAGAAAAGTTTCACGAACGATTGACCCTTCAGATTCGACTTTTACATTCCCATAAACGTAATGTTTATTGTCGGTCCCAGGGGACTGAGATCGCGCATAAGTTGTTAAAATAGAATTCTTAGAAGAGAAGTCAAAGTACCGCGCTCGACCTCGCGCTCGATCCTTCCTGGTCTGGAGTCGAGGACCGCCACATCTGAAGAGGCCTCTCCTAGAAGATCGAGAAGAGCCCTGCCTTCCTGAAGAGCTGCCATCAAGGACTCCAAGACGGCTTTCCTCGAGTCGTGCAGCTCGCCCAGGAAATTCTTCACGGCCTCGATCTCGATGGGCAGAAGAGTGTCGTTGCAGGACGACTCCAAGGCCCTCATGCTCTCTTTACACTCCTCGGCGCGGCTGCAATTAGACGAGTTAATTCAAGGATTCGGCCCTAGAAGATTCTCGGATAATTATAGAGTTTAACTCGAACCATCGGAAAAGGAGATTCCCATCGAGGATGCGTTTGCGCCTTTCGAGGAGAGCATTGATGTCTCTCCAAGCTTGGCCCAGCGTCTCCGCCATCGCCTTGTAGACCTCAGCTCTGGGCTTCTGGGTGGATATCAATTGATCGGCCTGACGGAGTAGCTCCTCCACAGGACTTTGCTTGCTCTGAAAGAAAGATTCGGAATAGCTCGATCGTTTTTTCGGACCAGGGGAAGCCAAACGAGTCGCGGTCTCCAAGAAGAGGACTCACTTGCAGCTGAACAAGGACTTGGTCGTGGGCCTCGGCAAGCTCCGCAGCATCTCTCGCATCTGCTCCCAGTTCCGCCAGTCCTGGACGAGCCTCCAGGACCTCCAGGCGAAGACATTCCCCGCTCTGAAGAGAAAAAGTTATCCTTATTCCAAACGTTCACCTATAATATCTTCGGAACTTGAGATAGATTCTTAAGCCTAAAATTTTCCATCTGCTCCTAGTGCCGCCAGTCTTGGACAAACCTCCAGGACCTCCAGGCGAAGACAAATTGAGCCTACAGGGACTTCCTAATTAAATTGTACCTTATTATTAAACGGCTAGCTAAAAATAAATAAAATATTTCCGTGAGGTTACTCCTTTGAATATGGAGCCCTTTCTACATATGTGTGAAATTCATCAAAGCGTGCAGGCAATATTGGACCAAACGTCGGACGCCTTTAGGCGCTTTAGTGGGCAAAAGGTTAAGGGGATGTGAAAGTGACATCTGAGACAGTCGTTCATAAAACTATTCCCCAAAATGGGTGTACCAAAACGTTTCACACCTTACAACGTGAATATGGAGGCCATAAGGAAGGTACTGACACCCATGAAATTTAATTTTTTATAAAAAATTAGAAAAGTTTCAATAAACGAATTTTTGAAAAATTGAAATATCATGGGTGTCAGAACCTTCCTTATTGCTTCCATATTCAGATTGTCTAGATTGAAACGATTCGGTGTACCCAGTTCAGAGAAAAGTTTCATAAACGAAACCTCTATGACGCCATATTCATATCGCCTTAAGAAGATGGGGTAGGTACCACGAGGATTATTTTCCTCGCCCGTTCCTCGGGATTTTATTTAAGTTTCAAGCTAGGGTGGCCGACAGGAACACGTTCGAACTATTTCCTCGATTTTTCCCGGCGATTCCACATATTCGCCGTTCCGGAAATAAGGCGGTGTTTGCATAGACCGAAATAGCGAGCACGAGACCAGGGTTAGAACATGCCGGCGCCTATGACGAGGGACCATCGACGTCAATCGACGTCCCAGAGAAGGCATCGGCGATCGGATCGCGAAATCGGCGATCCCTCGGTGTCTCGTGCCTTTTGCTACCAAGGATGACGAAAGGTCCCGGCCATACTCGTCCAAGATCGGACCGGTATTCGCGCGAGCGTTCCCATATCTGGAACCGCTGGAACACGCGAAATCGGGCCGCGTAGCCGGGGGGAGCTCTTCGGGGAGAAGAAAAAATCGAAAGGAGCCAGCGAGTCCAGACCCGGCCTCGCAACCTCTCGATCGAGTCCACCATATCGATATGAAATTGAAAAGAATCCTCTTTGAAATTCCCCCGTAAAATATTTCAGACTTTTTTTCCGGTGGTTCCCCAGATAGAAATCCACGATCATCGTACGATAAGGTAAATCGATTTATAAGAAATTTTCAGACCATTTGCGGCATGAAATGTCTGCAATGTATGTACGCGTAATACATAATAAATGGGAACAAAAGTCTGTCACAAATGGTTGTAGCATACCGCAGATATGAGTTCCATACGAGGACTCATAAGCAACACCCTCGTGGCTCTTTTCATGATCTTCCATGAGCCACATTAGATGCAAATTTTGCAATGCGTGAGATAAATTCAGCTCTACATATGCGGAAAAACATTGAGACACTGCATGTACTTGACTTTGTTTCATATTTAGGTACTTTTGATCCGTCATTGCGTACCGCAGATATGAGTTCCATACGAGGACTCATAAGTAACACCCTCGTGGCTCATTTAATGATCTTCCATGAGGTAAATTCGGTGTAAATTTTCCATCACTTTGTCTATCCGAGTCTATTCGTTTCGTTCGGCATCTCGAGGCGGAATTCTGACGGAGGACTCGGGAAGAACTTTTGTCCAGACCGGCAGACGCTCCGTAGCATCGGCGTTGTCGTCGGTTCGGATATTTCGAGAGAGGCTCTCTCGGTCCAGGAGCCCACAGCTATTTCCGGGAGCGACTGTTGCCCCTTGCCCCTTTTCTCCGGTGAGCCCGGTCTACGACCCAGAGATTCCCTCTGGTCCTCTCCTACGAGCGATTCGGAAACGGCTCGAAACTCGACGGGGGATAAATTTAACCGAGTTCGAGAGCTCGAGCTGTCCGCCGGCTTTTCCATGCTTGTCTCCCTTTCTACCGGGCCGGCTCTTCCGTCGCGCTTTCTCCCTCTCTTTCTCCTTCTCTTTCTCCCTTCGCGGACGAGAGGCGAGAGACGCGAGACGAGAAACCGGTCGAGGACGAGCTCTCGGACTCGGCCACCTACGCCGCGACGCCGCTCGACCTGGTCCGACGTCGCTCCCTGGGCCCCAAAATCCGATCAAGGCCCTTCTCTCCGTTTTCCTCTATCACTCCCTCCAATCTGGAGCCAGCTATTTAGATATTTAAGACGAGGAACAAGTTTTTCCCCGATTTGTTTAGGAATTTTTTAAGTACACCTCGGAGATACTGGAGAATCCGATGTTGGTCCTTTTTCTTTCAGTTCCTTCTGTCGCTCCTTTCAATCTAGAGCTAGCTATTTAGATATTTAACCCTTTGGCCACTAAAAGCGCCTAGGGGCGGTTTAACTAGCTATTTAGAATTTTAACCCTTTGGCCACTTAAAGCGCCAAAAGGCGTCCGACGTTTGGTCCATTATTGCCTGCACGTTTTGATGAATTTCGCCCATATGTCGAAAGGGCTCAGTATTCAAAGGGTTGAACGTTCTAGTTTAAGATGAGAAATAACTTTTTCCTCCATCAGTTCCCACTTATGACACTTCTATCCTCAAAATTAATCTCAGCCCTTCCCTTCAGTTTTTTCTATCGCTCTTTCCAATCTGGAACCGACTATTTAGATGTTTAAGACGAGGAACAAGTTTTTCCCCGATTTGTTTAGGTACTTTTTTAAATGGACCTCGGAGGTACCGGATAATTCGATCTCGGCTCTTTCTTATATTTTCTTCTGTCATTCTTTTTAATCTGAAGCCAGCTATTCTGATATTTATACGTTCTAGCTTAAGATGAGTAACCAATTTTTTCTTGGTTTATTTAGGTACTTCTTCAAGGGCCAAAAGTAGGATCTCAAATTCGATCTCGGCCCTTCTCTACATTTTCTTCTGCCACTCCTTTCAATCTGGAGCTAGCTATTTAAATATTTAAACGTTCTAGTTTAAGATGAGGAACGAGTCTCTCAATCTATTTAGTCACTTTTTTAAGTGCACTTTAGTGGTGCCGGATGCGATCTCGGCTCTTCCCTCCATTTCATTATATCACTCCATCCAGTCTAGAGCTATATATCTAGAAATTTAAACATTTCAGTCCAAGGTGAAAAACAGTCTTCTTTCCTAAATTTATTGAGGTACTTTTCTCAAGATAGGATCATCCAGGAGTGCCGGATCGAGTGATATACCTCCGATAGATATCTAATCATTACAGTCGATGATGTTCCATATTTTTTTCAATTTATTAATGAACTAGTGCCCATCCCTGGCATCGTGGTACCTTTATTATCAATTCCAAGGTAGTAATCGTATTGCTAGATCTGGCGCTTTAAATCCTCTCCCTCCCCTCCTAGGTTTCTATCACACCCTCAAACTACAAGCCATCTACCTCCGATAGGTACTTAATCACTCCAATCAAGATGTTCATCATTTTCCTCAATTTATTACCGAACTAGTGCCCATCCCCGGTATCGTGGTGCCTTCATGACCCAGTACCGATTCTAAGTAGTAATCCCATAGCTCGACCTGGCGCTTTAAATCCTCCCCCTCCTCTCCTCGGTTTCTATCACACCCTCAAATTATGAGCTATCTACCTCCGATAACTACCTAATCACTGCAAACCAAAATGTTCATCATTCTCCTCAATTTATTACCAAACTAGTACCCATCCCCGGTACCACGGTACCGGGGATGGGTACTAGTGTATGGGTACTTCATGACCCAGTACCGATTCTAAGTAGTAATCGCATAGCTCGATCTGGCGCTTTAAATCCTCCCCTGCCGGCCGGGCCACGTGTAGGTACACGTGTAGGTACGTACACGTGTACTGTCAAGACCGCCCGGGCCGGCGGCATACGTGCGCCGCGTACCGAGAGACTCGAACGAGTGGTCGGGTCGGTCGATCGGTCCCGCCTTGTCCCATCTCCTAAAGCGATCGCGACTTTCTCCGGCGGTCTTACTCGAAGGAGCGCGATGACGATCCTGGTGTCGCCGCTCTGCAGGGCGATGGTGCCGATGGTGGTGGTGGGAGGGTCAGGGGAATCGGGATCGGCCGTTGGAGCGGATCCAGCGGAAACGGGCGCGCCGGCCGGTGCGGGCATCGAAGTCTCCCGCGCGAGCTCTTCGGGGTCCATCCTGCAGGTCGCGTCGCCGTCCGGGGAGACCGGGAACGCGTCCTCGTCGCCCATGGTAACCGAGGACTCCGGATCCCTCGAGGAACCGATTAACGCTTCCTCCTCAGGCGGCGTCCATCATGGAGAACGCTCCCGGCGACGCGGGACGCGGTTGGCCTCGGATCGACGCCGACGACTGACCGGTCCGGTCGAGTCCGACGCCTAGAGACGACTGCGCCCCTCTCGACGGGCCGCGAGAAACGAGATTCGCTCTCGGAGCGCGCCGTGTCGGCTTGGGCGCGTGGAAGCGTGTAAAAGTGCGTGCTCGCTGGCGCGCGCGAGCGCGCCCACCGTCCTCGCGCCGAAGACCGACGAGGAGGGACGCCGACGGAGCCGCGTAATCCGTTATATTTAGCCTAATTTTCGTACCGCTGCCGAAAAGATGACGCGTCGAGAGTCAAGGAGGGACGCGGATCGACGAGGGGATGCGTCGAGATGAGTTATTCGAGACGCACCTGTCCCGATTATCCCTGGAGACTCTCTGGGGACGACGAGAGCTGGCAAATTTCAAGGTACCACCTTGACATTTTCGATATATATTAAAATACGGAGTTTTTATGTGCGGGCTGGAGAATTTAGGGTATTAATAAATTTCTCATTTTTGTCCCCCTGCCGAAAAGATGGCGCGTCGAGCCTCAAGGAGGGACGCGGATCGACGAGGGGATGCGCCGAGACAATTTATTCGAGACGCACCTGTCCCGATTCTCTCTGGAGACTCTCCGAAGACGACGAGAGTTGGCAAATTTCAAGGTAGCACCTTGACATTTTCGAAATATATTAAAATATAGAGTTTCTATATGTGGTCCGGAGAATTTAAAGTACAATATTAATAAGTTTTCGATTTTCTAATTTTTGTCTCGCTGTCGAAATGATAACGCGTCGAGTCTCGAAGAGGGACGCGGATCTGCGAGGAGATGCGCCGAGATAATTTATTCGAAACGCACCTGTCCGGATTCTCTCTGGAGACTCTCCGAAGACGACGAGAGGTGGCAAATTTCAAGGTAGCACCTTGATATTTACGGAATATGAAGGTGATATAAAAGTGTCATATATTCTATGACGTGGTAAATGTTTGGCCACGCCACGACGACCCCAAATTTCGAACGAAGATTGCTTTTTCGCGGTTTTTTACAGGATCCAAGGTCTGACGGTCACCGACCCAAGGGAGGTGGGAAAGCAAACCTATTATTAAGTGATTTTAGTCGAGTCTTTTAGTGATCCACGGGAACTCTCCCAATGTCCTGTGAGAAAAATCATGTATTTATTTTCTGAGTTCCCGGGCGTGCTTTCGAGCACTCGCAGGAATGTTCGATATGAATATTTGGCGAGGTGTTCGAGAGCTCGCTGAATTTTTGTAACACGTAGCGAGGCTCCGGTCGTCAGGTCGGAATATATATATATTCTGTTTGATACGTATATATACACACGCACATATATATATATGTGTGTATCAAAACGTCAAAATATTTATAAAGGTCTTCTTCAACTTGGGTGCATTGAATATATATATAGAATGACTCTTTCACATCACCTTAATTGGGATTAAAATGCGAGAGGTTTTTATACGAAGTATGGGGAATCTGAGGTACTCTTTTTAGCGGGAATTATGTGGAATACGAGTCGAGTGTCTAATAAAATATAGGCTTCTATTAATTTATTATAGACCCTGGGTGAGGTGTGTGGTTTTTGGTGCGCATTTAAAGAGGCCCCGGTGGAGAGGGGACGCCGGATAGGACGTCGGACGTGCGGAGAAAAATCGTACGAATGACGTCGCCGGGAAGTATATACCTCCCCGAAGTTTTATGTCGCGAGGATAAATGGACGGGTGACATAATTTCATATGTGCGGCGCGCCATGTGGAACGTCACCTTGAGGTACGCGCCGCGCACCCGCGATAATTCCTCGTTTTATTGCGGCCAAATTCCTCCGGCTTCTTGCGCCCTGGAGGAGTTATTCCCACGCCAAGGATATGCTGGACCACCGTGGGATGAAATTCGGGCATCCGTGGACCCCCTGAAATGGACGTCTCTCTATTCCGCGACGTTGACGGGCTCTTCGAGGTCCAGCGACGACGCCAGTCCTCGGCGGATGTCGCGAAAGTCCTCGACGTCGGTTCGCTGGCCATTCGTTTGCAAGGTGTGCGAGACTAGGCTGAAAGAGGCGACCCCCAGGTGTGTGTTGTGCGACACACGCAGAGTCGTCGTCTCCGTAACTTCCCTGGCGACGAGGCCGGACCTTTCCTGGGAAACGAAAGCAAACGAGCTTGCTGAAATTTATTTCCGAATGCAATTTTATGGGACTAAATTGTTTAATTGACTATATTTGGCTGATTTTAAAAAACAGTTTCTTCGAGGGAATCACATTTTATGAAAGAGTTATTGTATATGTAAAATAACAATATATATGCGACGAGGCCGGACCTTTCCTGGGAAACGAAAGCAAACGAGCTTGCTGAAATTTATTTCCGAATGCAATTTCATGGGACTAAATCGTTTAATTGACTATATTTGGCTGATTTTAAAAAACAGTTTCTTCGAGGGAATCACATTTTATGAAAGAGTTATTATATATGTAAAATAACAATATATATGCGACGAGGCTGGACCTTTCCTGCGAAATGAAAGCAAACGAGCTTGCTGAAATTTATTTACAAAAGCTACCGTTTCAACGACATATTCTACGAAATTTTGGGAATATGAAATGAAGGCAAAAGAAAATCAGAAAGAAGGAGAGAATATCGTAGCCAAGAACAGGAACGGTTGAAGCATTCGAGCCGTCCACGTCCGTTGCTGACGTTTCACAGCCATATATCTCTAATATCGCTACCGTTCCAACGACGTATTATCTACGTAAATTTTGCGGCCAAGTCGAATTAATTAAATTTGTTTAATTAAATTTGCTCTACTTCTCCGTTTTAGTTCCTCACCTCGACGCGTTTCTCGAGGAGTTCCGCGCTCTTCGAGAGCATGTTCTCCTTCGGGGCAGCTTCGGCGCCTCCGCTCGAGGGCCTCGACACGTGGAGGATCTTCACGGTCTCCCCCGGTCCGAAAGACGGTTTTGCAGACTCCTCTTGGTCCTTCCACCTGAAATACACGGCTCACGTCAGAAGCTCGATAAACAGTGAGATTAAAAATAGGGAGCACCGACTCTTCCTCGCCGGTGCTCATGGAAAAGCTGTCGACGGACGAGCACGCTGTTTCCTGGGGTCGAGGGACTTAAAAACAAACCGAGGGAACATTAGGCACCGTCTAGAAAAATACTCCAAGAGATAGTCCGACATTCGCCACTCCTCGCTCCGAAAATATTTATTTATTGTTCCTCCGTGAATTTTTCGTATTCCGAAACCGCGCCGAAAACTCGCGGTGCATACGAGATTTATGCGGCACGTGGAAATATTTCAATGCCGATTGTTTATGGAGGACGTAAGAGAATCCTTACCGAGGAGTCCTTCCCCCGGGAGTTTGACAAAACGACGTCTTTCTTCGAGAGCCTAATTGCCATTGATTTCATGTAAGTAACGATAATAATTCGGTAGAAAATTCCTAACGACCCTAGTTCTGCTTGTGATTTTCTTCGTACCAAATGATCCATACCTGATTTAAAAAGAATCTTGTAGTTTTATCCTTGCCACTAGGTTGGAATAATTTTAACGTGTTATGTGGCAAAACAAAGCTCCTAATGATTTCCGGTTAATTTCCACGTACTACATTTGCAGCATTAAGGAGACATGAAAGTGGCGTCAAAAAGGTCTCGTTTATGAAACTTTTCTCCTTACCGGGTGTACCGAATCGCTTGAAACTTGACAACCTGATTATTAAGGCTGTAAGGAAGGTCCTGACCCCCCATTAAATTTCAATATTTTTTAAATTTGCTTATAGATATTTTCCAAATATTGTATGAAAAGTGAAACTTCAAAAGCGAGTTTCTGGACCATCCTTTAGGCACCATGTCCACGTTGTAAAATTTGAAACGAATTCTGTACACCCAGTTCGTAGAAAGGGGTCATGAACAATTGACTTTTCAGTCACTTTCACATCCCCTTAAAACGCACGATTTTGGGGATAAATAATCCTTTAATATTTACCAAAGAGCCTCTTCGCACTCAGAGGTTGTAAAGAAGGATCCGCTTCCTATCGTGTCCAGCGTAGTGTCCAAAGGTGCGTCAAACACCGTATCAATTGGCATATCAGTTGGCGTATTGATCCTCGTATCGGACGAGCATTCCGGAGCAGTTGCATAGCCATCCGTGGTCGACTCTCCGTCGTCGCATCCCTACGAAATTGAAGGAGACCTTCAATTAGTAGGTACGTCACGCGTGTCCTAGAATCCGAGATACACCGTTAAAAATATTCATAAAATCCATACATTTTTAGTACATAACGTGACGTAATAAAATGATTCAGTGCAATGATGCATTCAATGCCTTGAATATAAACACATGTAATTCAAATTTGTAAATAAATGTATAGCTTCGTAATATCGTTCTGTAGACTTGTGAAATAGTCTAGGAAAGCTGACACACATATGAAATATATAACATGGGTTTATTTAATAATTCAAGTCATCGATTTCATTTGTAAAGATGTTAGAGAATTAATATAAAATGACTGAATAAATTTTCCAACAAAGAGACCGCACAATTGCAATGTCTTTCTTGATGGTCAGGTAAGCCATTGAAAATATGCTCCGTGTAAAAGAAAAGCATTTAAATTATTTGATAATACAAATCATAAATTTCATTGATAAACATGTTACGAAAATTAGTATAAAGTGCTTGAATAAATCGTTCAACAAAAGCACCGCAAAATTACGATGTCTTTCTTGACAGTGCATGTAAGCCATTGAAAATATGCTCCATGTAAAAGAGAAGCATTTAAGTTATTTAATAATATAAGTTATCAATTTCATTAGTAAACATGTTACGAAATTAAATGAATAAATCATCCAACGAAAATCCCACAAAATAACAATGTCTTTCTCAACAACGCAGGTAAGCCACTGAAAATATGCTCCATTTAAAAGAAAAGAATTCCAATTACGTAACATTGGAGAGATCCAGGTATGTAATAAGAGAAGATGCATCAATTGATAACGAAAAAAATTAAAAATGTAACATAAAGAGTCCTTATCGCGATCCTGAGATTAAGGCGATTACCGAGTCAATTACGCGTGCGTATTTTTCATTACCTTACTGTGGAGGCTATATCCATTCGGAGTAGCACTGGAGTCGGAGTTCTCCCTGTATCGTCGACGACGGCGAGAGATTTTCCCAGGTCGAGATTCCTGATCCTGGGAGTCGAGTCCGGAGAAGACTTCCTCGGAGGGCCTCGTCCTGGCCCCGGCTAGTCGAAGGGTAGCGTCGAGTTTTTCCGCCAACCTGGTAACTTCCGCCAGCTGGGCGGAAATCGACTCCACCGCCGACAAGTTCCCGTCCAAAGGAGTCGCCACGTCGCGGCTGGACATCCTGAAGGAAACGGCCCTAATGTCACCTGGACGCTCTTCAGCCCTTGACGAGTCGAGAGAGGGATTCCACGGACTCGTGGTAAAATTTTCACCGACTACCTTCCCGAGTCGCTTTGACGGGGGAAAGTAGGCCGGGGTCGCTTAGCTATGAATAGATAATGTCGACCGACCTTAATCTCGCGACTCGGACTTGACTCGGACGCCGGATGCCGGATGCAGCTCGGCGAGATACTCACTCCTTCCGATATATCGGCTCCTTCAGTCTGCTGCGAAGGAGTCTGCCCAATCGAACCGTTCTGCCGACCTCCAGCAACAATTTCTCTCGATCGACCAGGACGTCCCTCGAGGACGCTCCAGGGGCGCCGGAAGTGGTTCCGGCCTCGTTCTCCAAAATGGCGGCCGGACGCTGGGGCTCCGCCACGGCGTCGATGAGCTCTCGCAGACGCTCACAGTGCTGAAAAAAAAAAAACGGAGACTTAGGACGATGCAGACTATCTGACGTTGAATTACGTCTTTGTTCTCGTTTCGATCGAGGGTACCAACCGAGGGGGTATTCCCTCAGGAAATCGTGGATTTTAATACTCGAAAGGAGAGCCTATTTGGAAATCAGTGAAAACGATTTTCTACTTTCAGAGCCGATTGCCCTTGTTTTCACATGATAAATAGCAATGCGATTCGGTAACGAATGACGTTCGGCCTTGAAACTGTGAGAGAATTCGGTGATTTCCAACAATTTCTAGGGACTTCTGCTTGCGATTTCCAGCTGATCTCCACGTGATTTCAAGCGTTAAAATCGATGATTTCCAACGATTTACAGGGATTTCTGTTTGTGATTTCCAACTGATTTCCGTGTGAATACATGATTTCCTAAGGACATACCCCCACGGTTCGAAATTATGGGGAAATCAGCTGGAAATCGCAAACAGAAATCTCTGGAAAAGAAAAGTTTCATGAATGAGAACTCTGATGCTAGTTTCGCATCATCTTAAATTGCGGATTCGCTCAAGAGATCGAACCCTTGATTTTTTTTTACCGAAAATTTACATCAACTACGGATCTATGGAGTGAGTTTCAGGATCTCCCTTATTCCCTTCATATTTATATTTCAAAGTTTGAATAAATTTGGTGCACCCATTTTGGGGAAACGTTTCATGAACGAGAATTCTGACGCCACTTTCGCATCACCTTAAATTGCGGTTTCGCTCAAGAGATCAAACCCTTGAATTTTTTTTTAAATGACACTTACATCATCTACGGATCTGTGGAACACTGCGGAGACTCTCAGTCTGGTGAGATGTTCCTGACTGACTAATCGAAGTTCCCTCCAGACGCGCCACAATTTTGAGGAAAAACCTTCGTTGGATCCCACCTCCAGTTTGCAGGATATCCGCAGGACGCGAGCTGCCCTCGATAACTGCCGTCCGTAATCGTAGGTACTCTAAAGACGAATATGATAAGAACTTGAAACGGTGATAACATAATTCGAGATAAGCTCCGAATTACCCTCGCCGTCTCGCGAAAAGACTGATGCTCCTCCTTCTGCAATTGGATCTCCTCCACGTTGCAGCCGACCTCGACGTGCTTCCCGACGAGGACCTCGAAGAGGTCGCTCAGCCACTGAACAGCCTATAAATATGACGTATCAATAATTATAACGATTTTAAAAATCAATTCCTTTAACGCGTTCCGCTCCAAGCCTACCCATTATAATTTTATAACATATTAATTCGAAGTTTTATTCAGACATGGTGTACTAATTTTATATACACATTTTCAAATAAAATGTATAACATATATTGTAAATTTAGTACATATGTGTAAGAAATTTATGATATATGTTGCAAATTTTCCATCACTTTGTCTATCCGGGTATGTGATCCAAATTCCAAGCGCGATGGAACACTCTTGACTCGTTTGCAGGTATTGCGATAATTATAATTATATATAGGAATTGATATTTGGAAGGACTTCATGATTTTGGTTGCATTACCGAGGTACATAATCGTGAAGGGAGATTCCAGCGTGGGTCGGATGATCCATGTAAAAGGAATATTAAAATTAGGAAATCTCAGTACTGAAGAATTCACCTGTTCAGCCTCGACCTCGTAAGTGTGGATCAGAGCGACCCTCTTCAGGGTGAGCTTTTGAAGCTCGACACTGTCATTGAAGATATTTTTTCTCGCATTCGTAGCGTCCAGGATGTCGCGGATGTTTGCGATGTCTTCCCCGTAATCGACGTTCACATCTCGACCAAGTGCATCTTTGACAGGCATCGACAAAATGTCGGATAGCTTCTCTCCCTCTTTCACCAGCTTGCGTTCGATGCCCTCTGAATAAAAGAAAAGGATGAGCGAATAAATAAATACGAAGTCCATCGGATTAATAACATGGTGTAATTAATTTCATTGCGAGGCCTTCGGTACACGGCGTGAAATGTTCTATACTTGTCATCAACACTTGATCTCATAACTCTAGTAGGTCGAATATGAATAGCAATTTTTATCACCGTTGTTACTTCTGAAAGTTTCATCGAATTAAGTTTTGTTTCAAATGAAGGAGATAATGACAGCTAATTATTTCCAGAAATGTTCGTAGTGCCTTTTGAAGGTAAAGTGACATCGGGCTATGAACTTGTCTTTTCTCTTTTTTACACCAAGGGTGTTCTTTTCCTGGGATTACAGAGTCCGTACCCAACGTGGATTGGCTCTTCTCCAGGTTCAAGAGTTTCTCAGCGGCCTGAGAGAAGTCTTGCAACCGGTTGCCCATCACCAGCTTGTCGAAGACCTCGCTGGTTCTGTCGAAATACTGGAAATTGGAGACGGGGATCGATTAGTCAATCGACGGGTGAAGAAATCGTTACCTCTCATCGAGATCTAACAGTCACCTCCGAGACCAGTCTGAAGAATCTCTGACAGGTTATCAGGACGTTCCTGCGTCTCTCCAGCCTGCAGGCGAAGCTTCTGCAGACGAAGTCCATGAAGTCCCTCTGAGACTTCAGGTCCATCGAGGACTCCTCGTCAGGGATGCTGTCTATCCTGTGCAAGAGCTCGGCGTACCTCCCATACGTCTCCTGAAAGTCGAATTTGATTAGAATCCAAGATCCAAAAAAAAAATCAAGGCTATCTACTAGGGAAATCATGTATTTTAACCCTCGAAATCATGTGAAAATCAGCTGGAAATCGCAACCCAGATAGACAAAATTAAACAAAATTTGCATGAAATTCGCCTCATAAGAGATCATGATATGAGTCATGAGGGTGTTGCTTACGAGTCCTCACATCTGCAGTACACAATGACGAAACAAAAGTACTTAAATATGAAACAAAATTAAGTACATGTAATGTCTCTAATGTAATACGCATATGTACAGCTCAATATATCTCACGCATTGCTGATAAGCAATTGCAGACATCTCATGCGGCAAATGATCTGCAAATTGTTTGTGAATTCATTTTCCTCGTCATATGATGATCATGAATTTCTATCTGGGAAGCAGAAATCCCTGGAGATCGTTGGAAATCATCGAAACACTGTCGCAATTTTATGGCCGAACGTCCCTTGTTGTCGAATCGCATTGTTGTCTATCATATGAAATCGAAAGCAATCGGCTCTCGGGGAAGGAAATGGTTTTCACTGATTTCCGTCTAAGTAGCCTCTCGAAGAGGATTCTGGTTATCGCTCTCGACCCTGAAGTGGCACTTCGGCCCCTTTCCCTCACTCACGCGACATTCCAGCTCCAGCTCTTCGTGTTCCCTCCGAAGTTCTTCGGAGGACGCAACGTCGAAGCCGACCTGGTACCTCGAGTTCAGCATGCAGTCGGCTGGTCCCAGGATCCAGTTGGTCACCCTGGCTACTCCTTCCTCCAGGTCGCTCATCTTTTTGGCCGCATCTAGACTAACCTCTAGGGCCTTCCAGGCCCTCTTGACCTCCACCTGCTTCGCCTCGATGCTCTCCAAAAGCTGGCCCACCCTCCTGGCAGTATCCAGGACGTCTCGTGCGGTCGCACCTTGCACGTTCTCCAGCAGATTCCTCCCTGAAGAAGGTCTCCAATCAGTCAGAAATCATCTTACTCCCTGGGAAACAGAATTTCATCGGACCAAAGAAATGTTTCTTTGACCGGTACCGAAGAAATATTCCGTTAATTAAAAAAAATAATTACTTGACTTGAATAAACTCGAATAAATTGGATGCAACGTCTCTTCGGAGTCTTGACGATTTATTTGAGTTTATTGGTGGCAAATAATAATTCATTGTATTAACAAAATATTTCATTGGTACCATTAAATGAAACATTTCTTTCGTTCAATGAAGTCATTTTCTCCGAGCAGAAATAATCCGCTAATTCAAGAAAATAATTACTCGACTCAAATAAACTCGAATAAATTGGATGCAACGCCTCTTCTGAGTCTTGACGATTGATTTGAGTTTATTTCAGTGAAATAATTATTAATTGAATTAATAAAATATATCTTCGGTCCAATGAATTTATGTCCTCAGGGCAAATGATCGGGAAATGAATCGACACTTAGAGACTGACCCGTGAAGAGGATTCCGCGTGCTGCCGAGGTCAGCTCCTCTTCGGAGGTGGTGGATCCTCCAAGGTCGACCCGGGCTTCGCTTCTGGGCGACCTCGACCTCCTGTCCAGTCTCTCGGCGAGGTCGGTCATCTCCGCCAGGAACTTGGTGGCCCTCCTCGTGAACTCCTCGACGCGCTTCGCAGGAATCCGGAAATACAGATCGGGGTCAAAGAATCCCGGAAGTGGGTCGGCGTTTTTCGTCCTCGAGGCCGGGGTTTAACGCTCGCGACCCGCTCGCCTCGATCTGCGCTAACGGAGCGGCAAATCGCCTTCACCTCGGACACCTTTCCCTTCGAATGGGCTACCGACTTCGTGGCCACGAGTCGACGACACGGGACCAAGAGCTACCAAGGAGAGAGAAGGAGAGAGAGGAAAGGAGAAAGGAGTGGGGAGTCGAGAGAGTAGAAAGACAAGTACCAAACGATCCTGGATCCAAGTCGCGTGGTCGTAGTTCAGAGACCCTCCGAGACTCTTCGGCAACTCCGAGTCCTCGACGTGGTTGATCAGCTTCGACAGGGGCAGGTGGATCGTCTACGGATGAAGGGACTCGTTTTAAAGATTTTCTATGTCCATGGCCCAAGCCGAGAATCAAGAAACTTGGGACAGTATCGCGCCAAATACACATATAAGCGCTTAACCCTTTAATAAGGAAACTCCACTATAGTAGCTTGCGCCTGACCGACGTTCTTTTACGAAGTCTCGCTATAGTGGCCCCATTCACTCCCATGTATTCAAAGCGAGAAATGAATATCGTGTATATATTAATTATTAACATTTCGAGCTATCCGTACAGGTGGTACACCTCCACGTTCAACTCCATCGTCGTGGGAACCGAGTTCTTACCTCGAATTCTTCGTCCTTGGGCTTAGCGCAGCTGTCCACGCGCTTCTCCCAAAATCCCTCGGGTCGGACCACCAGCACCAAAAGCCCGAAGCGATTTCCCTCGCCCTGGACCGAGCGAATCGCCCGAATCGCTCGAATCGCTCTCCTCGAGCACGCCCTCGCCGTTCTCCAGGCGCTCCTCCTCGCGTCCACCAGCACCACCAGTCCATCTCGCAAGGTGTCTTCGCTAGGACCGAGATAAAAAATTAATCAGACCGATCCTGAAGGCCATCGAACATCTATACCACGTCCACCACCACCACCAGTCCATCCCGCAAGGTGTCTTCGCTAGGATCGAGATATAAAAAATCAGACCAACCCTAAAAATCGATTCGAATATCTATTCCACGCCCACCACCAGTTCGCGATCTGATTCTGATATCTGTTCAGGATTTCCACCTGACTTCCAATCCGACTTCTAGCACGCCCGAATCGGCTCAACCTTAATCCTTTAATTTCGAAACTCCACTATAGTGGCTTCTGCACGACCGACGTTTTTTATACAAAGCACAACTATAGTGGTCCCTTTCATTCCCATGTGTTCAAAGCGACAAATGAATATCGTATTCATATAAAACAGCACTCCGCGGTCGAATTATCCATACAGATGGTACACCTCCACGTTCAACTCCGCCGTGGTTAAAAAGTTAACCAGGGTTCGCATTGGTGCCTCGGGACCGCTTCCTCGACCCACCGGAAGCATCCGTTGCGCCGACTTCCGGGGACCGTTTTCACCATCGAATCCCGGCTGTACCTGAATATCCCGAGGAAGTATCTCAGCAGGGCCTCTATCCTGGCCCCGGTGTCGGGATGGACCGCACTAGGAGGGACGTTCACCAGGATGAGAGGTCTCCCGGTCCTGTCGCGTCCTCCGGGGAGGCAGGCGAGCTCCGACTCGAGGGCTCGCAGGACCTCCGGGGCCTCGGCCTCCTCGTTGGTCCCGGAGGTGCTGGAGGTCGTCGCGGTGCCGGAGACCGTGGTCGAGGTCAGAGTCGACCCCGATGTCGCGGTCGAGTCGGACATCGCTCCGGACTCGCGGGGTCCCGCGGTCTCCCGCGGTCTCTCGCGGACTCCCGCGTGGTCCAGAGATGCTGCGAGCCCAAGGCCACCTCCGAGTGCAACGGTATCTCGGGACCGGCACCGCTCCCTTCCGGATGGTCCCCGCCTCGCTCTTCGTCTCCTCGGGTCCCGTTACTCGAGAATCGGTCCCGCGCGCACTTCGATCGGGAATGCTCGGGTCGGTTCCCTAGGTATCGGCGAGCGGCGCTCCGAAATCCTAATTCCTTGCCAAAGGCCGTGGGCGAGGTGGATTCCTCGAGGTAGGAGCTACCAGGGTCGCTGACCGCGGCTGACCATGCCGGGTATTTTCATGCACCTGATCTATGAACGCTCTCCTCCCGGCTCCATGTTCGTTCTCCATGTTCTCCACGTTCTCCGCGCTTTGGTCTCAACGCTTGCCAAGTCCTTCTTGTTCCACGCGTTTTCCTTGTTTTCGAGGATCATCCACCACATTTTCCAAGTCTTATACGTTTTTTAGGTTCTCCGCGTTCTCCAATTTCTCCATGTTCTCCACGTTCTCCATGTTCTCCACGTTCCCCACGTTCTCCACGTTCTCCACGTTCTCCATGATCTCCACGTTCTCCATGTACCCCATGTACCCCACGTTCTCCATGTTCTCCATGTTCTCCATGTTCTCCATGTTCTCCATGTTCTCTATGGTCTCCATGTTCTCTATATTCTCCACGCTTTCCATATTCTTCGTACCCGTCACGGCTCGAGATCACTGCAAATGGAGCTTTGCGTCTGGGATCCGATCGCGGGATGAGAATAGCAACCAGCTGGCCTCTCTGTTTAAATCGCTTTGAGTCTTGTTAAAACTCTGAAGTAAATACAGAAAATTTGTGTCCTTACGACCAGTCGCAAATTTTAGACCAGAGCCCCGCAAACGTCAAAAGCGGCGAGCATTACGACGAACGTTGAATTGTAACAACGACGAGGCGCGTCGCTCGTGTGTCCACCACAATAGGTTATACTATACTTCTACGATGGATGTTGTAACGAGGGACATTAAAACGACACTAGTGCGGCCCCAGCTGTTACATGTACGTAGAATTACCCAGCACAGCCATTATGAATATATAAATGAAAGTTTTACCCGATGGTCGTTCGCGCTCACGTTTTGGAGCACATTTTGTAATCCTTTCAACATTGTTTTTTTTTTTTAATGTCTACTTTTTGGCAATCGGGGAATTCGCCTCCGACTCTCATTTATCTCAATCGTTGGCGTTTCGCAATAGTTAACCTGGACATTTTGAACCACTTTTTCGTGACGTTCAATTCCCCAATTTGCATCCCAAACCCAACTACGAAAGCGCTATACACTATTTCGTGACATTGAATTCCCTAACATGCATGCCATACTTTATAGCTGCAAGAGCAGTTTGCACTTTTTCGTGACATTCAATTCCTCAATTCGCCCCCCATACCTACTTGCAAGTTTGCACTTTTTAGAGATGATCAATTTCTTGATTTGCACCTTATACCTAATTGTGAGAGCGATTTGCACATTTTCGTGACGCTGAATTTCCAACTTGCACCCTTACCCCTCCTGCGGTAACAATTGCACATTTTCGTGACATTCAATTCCTCAATTCGCCCCCCATACCTACTTGCAAGTTTGCACTTTTTAGAGATGTTCAATTCCTTGATTTGCACCCCATATTTAAGTGAAATAAAGCCTCGGTTCAACGTGAAAAGTCAGCAAGGGCCTCGAAAAAGCCCCCGAAAAGCCGCCTCTCGCCCGGTTGAGCGCGCCGCGTCACGGCAGCGCGCGGTCCGCGGTTCCGGGAGCGGTCCCGCGACTCGAGGTCCCTCGGGAGCTCCTCGAGGCAGAGTGCCCCGTGGGGCAGTGTTCCTCCGAGGTCCGCGCTATATCGAGAGTCGTCCGGCCGCGCGAGAACCGGCGCGGCCCCGGCCGGCGATTCTCCGAGGCTCGAGCCGGCAGCGCTTCGAGCTCGGGCGAGCTCTCGCCTCGTCGCCGGATCCCGCGGGACCTCTCCTCGCTTCGAGCTCCGGACTCTCTCCTGGCGGCGTCGAGAGCTCCCTCCCGGACCTCGGGACACCAGGAGCCTGCAGGAGGGCCATCCCCATGGGCAACGCTCCAACCAAGGCCCCGGGCTTCGCGAGGAGTCCCGCCTCCTCCGACGCCTCCAAGCGGGTCCACTGGGACGGCCCAGGTACGTCTCCCCCGGGAATTCTCCGTTCCCAAGTCCTCCCACTTTCTTTTATTTCCTGAAATTCTGCCAAATATTCCCCCGACCTCCTAAGACTTTCTCAAATTCTCCAAAATTCTCCAAAATCCTTCCCGAGCTACCGACGGAGTCGCGCCGTGGGAACTCCACTTATTTTCAATTCCGCGACCGGATTTCTCTTTCGCCGATTATTTTACGGGGAGGCGAAAGCACCACCTTACACGAGGCGAGTGAACCTCTTCCGGATCTTGGGCGCACTATTTATAAAGCCCTGGATTTGTACTCGAAGACGCGGACGAGACCTCTCGATCGGCCGACTCGGTTCGCTCCTCCGTCGACCGCGAGGAGAACGGATGCGTTCGATTTATTTTTCCTTCGTTTTAATTTTAGTACCCGGGATCTGGGAAGAGGGAAAATCGTTGCGGAATTACGCCCTCGCTGGTTAGACGGTTTCGGGGGATTTAGGGACACCCGTCTCGCGTCCACCTCCGCACCTTACGTAATGGAATGCGATTAATTGGCCGCGGTGGTACCTGATTTTTTTCGAGACGCCCTCCCGGCTGCGACACGAGCTTCGCGTTTTCCGGTTTATTTTTGGAAACCACGTATAGGTATGCGCGAGCCACTCTAGACGTGCCGGATTGGTCGAATATCGGCGCGAGAAAGGCTTTCTTCCTCCTAGGGAACCTCCAGTCCTTGAAGAGGGTGGAAGGAAGGTCCTTAAGGTGATGCGAAAGTGTCATATATATATATATACCGGAACGTCAAAAGGTTTATAAAAGTTTTCTCCAAACAAGGGGTACCGAATAATTTCAAACTTCACCATGTGATTATGGAGACCCTAAGGAAGAACGCGACCCACGTGAAATTTCATTTTTCATACCAAAATTTTGTATGTATCCCAGACTAGAACCAAGAACACATATTGTTGTTTGAAAAATGTAATTTTATGAGAAATTAATTAGATTTAAATATAATTTATATTATTTCCCAAACACCAGTGCGATAAACGCGTAGATGAAATTAAAACGTGACAATTAACAAAGAATTAAAAGAGAGACGCGTTCCTCAGGGCTGCCGACTGCCCCGGGGAAGCCTCGGCTGGTCCAGGGCACGGAGGAGTCTCGGCCGGACGCGGTGACCATCCGCTGGGAGCGGTCTACCAGCAACGGGGGGTCCGCGATCACGGGATACCTGGTGGAGCATCGACGAATGGGCTCCCCGTCCTGGGAGAGGTCATCTCCGGGGCTCTGCGGGTTCCCGGAGTTGACCTTCGGCGGTCTAGAACCAGGCTGGCGATACCAGTTCAGGGTCAGGGCGAGGAACGCCCTGGGCTTTTCGCAGCCCAGCGAGCTCTCGGACCCCCTGGCGGTGACCCTGAGGAGGACCTCGATTTCGGCGAGCTCGGCCTGCGCGCCGGCCTTCGACAACGAGCTCCAGGACACCGTGGCCCTGGAGAACGAGCAGGCGGAGTTCGCGGTCAGCTTCCGCGGCAATCCCAGCCCCAAGGTGTCCTGGTTCAAGAACGGCTTCGAGATCTTCAGCAGCCGCAGGACGAGGATTCTGACGGAGAACGGCAGGAGCACCCTGCTCATCCGTCAGACGGTGTCCAGCGACGAGGGCGAGGTCAAGTGCACCGCCACCAACAGACTGGGTCACGCCGCCACCAGGGCCAGGCTCGTTCTCGAGGGTGAGGCTTCGGACGTCCTCCGATGCGGGGAACCTGGCCTGGGAACGCTCCCCTGGGGGATACTCTCGATCCCGATCTCCCTATCAACCTTTTGCCTGATATCATGGATACAAGAAAAAGGGAACCCGTAGACGACTCCCACCCTAGCGACTTTTAGCAACGCGAATCAGGCACCAGAAGGGTGAATCCACCCTGTTCTCCAGGACCTATTTTTTCCTGACTTCCTCGCAGCCCTTCGTTCCATTCCTAAATCCATATCCAATTCCCCTAGGAGAGACCAAGGGGTCCTTCCATCGCGTTCTCCAGGACAGGTTCCCCGCGCAGTCGCGCCCGCGTTCTCCGATCGGCCGCGAATTGGAGTTGGGGATGATGCGTTACCGTGTAACCGTGTGCTCGTCAGCACCCCCACGAATACGACTACCACGCCAGTACGAAGACGGTCTCCTTTTCGAGCAGGACGAGACCGTGAGGTTGAAGGTGTCCCTGGCGGGCCGACCGCCGCCCACCGTCACCTGGTACCACGACGGCGAGCCGATCCCCGCCGGGGACCAGAGGAGACACCTGGAGCTCGCCGAAGGGGAGTGCACCCTCAGGATACCCGCCGCCAAACGCTCCGACCGCGGGGAGTACGCGGTCCGAGCCGTCAACAGGCTCGGCGAGGACCTCGTTTCCTTCCTCGTCACCGTCACAGGTAAAACGACCACCCCTTACACCTACACACAGAAAAGTAATCGCTTGAATCGATGCAATTTCGTTATTTCATTGAATTGGAACAATTTTTCCTGGCTCGTAATCAACCAACTCATCAAAGAATTCTGCCGCATCAATTGAATATCTGGTGGTCCATGTAATAACCATGTTCCGCAATGACTTAACAAACACTTTTCTGCGCGTGGGAAAGTAATTGTATCGCTATTACAAATGATCCGATGCGAACTGATAGACCGGCCATCGGCTCCTGGGAAGGCTTCGGTCGCGATGACCCTCGGGAGATCGGTCACCCTCTCCTGGAAGGAGCCGGAGGATGACGGAGGCTGCAAGATCGGCACCTACATCGTCGAGTACAACAGGGTAAGACGAACGTTCTACCTTGGATTATGGTTCTAGGGGTAAGAGGTACCTGATGTCCCGTCGATTTCAGGTTGGCTGGGACGTCTGGCTGAAGGCTGCGACCTGTCGGCAGACCACGACCACCCTGGGCGAACTGATCGAAGGATCGGAGTACAGGTTCAGAGTCAAGGCCGAAAATCCCTACGGGGTGAGCGACCCTGGGGAGCCCAGCGACATCGTCTTCGTTCCTGACCTCAGAAGGGGGTGAGCCGATCCTCTCTCTTCATGGAACGAAATTAACCTATGGCTGCTATACGCGCATTGCACGGAAAAAATAAGAATACATACTTCAGCAATTCATTTGAGCTATGTAAAGACGGATTTACTATTCCCAAATTGAAAGGTCCAGCCGAATCAATACTACTTTGGTTGATTCAACTATAAAATATGATTTTTACGTGGACAACCTGTCTGGCACCTGTCTTGGCTATCATGAAAAAATTCTATAGTTACTCAATTTTGGTGGATCGCATCAAATATTGTGGTAAATCACCCCATATACTACAGTAACTCGGTACATTTAACTAATATATGTGATATAGTAACTAAATTCCTCTCGAAAATTATCAGAACGTTCTAGCCAAGATACTAGTTGAACGCAGGATATATTGTTAAAAAAAAACATTATAATTTGATAATATTCTTATTGTGTTATTTTGTTGTACTATCCAAACATAATATACTAATTTTATACATTATTTTCACCAAATTTATATAATGTGTTATAAATTTAGGACAGAAGTGTATTAATTTCTCGGGCAATTCCACAAACTCATAACATTATACCATCAAATTATAAGTTTCTTTAAAAATATGTAATAAATACGTACTAATTCACTTGTAGGGTACTCAATTTATAATTCTATTACAACCGTGTGTGCTAAAAATCCATGAATTTTATGAATATTTTTGTGTACGCGTACGGCCAAGTGAATTAAAATGTGTTTCGCTCAACCGAAACGTTTTCTGAAACTACCCAAATGCAGTCAGTTAAACGATTGCGTTTAATGAGCATTTTTTTCCGCGTGCAGGATAACATCCCCATTGAGAGGAAAATCTCGCAGCGACCACGACATCGGCGCCATGGCAGGAAACACAGGACCTCGAGAGAAACGCGAGGTCAAGTTCGCCGAACCCGCCCCCCGGACGAGGTCCCTGACCCGAGAAAAGACCAGATACGACGAGGAAGGTGTCCGAAGAGCAGTCAGCCCGGAATGGCCCTCGAACCGACAGGGACTTCCTGCCGGAAGTGGCAGGCTCTCCAGGTCGGACAAAGCTACGGTGACCTTCGCCGACACCGTCGAAACTCGAGGAAGACCCTCCAGGTCTGTGGAGAGGAACTCCAGGAGTGTCTCCAAAATCCCTCGGGTGGAAATCGAGGTGAGCTGGAGGCACTACCAAAAGATATTGTAATTTTATCATTTTTTTTTAACAATTTCTTCAAACATGGCATGCTCACCAAACACAGTTTCGTAATAACAATGTAACCGTTACATATGTTACATGCATGTAAAATTTATATTACCATTTCCTACGAGATTATATAACGCTGTTATGAAACGAGTAATGCAACATCCATGTATCATCTCGGTATCACGTTATGTGTTGTGTTAAATGATACATAATTGCAGTGCCGAACGATTTGTGAGAATGTTACGGAACGGTAATAATTCGATAATATGTCATTTCCATGGGCCTTTTGAATAGCTTCCATTATATGTAATGGTACTTCAGTGATACGTAAATGTAACATAATGTGATTTGAGGGTTCTGATTTTTATAATATGTTCTTCGTGCATTTTGTAAGGAAATTTTGTAGGAAAACGAATACACGTATGTACTATGTTATTCGTACTTGTAGCAGGTGTTATCAATTTAGTATATTTATTTTCCCACGCAATTTCACAAAATTATAACACGTTATAAACTTATTGAGGAATGTATAATAAATGTACGGTAATTAAATATGAGGACATGAAATTTATAATTTTACTACAACCTTGTACTGATATGTACTAAAAGTGTACGAATTTTATGAACATTTTATCAGCGTAAATTTAGCCCGTTTTAATGATTTAAAATGAGTTTTCCTCTTCCTTGATCAATAGGAACCAGATTTGGGACCAAAGGAACACATCCCCAGAGTGGTACCAAAAATGGACGGACGAACAACTCCCACGAGTCATCCGATAGTTTCTTCAGCTTCCGGATTGGCTGGGACCAAAGTCGCGCTAAGGGCGAGCATTGAAATCCCTCGTCCGACCTCGCCATTGCCGGGACCGAAAATGGCACCACTTGCGACCCCCGAAGAGGATACCGCGCTGCGCGGCAGCTCGGAGTTCGTGCTCGTCCTGTACCCCGATGAGGAGAAACGGGACATCGACAAGGAAGCAACCTCGAGTAAGACCTACAATCGAACCTCTATTTGATAAAACGTAGAACTGGAAAAAAAAAGATCGGTCCATCGTGGTTTGTAAAATTAACTACCATCACGCGGAAAGAAGGTAACCTCGAGGAAGATCGACGATCAGACCTTTTCTCTGTTAAAAAGATTCTTCCCTGTTAAAACTATCTGTTCGAAATACAGTATACAGCCGTCCCTCAATTTACGGGGAGTATCGGTTCCACGTGGATTCGTTTTACGCGAATGAAAATCCCGTAGTCTATTGGTACGAAAGAAAAAAAATATTTAAAATAAAAGGTAGTGCGTATCAGTTTTAGAAATACGTATTTCTTTCAAATAGCTTAACAAAAAAGAGATAATCACGCTTATGGAACATTTAACAGGAGCTATAACATCATTCCGTGACACTAATTTGCGGACATTTTATGAAGATTACAAATGTGAGCTAAATATGTTCCCATGACTCAACTATGAGCTACATATTCCGCAATTGTTTATCAGCAATGCGTGAGATTAATTTATCTACACAAATGCTTTCCTTGAGACATTGCGCGTACTTAACTTTGTTTCATATTTAAGTACTTTTGGTTCGTCACTGTGTACCGCGGATATGAATCCTAAATGAGAACTCATGATCAACACCTTCATGAATCATTTCATGATCTTTTATGCGGCATATTTCATGCAAATTTTCCATCACTTTGTCTATCTGGGATGTTTAACAGCATGGTACTAAAATTGTCAATCTATGGTACTGCCGCTAATTGCAATTACCTTTGTAGAGACCGACTCCACAAAGGCGGCGGTAGCGCCAGGAATCCTGGAGGACGCCGAGGACGAGGACCTGGTGCCTCCTCCGATGTCCGTGTCCCTTCCGGAGCTCTTCAGCACGGACCACAGGGTCGTCGAGACCCTGCGGGAGGCGGTGAGCTCGACGGAGCTGCTTCACGAGCGAGCGATGGAGCGATTCTACCGAGCAGTCGCCCTGGAGGAGGCCGAGCTGGCGAAGCGGAAGGCGAAGACCGAAAGACGCACCGGAGAACTCGCAACAACCCCGGACACCCCTTCAAGAATCCGCGCTGTAGACTTCCCAGGAAGAAGGAGACCACCCCACGGAGTCGAAGGAGAGAGAATACTACCACCAAAAAAGGTGGACCGAAGAAGATCGAGCGAGGGCCAAGCCGATACGTCGACCTTGATGACGAAAATGGGTCTGTCCAAACTGCGCACAGGAGCGCTTCCAGAAATCGCCTCCGACCCGAACTTGCTGGGGAACGAGGAGGTGGCCACCACGGCGGAGTCCCTGGAAATGGGGAATCCCGAAGGACTCCGCCACTGGAACGACCTCAGCATGGCAACGGAGACCCTGGAGTTCGTTCGCGAGACCCCGGGATCGATCTTCGAAGGCGGGAAGGCGAAGCCTGTGGAGAACTTCCACGAAGAGGAAGAGGAGCTGGAGGAGGAGGAAGAAGAGGAAGACCTGGAGGAGGAGGAAGAGGAGGAGGAGGACGAAGATCAGGCTGAAAGCGACAGTAGCGAGGACCTTAGGCAGCTGAAGGCCAGGATACTGGCCAGGCCTATTTTGGACGAAGAAGACACGTATCATCCAAGGGGAAGACCGATACTCCGGAGCAGCGAAGAACCACTTCCGGTGGGATTGTCTCCGGAAGCGCCCTCTTCCCCGGTACCGACGTCGCCGACCAACCTGGCCCCGAAGTCGATCCTGAAGAAACGGACCGAGTCGGAGCCGGTCCCGGTGAACCGATTCGGCAGACCCATTCCCCCGGAAAAGCCGATCCGGAAGCTGCCCCCGACGACTTCGACTCCTTCTGCGGATCTTCCTCCGCCTTCTCCGCCTCCTCCACCTTCTCCACCCCCAACGACGGATGTCATATCCGAGGCGGAGATGGAGAACGTTGCCAGCGTCCTCAACGCCGGGGCCGCGGCTCAGGTCGCCAGGGACCGCCGGAAACAGTCCTTGCTTTTGAGGCAGGCTTCCTCTGCCGAAGAAGAACTCGAAGCACGCCTAGCTGTTGTGGATCACTACACGGAGATAGTCAGAGAGCACTCTTCGGCCTCTAGAGTCCCCCTGGCGAAGAGGGACCGACCGGAGACCCTGGAGAACAAGGTGCAGGCCGGTACCAACGCGAACGTCGGTCTCACCGGCAACTCCGTTAGCCTTCCCGAAAAGAAAAACGACATTATCGCTCACCAGAGAGTGGCAAAGACGATCGAAGCGAACAAACCCGAGGACGTCGAGAAAAGATCTCGAAAGAAGGCGAGGTCGAAAGCTGCGCCGTCGAAGGCGACACAGGAAGTCGCGCCGTTGAAGCCGACGCCGGAAGTCGCGCCTACTCCCAGGCGGTCTTCTTCAAGGAGTCGTGCAGGGAGCAGAAGTCGAGCCGGAAGTAAAACTCGAGCCGAAAGTAAAACTCGAGCCGAGAGCCAAAGTCGGACCGGAAGTCGGGCAACTTCGCGAGAAAGGCCGAGGGAGAGGTCCAGGTCGAGGAAACGAGAAGAAGTCGAGGCGATCCCGGACGCCAAAATGGCGGCCGTTGCGCAGCGCAACGTCCGCTCGGCTTTCGGCTTTATGACGGATCTCACACTTCTCGGGGCCGCCGGTTACATGTACGTGCAGGGTAACGAGATACTTGCCATCCCGATTATCGGGCTGCTGATGTACAGGCAGATTCGGGACGGAATCAGCGCCAGATTGGCGGGGAAACGAGGTGGACGTCGATGGCCGGTCGGAAAGTGACGCGGGGCTTGCCACCCCGAGGAAGATGACCTGGAGGACGCGTTTTACTTTTTCGTGTAACGGATTATCGACTTTTCACTTGAGACGAAGCATTTCTACTATGTTAGAGAGTTTTTCAAGGTTCATCTTTCTCTGTGCGAGACTCGGGCGGAATCGCCACGCTTATTTATTAATTGTTTACTAGGTACGAGTACCCTGAGGAAAAACAGCGTTAAACATTGCCAATGCGAGCTGTGAAATAGGCACCATTCTCCGAAGGGATATGATTTACGATTACAAAACGATAGAATAAATGTATAAATTGTTATTTCTTCTTTCTGTAGCTGGATATCATATCTCTTTAGGAACTGCCACCTATTCTGCGGCTGGTAGTGATAACGTTTGACACTATTTTTTTTTTTCTCAAGGGTAAGATAAGACCTACAGTTATCGACGAAGACTAGTAATCGACACTTTCGAACGTAAGAGAGGAGAGAGAGAACCGTTTCGATGACTACACTATTAAAAAAATTCTGTGAATTTATAACATAGTTTCGAATAAAATACATAACATGTGTTACAAATTTAGTACACACGTATGTTGTAAAATTATGAAGGACATCAATAATATTATGATATATGTATCATAATTTTAGGATATTCGTACGCAGTAAAATGATAAAAGAACTAATAATTTCATAATACGTGTATTATAATTTTATAATAATTTTAGAAGCCACATTTACAAAATTATAAAATTAAAAACTCACCTCAGAAAATTATAAATAATGTGTACTAAGTGACTTACGGATATAAAATTTATAATTTTCCCCGCACAATTTCACAAAAATATTACAATGTGATAAAATTATAAATTTATTTAAAAGTTTGCAACAAATGTATGTTGATTCACTTTTAAGACATCAAGTTTATAATTTTATTATAACCTTACGTACTAAAAGTGTACGAATGTTATGAATTTTTTTAACAGTGTAGTAATCTGATTTTCTTGATAACTGCGGCCTTCGCCACACTCCTTTTGTTCACAAATATCGCAATATGTATCGTCATTCGTGCGGTATGTTCCAAATACAATTTTCAACGAACGTAAGGGTTAAATTTATTTTCTCGTACCATGTAAAACCGAGATATAACGGGAATTGATTAATTCTTTTATTATTCGACCAAAGCTGCAGAGAACGTACGACAGAAGTTGCTCCATTCCATTGTTTCTCAAAATCTAATCAGGACCTCTCATTTATTTTGTTGCGTGACATCGGGTTTGATATCTCTGTTAAATTATGATATCAGAGATAGTGCCTAAAATGAGGAAATTAAACAAATTCTCACAGCTTCGTCATTACGTTTCGTTAATTTCTTGGGGCAGACAGATGTCATTTCTCCCATTCAACTTTCGTTTCCTGTAATCCCTCGCTAATTTAATTCACATATAAGAACAAATCGAAGGCGCTAGCAACAAGCTGGACCAGTGCGCATGCGCACCTGAATGGAAGCGCGTCGCCAAGATGGCAGCAACTGACGGCGTTTCCACAGAACCGAATCAACGAAACATTGTAATCGCAAATCACCTGGTATTCATGAACTGCGTCATACCCTGAAATGCTAAGTCGATAGGTATTAATGACTGCATTTTAAATAATTCCATATCATGTTAGACCTTACACATAAAAATTCCTTCACGCAGAGGGAAGCGTCGCGCTGCTTGTGGCAACACTGCAATGGATACTCTAATTATTTCCGTGCACGCTTCTTTTCGAGTTACGTAAATAATTATTTGTAACCACAAATCCACGGCGCGTGTGAAGTACAACAAGAACCCTTAAGTTAAAAAACTGAAAAAGGAAAAAGCGATCCTAGCAACAAATCGATGCGGAACGCAGCCACGGAATCCGGATGTAAACGCAACCATGGAAGTCAACAGAATGCTTTATATTACACTTTATAGTAGAATAAAACTTTGAATCGACCTAAATCAATCACTTTTATTCTATTTGATTTTTCTTAACAACCAGTTTAACAGCGCCGTCTGATTTATGAATCCGAAAGTCTTTTTCTTGACTTATGGATTGCGTTTACACGATGCGCTGTTGGATTTATATTTTGAAGCGTCGCTGTGCATTACTGGGTGAACTTTTGCGGAAAGCTGCAGATCTTTTGGACTTGAGGACTTAAGAAAAAAGTGTGTATTATTGTAAGAGTGAAGTAAGGGAATTTTAATACCGAGTCAAATCGATGTTGAACTCAGCCGTGAGCATCGGCGTAAACGTACCCAGAGATGTCAACATTGGACTCCTTCTGCCTGCTTCTGACACCTCTTTGATATCGCTGAATCTTCTTAAATAGTAAGCCCACTTCTCCAAAAATACGTGGAATGAAGAGATTCCCGAGCGCGTCGGACTGATATAGTGCTTCCTGCGGCAGGGAGGGCTTGAAATAGTAGAAAAGACGAATGAAAGGTAATCCCTGTATCAAGTAGCTTCCATCAGCTGAAGCATTCAGCTTCCTCCTTCCCCCTTCATGATAACAAAAGGAGCATTCAGATAAGACCGCTTGACAGATCCTTCGTTACTGATTTCTTTAAGTAAGTTTAAGGGCAACTAAGGAAGCCAAGGTAGCACCGTTCGCAAAATCCACCCGGCGGTCCCGAGGCTGAAGTTAAACGATGATCGAGTATAATGTTTTCGCACGCTAGGCGAGGGCTTTGAATGGGGAGGCTGAGAGCGAAAAAGAGAAAAATGACTCAAGACTACCACCCGATTTTGGTCAACCTCGAGCCTGTCGATCAAGGAACCCGAGACATCGTTCTTTGCAAAAATGAGGTAATTCAAGTGTTTTGTATGTTATTTCTAAGCAAAGATGCCTGTACAACATTTTTGGGAATAGAGAGTTTCTGAGATTGTGTACAGTGAAATCGACCAAGCGTTTAATGGCTTTATTTCCTGGCAGAGTCCTTATAAGAGAAATGGTGGACCTAGATGTTAAAGATGCGGAACGATTGGCTTAAATTTTAAGAAGCTATGATGTAATCGAATTCGACACAAAATTGTGAGACTATATTTATTCTTTTGCTACAAGAATGAATCACGATAGTCATTTCTTTTCTCTGGGGTTAAAGGCCTTACTAAATGATGGTTTTTCCAAAATTTTCAAAAATTTGTTTCGCCACTTTTTAAATTAAAAATAAACTAATAGAAAGGCAAAGTTACTTTGAATCACCTTGTACATGATAGGTATATATGCATGTGTCACCTAGGCATTAGTATAAATGGATTTACTCACTTGATGCGCCTAGAATTTTTCAAGAGGCATTTACTGGTTGCTCCGATCATGCATATACTGACAATACTATAATAATTTAAAACTAAATATCCATGTTTCTTAAAATTAATATTATTTGTATAAATGTAATTATTTTTACATACAAGTATTTTTAGGAAAATACTTTTACAACGAAACGTGAATTCCTGATGCTATGTATGAATTATATCAATGTCCATTAAGCTTTTACATATTGCATTATAATGTAAATTAAATTAAGTATTTTATATTTATTTTCATATAATGGAAATATGATTGCAGTTCAAGATAGGCAGAGGATTGAATAATGACGAGGTCATATCAAACTTGTCAATATCACGCAGCCAGTGCGTCCTGCGTAGAGACGATAAAGGCAACTGGACGATAACAGATTTAAGCTCCTGTTGTACATTTCTAAATGGGGAACCTCTCGGACGAGGTGTCACCAGAGAGATTCGTATAGGAGATACCGTACAGTTTAGCCCTATGGTCGAGTATAAATATGTGTTCACTGTCGATGCCAAGGAAGTTAACAGGGAACTGAAGAAACGTCGAGCCGACAAACAAGTGTTCAACCACATTCTATTGGAACAGAAGACATTCTTAGAAACAAATCAGGTACAACGAAAGGAGCTGGAAAACAAATTGGAAGCCGAACAGAAGAAACAGCAAGAACTGAAACTTAAGCTGAAGGAACTGTTGGAAAGTCAGGATGTTGGGAGTGACGATAATCACCAGAGAATCGATACCTTAAAGCGAAACATTGAAGCTGGTAATATTGCTGAATCCCTTCTACGAAAGTCATATTATGAGCTACTTGAGAAATTAAAGGATGAAAGGCTAAAGTTTGAAGCTCGATTGAACGACGAAAAACAAAAATGGCAAGAAGCTCTTGATTCAAGCAAGCAAGAGCAAGCTGCTCTCGAGACCAATATGAAGAAGCAGATGGAAAGCTGGAGAGCGGAACAGGAAGTAGAATGGAAGAAAGTCATGGAAAACTCTATCAAGGAAGAAAAAACGATACAGAGCAAGCTACTCGATGAAAAACTGTTACTTGAACAAAAGTTGAAAGAGATGGAAGAGGCACTCAGGGAAAGCGAAGCAAAGGCATCGATGTTGCTTACACAAAATGATACCGATGATTCAAAAGGTATGAAGTACTTTACTGTAATTATAATTGAATTCTTTAGATAATATTGGAAATTAAGAATGAACATGTGATACTCTATTGATATTTATATTCCTAAGTATTAAGATTTATTCATAAATATATTCATTACCCTTTTCATTACATTAGCTTCATTGGATGATCTTGGCGTTGTCATAGTCGACATGGTAGGAACGGACTCACAAAAGGACTTACAAATTCTGGGTACCATAGATCTAACCGTTGATAGTCCAAGTCCTTCAAGTTCTGAAATTGGCGCAGGAGAAAAAGTCTTTGACAAAGTTGGCGACATCATGGATGAACAATTAACGTGCAGCATTTGCTCGGAACTGTTCATTAGAGCAATGACATTAAACTGCACGCATACTTTTTGCCAATATTGTATCAGCTCTTGGATGAAAAAGAGGAAGGAGTGCCCAGTGTGTAGATGCACAGTTACCTCCTCAACCAGATCACTTGTGTTGGATAATTTCATTGAAGGAATGTTGAATAATATGCCAAGTCGTTACAAGATTCGAAGAGATGAGGTTCTCGACGAACGGAGAGGTAATGATTTACTTTCCTTGATAATTACCATGCAATGGAATTCTACTTTCCTTTTACCTTTTTTAATTAGCATATGTTGAATTTCTATAAAAAAAACTATGAAATATATCCAAGTATAAGTATTGTTTTATTATTTCAATAGCCAAAGAAGAACAAGGAGCACGAAGCAGTGTCCGTTGAAAGGACACGCGCCAACATTATTCATAAAGCGAATGAAGGAGAAATCTTGAAGTATGCCACCCCCCTGATCTTACAAAAAAAAAAAGAAACTGAAATATGAAGTCCTGGAGAAAGTTTGCCTGATCGATCAGTTTGATTTCCAGATTGACATCATTGTAATGCTCCCGTCTTCACATATTTACTCCGTTGGAGCCCCTATCCTGTGATGACGCGTACGCTGGTTAATTAGCTCGAGAAATTGCTGTTAATTATTTGCTTACCTCCAACATAACCAGATGCTAGAGTTTAAGGTTTGTCACAGCTGCGGCGAACCTTTTGAAGCTAGGGACCCTAGTAGATGACCCTATAGTATCAGCTCTTTAAGTCTACAAGCCTAAGAGCTATTTTTTAATATCTTACAAGTAGCTGTATCGATGTAATTTAGAGGAATTATACATAGCACGTTCGTTCTTTTAGCTATCGCTCGTTTCTTGACCTTTTCCAGAATGTTACAATTTTGACTTGAGAGAAAAAGTACGTCATTAAGCGAATAAACATAATTTATTACATAATAAATTAACAGTATACCGTTGAACTCATCATTTAAAAAATATCATTTAAACAAAAGCTGAGGTTAAAAAGTGAGGTTATGTCGATATAGTTGCAAGAACTTTCGGCCGCGTTCGATCGAACAGCGCAACGATCTAGCGCGCCATTGTATGAATCTACTGATAAAATAATTCAATAAAGAAATATTTCCAACAAACTTAAAGCTTCGATTGATTTTTTTCTTATGAAGAAAACATACGATGAATCCTGCCTTTGTTGTATTATTTTCATAAAACACTCATTTATAACATTATCGAAATAGATAACAAATGAATCACCGCTGGGATTCAAAACGCTAACGGCATTCTATTACAGACAGAGATGAGTTGGGAGATTGCTCACGGGCAGGGTCGCGCGAT